ACAAGACACGATTCACGCGTCATCTGTCAAAAACAGTGTTGCCAAAAAGATACTAGCAAAAAAATCACCCATTATAATAGTTTGCGTTACCTGATTAGGAAACCGTATTCGAAAAACGAATGTATGCGCCCAGCCTAATACCGTTAAAACCCATACGTTAATATGGAAACACTTTACGGAATTCTGCAAGGCAAATAAATACGAGCTTTTGGAAATACAACGGTGAAAATTACAAAGAACTAGTTGTGAAGACAATGTGGAATACCGTTGCAAAAAAATGAGATTCATTTTATTAAGTGGAAAATATTTTTTTCCTGTGAAAAGAAACACATTGCAAAGTAATATTTTTTTAACAAAAAATATTCGTTGTTGACACCAGCACTCATGCTTCTTGTTGAAATATTACTTAGCGATATGTTTTTTCGATTTTTTTTTTCGGAAAAATTAGTTGACATGACGGCAGCTGATAGCGTATAATCACGTATTTTTGCTTTTGGCATGCGGTGTTGCCAGACAGATAATCTCTTTCGGAAGGATTTGTTCTTCGTCACTTGTAGCGAAAAATTAAGCATTTTTTGTTTTGACATGGTGGGGATATTTGTCATGTTTCCGAAATACAGGGTGTGATTTAATTGATGTCTAAACATACATGATATGATTTCTTAGTTCATTTCAGGAATAAAAGTTTTTTATGAACGTATGTCCTAAACCTCTTAACTTTTGAGCTAAAGGGTTTTAAAATTTTAAGGAAAAATGCGTTTTCTTATCATAACTTTGATGCTGTTCTAGATATTTTCATGAAATTTGACATGCACCTAAGCAATATAGAAATTCTTTTATGTAGAATATTTTTTAACATTTCTACCAGTGGCGTCCGTACGAGATGTATACTGGAGGTTTTTAAAAAAAATATGGTAGGTACGCTATTGTTTTTTCCAAAAATAAAAATCATTTTTGAAAATCTCATTTATTTTGCAACAAATTTGACCTCTCTAAAATTTTAATCAGTTTCTATTTATCAGTAGATCTAAAACTTGTAAAATAATTCTCAAAATAGCAGCAATCCCAGTCGGTGTTGTTATTTAGTATAGTAATAATAAAGTTTGACTGATCTATTAAATTATGTAATTCTACAATAGCGTTTGCATGCGCTGGTAGTTCTCACGTCTAGAATGATGAAGAGTTTCTATTCTTTTGTTCCTGTTTTTCTTGCTCTATGATTGTTCATTGTTACATGAAGGTTTTCCATAGTTACATTGCAAGATTGCATAGTTATGCATTTATAGCTTCCACAAGAAAATTACCGATATAATAATAAATTGTTTTAATATTGTCTCGCACATAATAGCAAGTACTATTGATTACAGGCAATATTTCCTTAACGGTGCTAAAATATAGCATAGACTTCCTATTATTTGCAAGACAAGAAACGTTGCAACATTTATTAGGTAGATTGAAGCATGAAGTGATAATAACATTTATTATCTGAAAGAAATGAAAGTACATATACAGGACTTGGAGTACAAAAGCTGAACAACTCATTCGTTCTGTTCGCGTTCAGCTTGTCCAGGAATTATTGCTCACCCACCGTCACTCACATTTGTGATAATATGTACAAAATGTGTCAGAACGCAGAGCAGTTGATAGGTCAGATATTTCAAAAGCTTCAAGAATTAAAAAGAATTTCAGAAATTTCAAAAATTTCAACAACACTAAATACTTTAAGAATTCAAAGAAATTTAACAATTTCGATTTTTTCAAAAAATTTGAGAATTTTGAAAATTTTAAAAATTTCATAGATTTCGAAATCTACAAAATTTCCAAAAATAACAAAATTTCAAACATTTCAGAAATTTGAGACATTTCAAAAACTTCAAACGTATCAAGAATTTCAGATATTTCAAAAATTTCACAAGCTCCAAAAATTACATATATTACAAAGCTTTTAAAATTCTCAAATCTTCAATTAGCTTCCAATCTTTAAAGCTTTTAACGTTTCTAAAAATTTTAAAGCTCCAGAAATTTCAAAAATTTCCAAGATTTCAAAAGTTTCAACAATTTTAAAACTTAACTCATAAATTTCAAAAATTTGAAAGATTTCAAAAACATATCAAGAATTTCAGATATTTCAAAATCGCACAAGTTCCAAAAGTTTTCAAAAATTACAAATATTTCAAAGCTTTCCAAATTCTCAAATGTTCAATAACCTTCCGATCTTTAAAGCTTTTAACGTTCCTAAAACTTTGAAAGTTCCAGAAATTTCAAAAATTTCGAAATTTCAAAAGTTCAACAATTTTAAAATTTAACTCTAAAATTTAAAAAATTTTAAATATTTCAAAAACTTCAAATATTCCAAGAATTTCAGATATTTAAAAAATTTCACAAACTCCAAACATTTTCAAAAATTATAAATATTTGAAAGCTTTCCAAATTCTCAAATGTTCGATTACCTTCCGATCTTTAAAGCTTTTAACGTTTCTAAAAATTTTAAAGTTCGAGAAATTTCGAAAATTTCGGAGATTTCAAAAGTTCCAACCATCTCAAGAATTTCAGTTTTTAAAAAAATTTCACAAGCTCCAAAAATTTTCAAAAATCACAAATATTTCAAAGCTTTCAAAATTCTCAAATGTTCAATAAGCTTCCGATCTCTAAGGCTTTTAACGTTTCTAAAAATTCGAAAGCTCCAGAAATTTCAAAAATTTTTATGATTTCAAAAGTTTCAATTATGTTAAAATTTAACTACAAATTTCAAAAATTTGAAAGATTTCAGAAGCTTCAAACATTTCAAGAATTTCAGATATTCAAAAAATTTCACAAGCTCCAAAGATTTTCAAAAATCACAAATATTTCAAAGCTTTCAAAATTCTCAAATGTTCAATAAGCTTCCGATCTCTAAGGCTTTTAACGTTTCTAAAAATTTGAAAGCTCCAGAAATTTCAAAAATTTTGATGATTTCAAAAGTTTCAATTATGTTAAAATTTAACTACAAATTTCAAAAATTTGAAAGATTTCAGAAGCTTCAAACATTTCAAGAATTTCAGATATTCAAAAAATTTCACATGCTCCAAAAATTTTCAAAAATTACAAATATTTCAAAGCTTTCAAAATTCTCAAATGTTCAATTAGCTTCCGATCTTTAAGGCTTTTAACGTTTCTAAAAATTTGAAAGCTCCAGAAATTTCAAAAATTTTGATGATTTCAAAAGTTTCAATTATGTTAAAATTTAACTACAAATTTCAAAAATTTTAAAGATTTCAGAAGCTTCAAACATTTCAAGAATTTCAGATATTCAAAAAATTTCACAAGCTCCAAAAATTTTCAAAAATTACAAATATTTCAAAGCTTTCAAAATTCTCAAATGTTCAATTAGCTTCCGATCTTTAAAGCATTTAACGTTTCTAAAAACTTGAATGCTCCAGAAATTTCAAAAGTTTCGAAGATTTCAAAAGTTTCAACAATTTTAAAATTTAACTCACAGATTTCAAAAATTTGAAAGATTCCAAAAACTTCAAACATTTCAAGAATTTCGGATATTTAAAAAATTTCACAAGCTCCAAGAATTTTCAAAAATTACAACTATTTCAAAGCTTTCAAAATTCTCAAATGTTCAATTAGCTTCCGATCTTTAAAGCTTTTAACATTTCTAAAAATTTGAATGCTCCAGAAATATCAACAGTTTCGAAGATTTCAAAAGTTTCAAAAATTTTAAAATTTAATTCACAAATTTCAAAAATTTGAAAAATTTCAAAAACTTCAAACATTTCAAGAATTTCAGATATTTCAAAAATTCCACAAGCTCCAAAAATTTTTAAAAATAACAAACATTTCAAAGCTTTCAAAATTCTCAAATGTTCAATTAGCTTCCGATCTTTAAAGCTTTTAACGTTTCTAAAAATTTGGAAGCTCCAGAAATTTCAAAAGTTTCGAAGATTTCAAAAGTTTAAACAATTTTAAAATTTAATTCACAAATTTCAAAAATTAGAAAAAATTCAAAATTTTCACACATTACAAGAATTTCAGATATTTCAAAAATTCCACAAGCTCCAAAAATTTTCAAAAATTACAAATATTTCAAAGCTTTCAAAATTCTCAAATGTTCAATTAGGTTCCGATCTTTAAAGCTTTTAACATTTCTAAAAATTTGAATGCTCCAGAAATTTCAACAGTTTCGAAGATTTCAAAAGTTTCAACAACTTTAAAATTTAATTCACAAATTTCAAAAATTTGAAAAATTTCAAAAACTTCAAACATTTCAAGAATTTCAGATATATCAAAAATTCCACAAGCTCCAAAAATTTTTAAAAATAACAAACATTTCAAAGCTTTCAAAATTCTCAAATGTTCAATTAGCTTCTGATCTTTAAAGCTTTTAACGTTTCTAAAAATTTGAATGCTCCAGAAATTTTAAGTTTCGAAGATTTCAAAAGTTTCAACAATTTTAAAATTTAATTTACAAATTTCAAAATTTTGAAAAATTTCAAAAACTTCAAACATTTCAAGAATTTCAGATATTTCAAAAATTTCACAAGCTCCAAAAATTTTCAAAAATTACAAACATTTCAAAGCTTTCAAAATGCTCAAATGTTCAATTAGTTTCCGATCTTTAAAGCTTTTAACGTTTTTAAAAATTTGAAAGCTCCATCAATTTCAAAATTTTCGAAGATTTCGAAAGTTTCAAAAATTTTAGAATACAACTCACAAATTTCAAAAATTTGAAAAGATTTCAAAAACTTCAAACATTTCAAGAATTTCAGATATTTCAAAAATTTCAGAAGCTCCAAAAGTTTTAAAAAATTACAAATATTTAAAAGTTTTAAAAATTCTCAAAACAGGTGTTTTTTGGGGTAAGCAACTGAAATTTCTGAAAAGCTACCTGAGCAATATAATCCAATTTTTTTGTTGTTGTCCAATCGACTTATTTTCAGTGGAAGTATACGTGGTTTTTCTATTTCTACGGAATATTGAGAGAGATAATATGACCTTGAACATTTTTATTCTAGGTTCATGAGTGCCTCTTTGGTTGTCATGACGCCAAAGTCTCTGCATTTTGGAAATATTGATGTTGGGAATGCTTCTCAACAAATGACCGTGGAACTGAAGAATATTGGACACAAAACCACAACTTTTTTAACTGATCTTGGCAGAACCGACTTAGAGATCATCATCGATCCTAGGCGAGGGAGAATTCATGTAAATTTTTTGACAATTCGCTCGTACCTTCATTTCCTGATAGAGTAAAATTTATATTTGAGAATTCCGTTGTTATAGTTCACAACAGACCGGTGCTTTTACACAACATACATAGTCCGACATATTTCTTCCCAGGTCGTGAATCGAACCCGCGAGGCTTAGAGCCAATGTACTAGCAACTCTAGCTATCCAGCCCCTTGTGACACAGCAGTAGACCAAAAAAAAATAAATTTAGAAATTTACTCTGAGAAGAGCGGTTAGTTCTGCTACTATTTCACAGATAGCGGTAGGATCTTCAGACATTTTTAGGTGCCCCTCTAATGTCTATCTTGATCAGGTGTTTTCAAATACGTAAACGATTTGGATCAACTTATTTGCGATTGGCTAAGCTTCGTAAAATAATCGCTTTTTACCATCCACAACAGATCGTTTTTGAATAAAGACGTGTGTAACGAATATTTCCAAGAATTGTAGCATATGCGCAGTTCGTATCGTTGAAAATGAATGAAAAAACTAATAGCGATATACGTGTTCCGTTCACATTCTATACGATACTGTAATTAAATCTAATAACATTGTAACTCGGATTTTTTATGGTCGATTATATATAACAAGATTATATAAATATTAAATTAGAATGGATGACAGCAACGTTGAAGCATGAAGTCACTCGGGTTTCTTTCTTTGCACACCTGTCGACAGAAGCATAAAAAATCAGTGGTTAGAATTAGTTTCTTTTAAGGCGCTGACCTCAACCAAACGTTGAACATTCTATTGTAGTATCTGAAAAGTTTACTGATGTTTCTGGCCACCTCGGTGCCTTCTGCAAACTACTAAATTCTGTTCGACGGTAATTCGATTGGGAAGTAATCGGAAAAAATACTACATGTATATAGTAACGACATTTATAAAAAATTGTAGAAAATTCGAGGTGGCTATTGAATATTCAGTAATTATTAACGTTTTTTTTTGCACAAAGAGCATCATAATGACAATGAACTGAAATACCAAAAAATGTCTGTTTCTCATCAAAGTTATGTCAACGTGTTTCAGTATTTCCAAAATCATCCAAGATTTTCAAAATTTTCAAGATCACGTTTTTATAATTTTCAGTTTTTAAAATTTTTTATTTTTTCAATCTTCTCAATTTTAAAAAATTTTAGTTTCAAAGTTTTAAAAACGTTCAGAATTTTCGAAATTTGATGTTTTCAAGATTTTCAAAATATTTACAATATGTACAATTTTCAAAACTTTCAAATTATCCAAAATTTTCGAAATTTTCAATTGTCAAATTTCTCAAAATTTTCAAGGTTTTTAAAAGTTCCAGGATTTTAAAACAACTGAAAGTATAAAGTATATTGTAAATTTTCAAAATGTGGATCGGTCACCCTTGCCTGAAATATCTTCAAGATTTTGAAAATTTGGACTGCTTCGTGAAATTTCGATAGTTGTAAAGTTTGAACATTTTTAAAATTTTTCGAAAATCTCAGACGTCTCAGACATTTCAAAAATACTAAGAATTTTCAAGATCACGTTTTTATAATTTTCAGTTTTTAAGATCTCCTATTTGTTCAATCTTCTCAATTTTAAAAAAAATTATAATTTCCAAGTTTTCAAAGTTTTAAAAAGATTCAGAATTTTCGAAATTTGGAAGTTTTCAAGGTTTTCAAAATATTTACAATATGTACAATTTTCAAAACTTTCAAGTTATTCAAAATTTTCGAAATTTCCAAGTGTCAAATTTCACAAAATTTTCAAGGTTTTTAAAAGTTCCAGAATTTTAAAACAACTGAAAGTATATTGTAAATTTTCAAAATGTGGATCGGTCACCCTTGCCTGAATATCTTCAACATTTTGAAAATTTGGACTACTTCGTGAAATTTCGATAGTTGTAAAGTTTGAACATTTTTAAAATTTTTCGAAAATCTAAGACGACTCAGAGATTTAAAAAATTCTACGAATTTAAAAATTTTTATATATACTGAGTGACATATAAATCCGAACACTCAGTTTAAATGGATTTATTTTAATAAAATTTTGTATAAGTACTTAAAAGCATAATAAGTAAATGATAAAAATTTCAAAATGATTGCACTGCTTTAAAGCCCTTTGACGTTTAATAGTGTGTGGATGCACCCTGATGTGCTACGCATTCTCCAACGCGCCTAGGCATGCTTCTGATCAGGTGGTCAATGTCCTCCTGTGGTATCTCATTCCGGGCAACCACCAACTCCTCTCGAAGTGCTTCTAGAGTCTGAGGAGGACGTTGCAAATTGAGCAATCTCCTACCCATCATATCCCACACGTGCTCAATTGGGGATAAGTCGGGAGATCTTGGTGGCCATGGTAACAATGTGACATCATTATGTTGAAAGAAGTCTATTGTGACTCTTGCAACATGTGGTCGGGCATTATCTTGTTGGAAAGTTGGATCTGCCAGGGTGTCAAGATAGGGTAAAAGATGGGGTTCTAGAACTTCGTGGATATAACGCTGCGCGTTCATGTTACCTCTGATGAAGATTAAAGGTGACCTGGAACCATAAGCTATAGCACCCCAAACCAGAACTCCAACAGTGTGATGAACATGTCTTTCAACAAAAAACTGTGGATTCCTCCTTTCGCCACGTCGCCTTCTAACCCTGGCACGACCATCGTGCATGCCTAAACAAAATCGAGACTCGTCACTAAAGACAATACTGTTCCATTCCTGATCCCAGAGTGACCGTTGTCTGCACCACTCAAGGCGATTACGTCGGTGTTCTCGAGTTAAAGGGAGGACCCAGTGTGGCCGGTCTGAAAACAAGCCAAAACTTCTCATTCGTCGGTAAACACTTCGCATGCCAATAGGTCTTCCGTGTTCTGCAAACCATTCATTTGCAATGGACCTGGTAGTGGAGAAACGATCCCTTGACGCCAATAATCTTAGGTGGCGATCTTCACGGTCTGTTGTTCTACGGCGGCGTCCACTGCTCCTAGCTCTTTGCGTATGGCCTTCCCGCAGCCATGCCTGACAACACCTTAACCACAGTATTTACACTTCTTTGCACTCTAACTGCAATTGCCCGAAAAGAAAGTCCAGCTTCCCGAAGTCCCACTATACGGCCCCAATCAAACTCACTAAGTTGACGAAATCGTACAGATCTCCGTACTCTAGGCATCGTAACCGATCGTAAAGGATGTCAAGAACCAAAATCCGCCAACGTTGATTCTTTACTGCGGCTGAAATATTCATTTTTAGAGCGTTAGTGAATTAAAAAAAAGCAGTATAAAAACCGGAATGTCCAACTGATAAGGCTGAAAATTTTTTCACTTGTTATTTACAGTAAGATAAATACATTCACCAACTTTTATTAAAATAAAACCATTTAAACTGGGTGTTCGGATTTATATGTCACTTAGTATATTTCAAAAAATTCAGTTTTCAAATATTTTCAGGATTTCAAATGTTTCGGGCACTTCTAAAATTTCAAAAATTTCAAAATATTCAAACATTTGGAAATTTTGAGTGCTTGAATTTTCTGTAATTTCTTAAATATTCAAAATTTTCGGGATTCATGAAATTTTTTAAATACCTGAAATTTCCGAAAGTTTCAAAATTCCAGAAATTTTTCATATTTTTAAAATTTTTTAAATGTTTGAAGTTTTTGAAATATCCGAAATTTGTTAGATTCCTAAAATTTTTGAAACGTCTGAAATTTTTGAAATCTGTGGAATTATTGAAATATTTTAAATTATCGATATTCTTAAAATTTTCAGATTTCAAATTTTTCACAATATTCAAACTTTAAAATTATCAAAGCTTCTAAGGAGAGGTCACGCTTATAAATGTGACTTTCCAGGTGATCAATTTTTTTGTTACTTGGTCGAGGCACAATAGGGTGTTTCATGGACGCCAAGATTTCATTACTAATCATCATCACTAATTCGAACAATGTCAATGAGCTTCAATCATGATTTGCTATGAGCAAAAATAATTTCAGCCATCTGAGACAATAGAAATAAAAGTAGAAATCCTGGGGACGACAGTTGGATCGTTCCACAAAGAATTCTGGATCAAAACTGAGCCGCCTCAGAGACTCAGGATCTCTGGAACATTCACTGAACCTCAACTGGTCATTGAGCATCCCCTCACTGATTACGACCTCACGTTGATTCAATTCCCAAGAACTTACTATGGAGCTTCTAATACCAGGACTATCGTGGTCAAGAATAGCAGCTCAAGACCTTGTATGTTCTGTATGGTCGCTGAAGAAGGGATGGGAACTATTGTGAGTACTGCCGTCAATTAACGTTGTCTACCCGACGATAGCCAACAATATGCTGTTCCAGCGGGTAAAAAGTACATTGACTCTATACTTCATACGGCTTCGTTTGAGGATTCAAAGAAAAGTGGTGAGTTAAATCGGTTCAAAAGGCGAAATATACTTGTGATTAGGTAGGTTCACTCATGGACGATGAATCTTTGACATCTACATATCAAAAAATATTCAATGAAATTTTAGAATTTTGGAATTTTTGAAATTTGGTGAATGTTTGAAATTCTTAAAAATCTGGGAATACTTAAAATCCTTGAAATTCTTGAAATTCTCGAAATTCTCGAAATTCTCGAAATTCTCAAAATTCTCAAAATTCTCGAAATTCTCAAATTATCGAATTATTGAGGTCATCGAAATTTTCGAATTTCGAATTTCTCGAAATTCTTAACATCCTCGAGATTTTCAAATATTTCAGAATTCTCGAAATTCTTAAGATTATCGAAATTTTCTAATTTAACGAAATTATCCAATTTCTCGAAGTTCTCGAAATTCTTGATATTCTTGAAAATTTTCAAATTCTCGAAATTCTTGAGTCACGAAATTCATTAATTTTTTAAGATGACTGATTTTGAAATTTCTAAAATTTTTAATTATCTTAAATTTTTTATATATTTGAAATTTTTGGATTCTAAAAATTTTTCAATTTTTGCAAATTTATGTTATTTAAACATTTCGCTATTTCTACAGTTATAGTCTGTGGCATTTTATTGTATTAACTCTTAGTTGACGTGCTAGCGTACAATTTTGTATCTTATTAGCAAATGAACAAACAAACAAAGAAGTATAGAGTCAACGCTATTTTCGTGTTCTGCTACTGCCTCATAGATGGGGCTAGAATCTTCAATCCTTTTCCTCCGTCGGAATACTGTTATGGTTGGCAACCTCCAGGTAGAGTAACTTCAATCGATTTACTATTTTTTTTATTGATTATGCAGTCAATGAGTGTTGCAAAGGTTAAAGATCCGAACATGAAGAATTATGTGATAAACCCAATAGAAGGACGATTACGCGCCAACTATAAATGCATCATACTAGCTAAGTAAGTTTCAATCAAGTCGGTAAATTATCATGAACGTTGCAAAATGGATGTTCTTTTTTTTTAGATTTGCACCCAGAAAGATGGAAAAGTTTGACGAAAAGCATTGCATCGTTATGATACAGCTGATAAGGGTCACGTTTAGAGAAGGCATCATCGAAAGTAAATTTTTAAACATTCTCGACTTTTATACTACGAAAGATCTACCTAGCCATGAAAATAACAATAACATAATATATCAAATAGCGATATGTGTTCTAAGCTTACTTGGAAAATGTTTATTTTGATAATTAGTCTCCAATTTACAAAATGAACAAATGAGTAGCTTAAAATTAGAGTATTTCCAGTGTCATAAAATTTTTGATAAAAGAGAATAATCAGCGACAACAATTCCACCACAATAAAATTTTGGCCGAAACAGTTTTGATGGGCGCGTGATCAATAGAAGACGATCCCAGAAGTGGAAGACCCAAGACAGCAACAACTGACGAAATGACTCAAAAAGTTGAAGCCACGGTTCTCGATGATCGTCGTGTGAAGGTCTCTATCATTAGTATGGCATTTAATATATCGGGACCCAGCTCAATAACCATCTTTAACGACAATATCAAATTGAGTGAGTCGTTAGCTAGCTGGTTTCCACAACTGTTGACACCTGAACAACAAGTACGCAGGTTGGAAACTTCAGAAAGTCATTTGGAAACTTTGACCAACGATTCTGACGTTTTGACACAAATTGTGACGGGCCACGAGACTTGGGCGGATCATAGGGATCCTGAGACAAACACAGAATCCGAGCAGTGGGTTCATAAAGGGTCAGGGTCAACCTTCTCAGTAAATTCATTCTTCAATGTACAACAATAAATTCGTACGCTGAAAAATTTACGTTAAGTAATTAACCAGAAAAGACCCACCTTTTCCAATCGAGAAGTATTTCTACCGCAACCGTGCATAAGGCTGCCAAAATTAGAAAAATTGTGCAGCAATGCAGCTTCGTTGAGATAGACCATCCTCCGTGAATCCCGGACTTGACCCCGTCTGCGTTTTATCTCTTTAGGTTACTAAAGAAAAATCTTTGAGTACGACGATGGCCAAAAAGAACCGTCGACGACTTTTTGAGGGACAAGAGCAAACATTTTTTTATAAGGGAGGAGAAATGACGCAAATGCATTGATATAAAAGATTGTACGTCTTTTGTTTCATGGCTAGGTATATTTCTTTTCTAGTAGCCCTCGTATATTAACTAGAGACATTTTTATGCTTTCAGGCAAAGACGGTGAAGTGAAGACGTTCACTACTAGTAATGAAGGTAAAAAGTTCTTTTATGGCATTATTTCTTGATATTCTTGATGTTCTTGATGTTCTCGATATTCTCGATATTCTCGATATTCTAGATATTCTCGATATTCTCGATATTCTCGATATTCTCGATATTCTCGATATTCTCTATATTCTCGATATTCTCGATATTCTCGATATTCTCGATATTCTCGATATTCTCGATATTCTCGATATTCTCGATATTCTCGATATTCTCGATATTCTCGATATTCTCGATATTCTCGATATTCTCGATATTCTCGATATTCTCGATATTCTCGATATTCTCGATATTCTCGATATTCTCGATATTCTCGATATTCTCGATATTCTCGATATTCTCGAAATTCTCGACATTCTCGACTTTCCCGATATTCTCGATACCTCGATATTCTCGATATTCTCGATATTCTCGATATTCTCGATATTCTCGATATTCTCCATATTCTCGATATTCTCGATATTCTCGATAATCTCGATATTCTCGATATTCTCGATATTCTCGATATTCTCGATATTCTCGATATTCTCGATATTCTCGATATTCTCGATATTCTCGATATTCTCGATATTCTCGATATTCTCGATATTCTCGATATTCTCGATATTCTCGATTTTCTCGATATTCTCGATATTCTCGATATTCTTGATATTCCCGAAATTCCTGACATTTTTGTAATTCCGAAATTCTCGTAATTCTCGAAAATTTTGAAATTCCCACAATTCTCGAAATTCTCATATTTCTCTAAATTTTTGAAAATCTTGAAATTTTTGAAATCCTTGAAATTTTCGAAATATCCGAAATTCTTGAAATTTGTTGACTTCGGATCGTTCCAGACGAGGTATTCTCCATCGCACCGCAAGTCAGCTACCAAAAGACCGAAATAGTTTTCACACATACCAAACTGAGAGTGTGCTTATATGGCGAAATCGAAGAGGCTTCGGTTACCCTGTTGCCGGATGCTTGCCGTGCAGAAGACCTGAATGTCTCTGTTATTCACAATTTTACGTTCACTATCAGAAACAACTCGAAATATCTGCCTGTGACCTTCAAATACAACAAGGTAGGTTATAGTAGTCATATAGCGTTGATAATATTTTTGTCGTTTTTAATGTAGCTTTGATTCCCGAATATTAGGACTGATCAGCCATTAGCCCTGCTGACATGTTGTCAAAGTTCAAACTCACTCGAGTCACTTGCTTGTCTGTAGCGATTTTTTTGTGATTATCACACAAAAGGCACGGCAACAAGAAGGACACAGCTATGGAAAAACAAATTTAGGACAAGTTTGTTAGAATGAAGGGGCTATGTAAAATTTGGATTATGACAATACAGGGTGTCCGCAAAGTTGGGGTTGTCCTTTTCAGAAACAACTACCCTTGAAATAACAAAGGTAATGTGTAGTGAAACGAGGGCGACCAAGTAAAAAAAATAAAGGAAAAAGTACTCACTCTCCTAGTTGACGAGAAGGGCTAAGTACGTCTCTGCCCGAAATCATACCGCTCCAACAGAAAATGAAACCAGCTGATGCGCTACCGAGCAGACGCAGGCGGTGGTGCAGACCACGAACAGAGGTAACAAATATGACGGCGTTGCCGCGTTTTCAGTTTTTAGGTAAACGTACTTTATAGGTATTGTTCGAAGTTATCGCCGTTTTATTCAAAAACACAGGTGCGTGCACGACGTAGCCAAGCATCGGTGCAGGCTTTGAGAATGGAGTCCCTCCCCCGAATGAAAGCACTAGCTTGTTCAATTCTGAGACGAAGTTCGTCAACCGTATGCATTTCAGTTTGGTACACTAAGCGTGTCATTTCTCCCCGAAGAAAAAAATCACATGGTGTTAAGTCTGGAGATCGCGGAGGCCACGGGTCCATTACGTCCGATCCACCTATTCGGAAATAATTCATTCAAAAACTCACTCACTTCGCGTCTAAAATGGGGCGGTGCACCATCGTGCAGAAACCACATTGATTGTCTTACACTTAATGGCACGTCTTCCAACAAGGAAAGCAAAATGTTGCGTAAAAAGTCTAGGTATTGCATCCCGTCCAATCGATTTGGGAGAATAAATGGTCCAATGAGCATACCGTTCACCATGCCAGCCCAAACATTCACCGAAAATGTTTGTTGAAAATGTGCCCGACGGACAGCGTGCGGATTTTCTACTGACCAAACATGAGTGTTGCGAAAGTTATTCACCCCATTACGCGTGTACGTAGATTCGTCTGCCACCAATATGCACTTCAAAAAGTCCGGATTATTGTCATGTTGATGCAACAACCACTCACAAAACCGCACTCTTGCTGGAAAATCGTCAGGTTGAAGGGCTTGTACACGTTGGACGTGAAACGGATACAGCCCCTCTTCACGCAGCGTTTGCCACACTTTAGTTTTTGATACTTGCACTTCTCGAGCCACGTCTCTAGTGCTTGTTGAGGGATTCTCGTCTACGCGATTCAGTAGTTCTTCCTCAACTTGCACCATCCGTGGTTGTCTAGGCCTCCCACTGTGCCCACCTCGAAATTCCTCCGAATGGCCCGTATCCCTGACTGAAAATGAAGAAAACGATCTTGAAAGTGAATTTTATGAAGAAGTTAATCACTTTTTCCTATTGCGTTGTAAAAATGAACGACATCAACTTCGAGCAACGGTGTGGTATCACTTCACACTTGGACACAGTCCAACGGAAACTTTCGCATAAACTTCATACCTACGGAGATAGTATTTTGTCAAGAGCCCAGGTTTTTCGACTTTTTTGCTTAGCGTAGTTGAAGAATCACCCAAAGGGGAGAGTCGATAACATTCAAATAAGGCTCTTCCAGTATCGGAGTTCCAGTATCGAATAAAGAAATTAAAATAACAGTCTCATCACTTAATTTACAGCCCTCGTATCACTGGCACACCGTGTATGATATGCTACGAATACCCTTTTCCGTTTTGGCACCCAAGTGAAGTTGTTAGCATATAATATTTTCCTTTCTGTATTTTGTTAGGTATCTTGTATGGAAACGTTTCCCAAAGAATGTACGTTAAAGCCCGATGGATCAGTCGATGTCTTGCTGCAACTGAGACCGACCAAGATAGGAAAAGTGCATACCAATGTAGAATTTGATCTAACTTACCTTGGAGAGGACAAAACGGTATATCGTGTAGGCCAAGCCCGTCTTGCGGTAACTTATGAGGTCAGTAACGTAACAGATTAAGGACGCAAACTTTTCAGTGAAAAAAGGATTCAATAAGCTTATATTCACCCATCTGTTTGAGAAATGTTCCCATTCAATTTATTGCCCGTAATGAACATCCACATTAACATGTCAAGACGTAGGCAGTTATAATGGTGTGACGCTCCAGACAAAGCCTTATATAACTTTTAAGACGGTTTGAAAGTTTCATGGGTGCGAACCTTTGGCACACTTTTAGATCTCTAAATATTTGGGTGCCCAAAAACGCCTACTTGATGGACTAACAACCAATCTATATACAAAATTACCTTCAGGTGCATCAGGAAAAGGCAGAGAAAGAAACCGCGGGTCTGCTTCCAAAATTCAATATGGGAATAACTCCGATGGTTACCAATGAAGTTGGTTTTCTAGTTGATGATATCAGATTCAATTCCGATGTGAAGCAGATGCCGAGACAGGCGATAGTTGATCGAAAGCACAAGAATTTTAGAAAAGGCAATGACGCGTTTGTGGCTTTTCCTAATGATATGCCTAAATATCTAAGGCCTTGGAGGAGCCAAACCCCGTAAGTAATTCTGGGCCCCACAGGGGGTTTGTTTGTTTGTTTGTAAGAACAAACATACGATCATTTATAAAAATTATGAATACGATACGATATGATAAAATTAATGCATAAAGTCTATATAAACATGGGTCGAAAAATGCGTGGCTTCCGAAATACAGGGTGTTTAAATTTACTTTCTAAAATAGTTTTTTTTAAATATTTTGAACAATATTTGATGTATAACAGTGAAAATTGGTATACAAGGGTTTTTTGGTACGACAAAACGACACATGGTTTTTGAGATATTTCGATTTTTAAAGTTCGATACATTTTTAATTATTTATGATAAAATAACGATAAAAAGTCAGTATCTCGATAATTTTTAGAAGTAGGCTGTGCCTGCAAATATTTTTGAAATTGAAAGCAGAATAAGGTTAAACGTCAATTAGTTGACAGTTAGTTTTGTTGTCTGTTGAAACCTGAAACGTTTTTTTGCAATTGTGAATGCACGAAATTTAGATTCTTTTACCTGTTTTTTTTTGTAAGTTTTATAAAAAGGCCATTTTTATTCTCCAATCAAGAGTTAGCGGATATGATACGCACGAAGATTCCCAAACAGACGACATCCAACTCGCTCAGTATTTGTAAGAGTGCATCGCCAAATAATTGAAAATGGTTTTGGAAATCTCCAAAGGGATCAAAACATAAATGTTCGTCAGCGCAGATTTACCCGTATGATTCTGCGTGAGTTTGATAGAGATCCGACCACAAGTGTTAGGAGAGTTTCTGGTGCCTAGGGAATTTCAGCAAGCCATGTTCACCGTGTTCTTAGAAATGACCATAGACGTCCTTACCATTTGCAACCTGTGCAAGGACTACAGCCAGGGGACGGAGAACGAAGAATCACATTTTGTCAGTGGATTCTTGATAGAACTGATAATAATAGGGAGTTTTTAAGTAACGTTTTATGGACCGATGAGTCATGCTTCACTAGACGTGGAGTGGTAAATTTTGATAATCCACATATTTGGTCGCATGAAAATCCGCATGCAGTTGGGGAAAGAAATTTTCAGCATGAATTTAGTGTGAACGTGTGGATTAGTATCTACCGTAATCGACTATTTGGACCCTACCTTTTGCTTGCAAGGTTAAATGCTGCGACCTTCTTGGAATTTTTAAAGGCTGAACATGGAAATATGTGGGATGATGTTATGTTTGATTTAAGAAGATTGGCCTGGTTCCAGCTGGATGGTTGTCCAGCTCATTACTCGAGAATAGTTAGAAACTGGCTGGACGAAAATTATCCAGAAAGATGGATCGGCCGTGGAGGACCAGTCGCCTGGCCTCCACGATCCCCTGACCTAAATCCATTAGACTTCTTTGTGTGGGGATTTCTAAAAGAAAAAGTGTAGTAGACATCCGTAACCACAAGAGATATGCTAATAGACAGAATCAGGAATGCATGTGATGAAATAAGGCCTTATTTGAATAATTGTGTAGATGTGAATTGTGTATTGAACAATTGGATTTACATTTCGGGCAACTATTTTAGATATTGTATGTTTGTCCTGACTATCCAATAGCATTTTAGTTGTAAATAATTAATTTAATTTGTTAAAAATAATATTGGAAAATTAAACAAATTAATATGCTGTTTTTTTGTGTTTGTTTGGTGTTAGGAATTATTGCTGTGTTTACAAACACAATCTAAACGATCATCTTAATTACTTGTAATGCCCAAATCATCGAAAATGTAAAAAAATATTATTTTCTCATAAATAATAAAAAATGCATCGAACCTTAAAAATCGAAATATCTCAAAAACGGCTAACTATAACGAAAACTCACAGTATAGCTTTTTTATGTTGAAAAGTGCGAAGAATCAGTTTTTCTATTGAAAAAGCAAAAAATTGCACTAAGAAAATTTTTTCGATCATTTTAATACACTACAGGTACAGTAGAGAGCGCCCTCTAGGGGCTACATTAAAACTATGCCCATGGTTCGTTTTGCCGTACCAAAAAACCCTTGTATACCAATTTTCACTGTTATACATCAAATATTGCTCGAAATATTTAAAAAAAACTATTTTAGAAAGTAAATTTAAACACCCTGTATTTCGGAAGCCACGCATTTTTCGACCCATGTTTATATAGACTTTATGCATTAATTTTAAAAGTTCTATCGAATCCTAAAGTTATGCAGCAATAAACTGAAACACCCTGTATATTAGCAAAAACCGAATATCATTATTAAAAATAGATTTATACAAGTGGATATTGTTATTGCACCTTAGAACTGTGCCTAATTTTAGCATGGTGTCGGTATTTAGCATTGCGAATCTGTTATTATGGTTTTCTGAATTTTCGTCTGCCTTTCAGGATCAAAACGATTTTCGCAGGCCTTCCCAGAGCTATTGAATCTGAAGAAGGAGCGACGAGAACAAAAAATCCTCCTACAGGCAAAAAAATTCAGGACGTGGAAGTTCTGAAAAGAATTTCTTCAGATTACAGCATAACTGGGCCTAACCCGATGGACGATCTGCTAAGGGTAACCGTGAACACGTTGACGTTCACTACACACAAAGAAAAAGAAATTCATTTTATACCGCTGAGGCCGGAAAAGCTTATGGCCATCAACGTATCGCCCAAGTACATAGAGGTGGGAAAGGTTAGACGATTTTTTATCTGGTATTAGCAACAATAGACGCATTTTTTATTGTTTGTTGACATTTGGATATAAAGCGTCCACGCAGACAGTCTCAATGATGACAGGTCAGATTTTTTTTTGGAAAAACGCTCAGTCCCGTCGATTTTGTTTTCGAGAGGGGCACAAGTTTGACAAAAAATCACGTCAACGCGTGCAGCCCCCTAAGCGGGGGTGGCACCAACCCTAAAATCTTAAATGGAAAGGGGGGTCGAGTGATACCTTATTTTAAAGGTCTTTCAATTCCCTTTATAATGATGTAAAATACATGAGCTTCAGTTCAGTAGTTTTGAAGATTTATTGATTTAAAGCTTAAAGTAGACTTTAATAGGTACATCAGATTAGTTTGTACTACTTTTAGAAGAAATTTGACTAAAAGAATTTACTTAATAAGTAAATGCGTTTCTTCACTACGCCCATGGTTTGTTTATCATTTTGTTGTTGAAAATAGCTATGGGAGCGTTTTTTTGTGTCAAAAACTTATTTTAAATAGGAATTTAGTACATAGTACAAATTAAATCACAAGCATTTTCAAGGCGTTGTTGAAGTTCTTCCAGGGTATTTAGTGCTCCATCATGATACACCATCTCTTCCAAATAGCCCATCAAAAAAAAAACTAATGGCTTTAAATCCGGGGAGCGAGCAGGCTAAGAAATGGGTCCATTGTCCCCTATCCATCTATTCGGAAACTCATTATTTAGATGTTATGTACTTTTGGTCTTTCTTAAAGGGAACTTTTCCGCAAACAACCTGCATGCTGCGGCTGCATTTTGTTTTCACTGTCTGTATGTTTGTATTATGTCCACTCGTTCAACATTTGGCCATTTTTTAGCACAAAATACTCAGACACGCACTATTAAAAGGCTGATACAATCCGACTGGCGTTAACGCGGATTGCAAAGTTCTCGGTATTTGTCTTGACTTACGAATTCGTTTCAGATCGCTCCTTATACCTCAATGAGTGACTGTTTCACGATAGAAAATAATAACATATTTCCAGTAGATGTAACCATCAAGGCGTTGAACAATTCAGTCGTTATCAAAGGTAAAGAGAAACTGGTAATAGGAGCGTGCGATAGGAAAGAAATATATTTTGATTGCTTCTCTCATGGACTGGGAAGGTAACCTTTTGATTTTCTTATGTAGATTCTGTATAAGGCGGCCGTGAACCATGGAAGGCGAACGCTTCTTGATTATCCAAAATTAGTTCCACTTAGAGTCAGTGGCCGACCAAGCCCATCGGAGAGATAAAAAATAAATGGCGCGCCATTTGTTCAGAAATTCATATATTCATATTCATATAATTCATATCATCCATATATAGGATAAAAAATTAACAACAATTGGATGGAAAAATTCGTTTATGTTTAATGTATTTTTTGCGCTTTTATTCTTATAATTATTATAGCGATGGGGTACAAGAAAATAATAGGTGAGAATTAAATGATAAAAGCGAAGAGAATAGGACAGCTGCAAGAGCCATTTAGTTCAAACAGAGTGAGTTAAATATTTCTAACTGCGACATGCCTAAAAATAAAAAGGTTAACAAATAAGGACTATTTTTACAAAAACTATCTCCAGCAACAACACATAATATTATGTACCAATAAATTTATAATACAGAATACAGAAAAATACATATAATAGTATATTTGTATATTTGCGTTTAAGGTTTCTGAAATATTTGCTAGTTATAATGCTATTGCAATTTTGTAAATGGAAATATATAATTCCTCTTGTATAATAATTATGGTAACTATTATTCAGTTCTATGTAATGTTCTAAATGTGGTGGCAAAAGATGATTTTTTATTTTCAATATAAAAATAATAACCGAGTCTGAAGCGTCTAATATTGGTTTATTCACATTTAAAAAGTTTATGGTTTTCACACAGTCAGCATTTAGCACCTTTAAAACATTGTCTATATATTATCTGCAAATATCTGAATTTTACAAATACCACAAATGTCATTAATGTATAAATTAAATAGTAGTGGACCTAGTTGACTACCTTGTGGTACACCAACAGAAATATTTTCCAAACTTGATAATGTAGGTCCAATTTTGGTTTATTGACTTCTGAAATTAAGTGGTTTTGGAGAATTCAAATAACGCTGATCAACAGCCAAAAAATATCCTAAATAAAATCAACAAAATATTACTATTTTTAATGTGCTAAAACCGGAATGAAACTTATTTTTTCAATATTAGTTCAAGTTTTAGAGATACGGTAATTATATGTGTTCCTGCTGTGACAGTGTTAACATACTAAAATTCACAAGAATGCACGTGCTACGTTTTTATATTCGGCAAGGAAAGATGATGTAATCGGCATGTTTGTGTTACGTTATACATACGTGTACATTATATTGTTTTATATTAGCCATTTTTTCCTCAGTTGGCTGACAGCGTTCATGCAAGATGTCTCGAAAGTGTGTAAACAATCCAGATCAGTTTTGTTACGTGTGTGGTGATGTGACTTTTGCGTCTCAGAGACGGTCTATTACTCCACTAATAACAAAGGCATATCAGCTTTATTTCGGTTGTAAACTAGGTGTTCAAGACAAACAGTGGGCACCCCACATCTGCTGTAATACATGTGCTTCAAGTCTGAGGAGCTGGTTAAATGGCAAAAAACGGTCTATGCGCTTTGCTGTCCCAATGGTTTGGAGAGAGCCTACAAATCATATTAATGATTGTTACTTTTGCATGGTACCTTGTGTTGGACAAGTCACAGGTATGTTCAAGAAAAAAAAATCGGTTATTAACTACCCAAACATACCATCTGCGATGAGATCTGTACCTCACAGTGACGAAAATCCTATTCCAAAACCCCCAGAATCCTACACTTGCGAATCAGAAAACGAATCAGATCATGGCGATCGAGTGATTCGTCAGGAAGAAGATATGCCATCAACGTCAAGAGATCCTGATTTTATACCGAGCACGTCATGCCACCAACCGCACAAAATAACACAGTCAGAATTAAATGATCTTGTAAGAGATTTAGAACTTCCAAAATGTTAGGCAGAGTTACTTGGATCAAGACTGCAGCAGTGGAACTTGTTAGAAGACGATGTTTCGGTATGTGTTTTTCGTAAACGCCACAAAGACTTAGAACCATTTTTCAATATGGAGAATAACTTGGTTTTCTGCAGTAACATTAACGGCTTACGGGCGCTTTAAATATAAACTATAACCCAGAAGAATGGAGATTGTTTATAGACAGTTCAACATTGAGTTTAAAGGCAGTGTTATTGCATATTGGAAATATTTTACCCTCTCTTCCTGTAGGGTATGCAGTTCACATGAAAGAATCATATGACAATATGAAGTACCTATTGACATGCATAAAATACGATGAGCACCAATGGCACATTTGTGGCGATTTGAAAGTTGTTGCACTTTTACTTGGGCTGCAGCTAGGCTACACAAAGTTTTGCTGTTTTTTGTGTGAATGGGACAGTCGGGCAAAGGCACTTCATTACACCAGACAAAACTGGCCTGTTCGTTAATTCCTAGAGCCAGGTCAAAAAAATGTACAGCATATGCCATTAGTAGATTCGAAAAAAATTTTATTACCACCACTGCATATCAAGTTGGGCCTAATGAAAAACTTTGTCAAGGCATTAGATAGAGATGGGTCAGCTTTTCAATACCTGCGTCAGAAATTTCCAAGACTAAGTGAGGCAAAGGTTAAAGAAGGTATTTTTGTTGGGCCACAGATTCGAAATATTTTGAAAGATACACAGTTTGAAAACACTTTAACAGGTATTGAAAAAACTGCTTGGAATGATTTCCGTCTGGTGGTCACTAATTTCTTGGGAAATAGAAAAGCTGACAACTATAAAACCCTTGTCAAAAATATGCTGTCACCGTATCAAAAGATGGGCTGTAATATGTCTCTTAAGATACATTTCCTACACTCACACCTGGACTTTTTTCCTGACAATTGCGGAGCCGTAAGTGATGAGCACGGCGAACGTTTTCATCAGGATATTTCAACAATGGAAAAAAGGTACCAGGGAAAGTGGAAACCTTCCATGCTTGCAGACTACTGTTGGACTCTTGGTAGAGATGCTCCAGAAACGATCCATAAAAGAACAGCAAAAAGACAGCGCATATAGTGATTCTTATAAGTATATGAATCTTGTTACTTTTTTTAATATATCCTTAAAAATAAAAAGTTTTTTTTCTAAACCGCAACTAATTTTTTTATTTCATTGTCATTTTTGGATTCAGCGCCCCAAAATTATCAATGAAGTGCACTTTTCCCACAAGATACAATTAAAAAACTAAAATTTGTTGTCCAGTGTAATATGAGATAGATCTTGTTTATTTAGGAGGACAGAACTATTATAAATATTTCCATGCCTTCATTTTGCGAAACTTTTCAATAATTTCAATAAAATCTGTTTCTTTTGAAATCGTTCTTACAATTGATAACATGGACAAATTAATCAATCGTTCTTGGTTGTGATACAGCTTAGAAAATTTTTGTCACATACTGCTACTGATACGCAAATAGTCAAATAGTATTCTAGTGTCAGCAATATACTGGGCAATGATTCACTAAAGTCCCTTTAATAAATAAATTGAGGAACTTTTTGGGCAGTCTGTCTAGAAACAGCTTCCATATTGAATTTCGTATTTATACGTAGTTTTTCAAGTAATAAAACCTTATTGCTTTCTCTATTTTCGGATTTGTATATAAAGGGATAATGACTGTTTGTTTGTTAGCATCGCCTTCAATTGTCCACTCACTTTGTTTACTTCAAATTTTAATCTAATATACAATGGAATAGACTAATTCATTTTTAGTGAGCGTTCTACTTTCTTTTTCACATTTTTCCAGATACTATGTGCCCGTGTATATTGTTATAAACAACTGCCACATTTTTGATGCCACTGTTTTCGCGGAAGTCGTAACGAAAACGGTTAAATGTCACGAGAAGGAATTGCTCTTAGATCCATCCAAAAATACAGTGTATTTCGAAATATACAATCCTGTCAACTGCGGTATTCTATATAAGGCAGAGGTAGGTTGTTCTTTTTATCTAACAACCTTTGCATGCAATCCATTTTTCCCTGGTATACAACCCTATAATAGGTTGCTCAAGCAATCGCAGCTTATAACCATTCATATACTAAGTGACATATAAATCCGAACACCCAGTTTAAATGGTTTTATTTTAATAAAATTTGGTATAAGTACTTAATGAAGCATAATAAGTAAATGATAAAAATTTCAAAATGATTGCACTGCTTTAAAGCCCTTTGACCTTTAGTAATGTGTGGATGCACCCTGATATGCTACGCATTCTCCAACGCGCCTAGGCATGCTTCTGATCAGGTGGTCAATGTCCTCCTGTGGTATCTCATTCCAGGCAACCACCAACTCCTCTCGAAGTGCTTCTAGAGTCTGAGGAGGATGTTGCAAATTGAGCAATCTCCTACCCATCATATCCCACACGTGCTCAATTGGGGATAAGTCGGGAGATCTTGGTGGCCATGGTAACAATGTGACATCATTATGTTGAAAGAAGTCTATTGTGACTCTTGCAACATGTGGTCGGGCATTATCTTGTTGGAAAGTTGGATCTGCCAGGGTGTCAAGATAAGGTAAAAGATGGGGTTCTAGAACTTCGTGGATATAACGCTGCGCGTTCATGTTACCTCTGATGCTAGATTAAAGGTGACCTGGAACCATAAGCTATAGCACCCCAAACCATAACTCCAACAGTGTGATGAACATGTCTTTCAACAAAAAACTGTGGTTTCCTCCTTTCACCACGTCGCCTTCTAACCCTGGCACGACCATCGTGCATGCCTAAACAAAATCGAGACTCGTCACTAAAGATAATACTGTTCCATTCCTGATCCCAGAGTGACCGTTGTCTGCACCACTCAAGGCGATTACGTCGGTGTTCTCGAGTTAAAGGGAGGACCCAGCGTGGCCGGTATGAAAACAAGCCAAAACTTCTCATTCGTCGGTAAACACTTCGCATGCCAATAGGTCTTCCGTGTTCTGCAAACCATTCATTTGCAATGAACCTGGTAGTGGAGAAACGGTCCCTTAAGTCCAATAATCTTAGGCGGCGATCTTCACGGCCTGTTGTTCTACGGCGGCGTCCAGTGCCCCTTGCTCTTTGCGTACGGCCTTCTCGAAGCCATGCCTGACAACACCTAACCACAGTGTCTACACTTCTTTGCACTCTAACTGCAATTGCCCGAAAAGAAAGTCCAGCTTCCCGAAGTCCCACTATACGGCCCCTATCAAACTCACTAAGTTGACGAAATCGTACTGGTCTCCGTACTCTAGGCATCGTAACCGATCGTAAAGGATGTCATGAACCAAAATCCGCCAACGTTGATTCTTTACTGCGGCTGAAATATTCATTTTTAGAGCGTCAGTGAATTAAAAAAAAGCAGTATAAAAACCGAAATGTCCAACTGATAAGGCTGAAAATTTTTTCACTTGTTATTTACAGTAAGATACATACATTCACCAACTTTTATTAAAATAAAACCATTTAAACTGGGTGTTCGGATTTATATGTCACTCAGTATATTATTATTAGAAACTGTTAGGCAATGTTGGATCATGTGTTATCGTACCATCTTGCATGCGAAATCGTATTGAAATCAACTTGTTGTTGGGCTTCTTTTGATGAAAACAGTGCAAGAGGCAAATGAGCATCAATTTTCTTTTTTCATGTAGATCCAAGAGACGTGCTTCAAGATAGTCCCTGCCTCAGGTATAATAGCTCCGAGAAGTGGGATGACTCTTAGGCTGAGATACATTCCGGAATTCGATCCGCCATCGAATACAGAGCTGTATTTGCACTCTGAAAGTGGTTAGTAATAATAGTAATAACCTGGAGTGAAACGTTTTTGCAAGCTTTTATTTAATTTGAACTGTTAGTATGTTAGTATTTTAAGCATACTGTCTGACCACAGACAAGCAACTGTTTCGTGCTTTTTGCCCACTCATCAGCTTGGTCTAAGCTTGGCCGCAGGTGGACATCGAATGAAATCGTGGCAAGCGTTCTTTCTATGGCGTACGAGACAATGCTGGAGCTGTAAGCCCTGTGGTCGGACAGACATAAGCAGTATGCTAAGTTGTTCGTTAACGAATAGACTAGACGTACGAGGGATATCTTTTAAGTTTTGCACATAGTAGGCCGAGCGGATCGAACGTCAGTACTGAATCTAAACCTCACTCTTTAGTAAACTTAGCGGACACAGTATTCGATTCTGGTAACAGATGGCGTTTATTGCTGTCTTATTTTGATAATGCTTAAAACTATACAGGGTGTCCGCAAAGTTGAGGTTTTCCTTTTCAGAAACAACTACCCTTGAAATAACAAAGGTAACGTGTAGTGAAACGAGGGCGACCAAGTAAAAAAAATAAAGGAAAAAGTACTCAATCTCCAGTTGACGAGAAGGGCTAAGTACGTCTCTGCCCGAAATCATACCGCTCCAACAGAAAATGAAATCAGCTGATGCGCTACCGAGCAGATGCAGGCAAACAAGGAAGGCAAAATGTTGCGTAAAATGTCTAGGTCTCGGTTCACCATGCACATTCACCGAAAATGTTTGTTGAAAATGTGTCCGACGGACAGCGTGCGGATTTTCTACTGACCAAACATGAGTGTTGCGAAAGTTATTCACCCCATTACGCGTGAACGTAGATACGTCTGTCACCAATATGCACTTCAAAAAGTCCGGATTATTGTCATGTTGATGCAACAACGACTCACAAAACCGCACCCTTGCTGGAAAATCGTCAGGTTGAAGGGCTTGTACACGTTGGACGTGAAACGGATACAGCCCCTCTTCACGCAGCATTTGCCACACTTTAGTTTTTGATACTTGCACTTCTCTAGCCACGTCTCTAGTGCTTGTTGAGGGATTCTCGTCTACGCGATTACCTTCGACACGCGGGACCGTAACCGTCGGTGGAAGGTTGCATACGGACCTGACACACTGTACCACTCGGTGATGTCGCGGGTCGCGGCTACAGGACGGTATTCAGATATTTTTGATGTTGCAGAGCCCTTTATCTCGGTTCCCTTAAGACATTTGTGTATATGGTACTAAGAAAAATTGCTTATGTTTTCAAGATCTACACGTCGTGTAAAGGAAAACCACAACTTTGCGGACAGTTAAGGTCGCTCGTAGAAAGTATACAGTCAACCTAGTTGATGCCATTTTTTTCCTGATTCTATTTCTCTATTATGGCGCTCGATACACTTGTCGGGTCACCGTCCCGGGAATCGGATCCCAGCGGTGGCAAGTTTGTTCTTGTCTTTTACGTTTGTCCTTTTTCCACAGGTGCAAAGCAAGTAATCCGAGTAAGATTCCATGACGGACCCGCGAAAGTGCCAGTCGCTTTCAATACAGATGTAGTGAATTTTGAAAACATACCGCTGAACATTCCCGTCCACCAAAATGTTATTCTGAGTAATCATTCTGACAGGAGTATCGCTATTACTGTCGATAATCCAAGGTAAAAACGTAAAGACCCGAACAAGTTTAATACGTTTTCCATGATGTAATTAAATCGGTTATTTCAAAAAGTACTTAGGTCCATTTTAGTTTATTAAAAACCCCTCACTGAAGTTTACGTGTTTCGGGTATTTATCTCTTTCCGAGAACGATCCGACCAAGATAGATAAATATGCTTTATTGTCTGAAGAATATAATCATTCCTAACGACAATGCTAACTTAAAACTATACTAAGTGACATATAAATCCGAACACCCAGTTTAAATGGTTTTATTTTAATAAAAGTTGGTGAATGTATTTATCTTACTGTAAATAACAAGTGATAAAATTTTCAGCCTTATCAGTTGGACATTCCGGTTTTTATACTGCTTTTTTTTAATTCACTAACGCTCTAAAAATGAATATTTTAGCCGCAGTAAAGAATCAACGTTGGCGGATTTTGGTTCTTGACATCCTTTACGATCGGTTACGATGCCTAGAATACGGAGACCTGTACGATTTCGTCAACTTAGTGAGTTTGATAGGGGCCGTATAGTGGGACTTCGGGAAGCTGGACTTTCTTTTCGGGCAATTCCAGTTAGAGTGCAAAGAAGTGTAGACACTGTGGTTAGGTGTTGTCAGGTATGGCTTCGAGAAGGCCGTACGCAAAGTGCAAGGGGCACTGGACGCCGCCGTAGAACAACAGACCGTGAAGATCGCCGCCTAAGATTATTGGCCTTAAGGGACCGTTTCTCCACTACCAGGTCCATTGCAAATGAATGGTTTGCAGAACACGGAAGACCTATTGGCATGCGAAGTGTTTACCGACGAATGAGAAGTTTTGGCTTGTTTTCATACCGGCCACACTGGGTCCTCCCTTTAACTCGAGAGCACCGACGTAATCGCCTTGAGTGGTGCATACAACGGTCACTCTGGGATCAGGAATGGAACAGTATTGTCTTTAGTGACGAGTCTCAATTTTATTTATGCATGCACGATGATCGTGCCAGGGTTAGAAGGCGACGTGGTGAAAGGAGGAATCCACAGTTTTTTGTTGAAAGACATGTTCATCACACTGTTGGAGTTATGGTTTGGGCTGCTATAGCTTATGGTTCCAGGTCACCTTTAATCTTTATCAGAGGTAACATGAACGCGCAGCGTTATATCCACGAAGTTCTAGAACCCCATATTTTACCCTGGCAGATCCAACTCTCTAACAAGATAATGCCCGACCACATGTTGCAAGAGTCACAATAGACTTCTTTGAACATAATGATGTCACATTGTTACAATGGCCACCAAGATCTCCCGACTTATCCCCAATTGAGCACGTGGAATGAGATACCACAGGAGGACATTGACCACCTGATCAGAAGCTTGCCTAGCCGCGTTGGAGAATGCGTAGCACATCAGGGTGCATCCACACATTATTAAAGGTCAAAGGGCTTTAAAGCAGTGCAATCATTTTGAAATTTTTATCATTTTCTTATTATGCTTCATTAAGTACTTATACAAAATTTTATTAAAATAAAACCATTTAAACTGAGTGTTCGGATTCATATGTCACTTAGTATAGATGAGTAAGAACTGGGATAATACGGACAATACTTACCTTGCAATTTTCTTTGTGTAAAAATAAATTTTGTTGTTTCATACGAACATGTACTTTTCACAATTCAAGGTTTGGATGTAAAACAGAAACGTGGACTTTTTCTGGCAGTGCACTTTGCCCATGTTTCTCCTATGTACCATAAAAATATTAAAGCATGCAAAATTAAAACATGTGACATGCTTCTAAGTCAATATTCAAGTGTCAGTTTTATTAATAAGCAATAAAAATTTTATTAATACGATCTTTTTGCTGTTTGTTATGACCCTATTTCCTACTGAAGCTACGCGACTCTAGACATTTTCCATTATTATTATCATTAGTGTGAACGTTATTCGAAATTCCAATCTTTTAAGGCTCAAATATTATACAGGGTGTTTGGTGCATCGTTAGCCAGATTGAAATGGCGGATAGGGGAGGTATTTTTCTATAACTCAAACAGTTTTTAGCTCAACGACATTAAATATGTAGATTCTTTAATTTTTTTTAGTAAAAACACCAAAATGTAATACACAAATAAAAAAAAATAAAGAGTATGTCCACCTAATGATTAATTTATCTTAATGGGTCATGTACCAATTTTACAAGATCAACATTACTTGCCAGCAGCATGTAGTTTTTTATTTATAAACTCACAGGTATTTAAAATTTTCAACGAATTCAATATCTTCACCATCAATATTCAGTTGAACATTTGTACATTGTTTTTTTCCGATTAACAAGGCTTTCGTTTTACTTGCATTTAATTTTAGTCTGTTAGATGCTAACCATTTTGAGACAAGCTTCAAGTCTTCATTTATATAAGAGATACCAGCCTTAATATTTTTAGTACTTATATAAATCATAGTGTCATCGGCGAAAATATGAATTTTGCATTTTTTGACTATGTCAGGTAAATCATTTATGTATAAAATAAAAAGAAGTGGTCCCAGGATACTGCCCTGTGGAACACCCAACGTATTTTCAATTTTTGATGAAATAGTGTCATTAACTGCGCCTCCACTATAGACTGCATTAATTGGTCATGCACTACGGACTCCAATAATTTTTCAATGTCTGGTAACACATTTACTGGTCTCATATCGCTGCATCTTTTAGAATTTTTTATTTTGGGAACTGGTGTTATTGTAGAGCATTTCAAATTTTCAGGAAAAGAACTGCTTCTCAGCGAACAATTGATCCAATTTAATACAGGATATCCCAAAATTTCGAAACAGTTGTGTATTACATTTTGGAGTTTTTAGTAAAAAAAAATCTACATAATTAATTCCATTGGGCTAAAAACTTTTTGAGGGACCTGGGATCCTCTGTCCGCCATTTCAATTTGGCAAACGATGCGCCAAGCCTAAAAAATCACTTTAGTACTGACTTATTTGTCAATGACACGGTTTTTACTATCTCCTCAAAAATCTGAATCGCTTCACCTAGGGGGCTTTTGCAATGACCGATTTCATTGTTGTACCTAATTTCACTGGTCTATTAGGCCGATGGAAGGAGTAGTCGTATCTCCGGACCAGGGTATTTTGATGGCAAAGTGCGACGAAATTATCAAGATCCGTGTGCATTTCAAAACTCCAATAAAGTTCAAGATAAAACTGAAAATCAGGGCACACAGTAGCAAATTTGAAATCACCATCATGGGTAAAGTTACGTTGCCGTTCGTTTCTTTCGAGCCCAATTTCATACAGTTTCCAAAGATACCTGCAGGTAAGCAAGAAATAAAAATTGTTTATAATAGCTTTGTCCTAACAAACCATCGATCGATTGAGGTTTGCTAAGGAGAAGAAGTCGTATAATATTCTATTGCAACATTATAGTTCTGAACTATAGTGTATTTACACCCAAGATAGAATGGATGCGTGATTACCAAAGGCAAGGACGGCGTACAGGGCCGCATTTAGGGCTACCTCCGAATGATGGACTACCACCAACGTGTTGGAAAACAAAGATGACAGTATTTAACAGAAACAGAAACTTAACAAATTACTCAAATACACTTAACAACAACCAAGCAAGGTGAATACGAAAACACGAGCACGCAGTTATAGACGCGACGGACGGTGGCCTGAGTGCAACTCTGCCTGCCCTGCCCCTGCCCCGCGCATTATTCCGCCAGGCGACCGCTTGAAATTTAATGGCGAATTGACCAATAAGAGACGTTGTCCCCACCTGTCACCGACAGATCACGCGCTAACTGTTATTATTTACATCTCATCTTGAATTTGGATTCAGTTTAGTTCTGAGCATGCGCAGAAAAAGGATTCAAAATTGGTTCTAAAGCAGTTCGGACCTACTCGTTGGAACAAACCTAACAAAATATCTATACAGATGGAATACTTTTATGAACGTCTGAAGATATCCAATTTAAATAAGCGTTAGAAAGAGTGCATTGAAAATTCTAACACCATCTGTGGGTCAGTAGCAGAACCAGTGGCGGCTCGCGGCAAAATAAAACAGGTGTTCTGCAAATCCGAACTTACCTATTTTTTATATGTCAGTTTGATCCTGCGCTCCTTCTTGGCAGCAAATTTGTCGATCGCCTTTCCGTTGAAATTTTCCGTGGTCGAAATAAATTCCTTTTCGATGGACAGCATCGACAACGCTGTAAGGCGATCCTGGGTCATAGTATTTCGCAGAAAGGTCTTGATTCTTTTCAATGTTGAGAAATCTCGGCAATCATTCCGTGCATAAATAACAGACAACTCTGTCTTTAAACGTCTTTTTTCTAATTCGGGATAAGCCAAGCAGGCAGTTTCCAACTTGTCATCAGGAAACTTGCCACAGTATTCTCCAAAGCGTTCGGGGAAAGAAAGGGATGCGGCTACCAAATGATCTTTGAATTGAAACCTGTCATTTGCAGAATTGACCATATTGTCGCATTCTTCTAATGCGGCAACTCGATGATCGTGACTGCTATTATTACGTCGTCTCCTTTTGTTGCCTTGGGGTGCAGTGCAAATACTTTTGGCTTCGTTTATTATGTCATCAATTTTATTTCTCACATCGACAATACCTTTTTCAAAATTATCGATAGCCGTTTTAACTTGCGCTGGCTCGGTTTTTCTCTTCTGCAACTGGTTGAACAAGATGTCGACGTGAGGCATGACATAGTGAAAAAATGTCAACCAAAACACGAAAACAGAATCGTTTAACATACGGCGAATACCGGAAGCTGCCTTGCAAACGGTTTCATTAGTGAAATTTTCTTCTATCTTTTCCATGCATTCAATGACTCTCTGTTCTCAAACACTACATTTATTGTTCGAATATTAGAATTCCAAAGAGTTGGGTTTTTCCCGAAATGTCCGTTGTTTCATCTGCTATTATCACCAAATAGGAGGCTCTGTTAATCTGTTTTATTATTTCTTCATGACAAACTTCATGAATACAATCCAGTAGATCGTTTTGTATTTCTTTCGAAGTTCCTTTACATATTGAAGCATTCTTTATGTGTTCGCTTAAGGTTGTATCAAGCTCAGCAGAAAAATTAATCAGTCCACGAAATATTCCCGGGTTTTGGGATTTTATACCGAGCACCGACCGACCAATCAGATATCGTACTTCGCATTAGATCCGTACGGATCTGTATAACGTGCAGCACATACTTACGCTTAGATCGCGCATTTGATTTTGCAGAGAGAGACAAAAGCATGCGCGTGCGGCTTGTATCGAAGTAGTGCCCAGATCCTTTTCAAGTGGCCCATGAATAATGTTACGCTGCGGTCGCGACGAAAATGACAAGTACACAATTGGTCGATTATAACGCTTTCTCGATACAAAACAGACTCGACGCTGTCTCTTGCGGGGGCAGCGTTGCCGATACTGTTTCTATTGCGTGATAACATGGAAAATGAATAATGATCAAATTACTACTGCTTTTTTCTGTTAAGACAGAAGTCTTGGCAGTTCTGCAGCTCTGCAGAACTTAACGGCCAGCCGCCCCTGGTGCAGTAAATTTTTAAATGCATTTTTGTGTTCTCTACTGCCCCACAGATGTCGCTGGTATCTTTCAGATCCCTTTTCGGGTGTACAGTATATGTATGTGTCTTGAGGTAGGAATCGTTAGTCAAATTACTCGTATACCTTTTACAGGTGCATTTCAAAGGAGAACCTTCCGAATTACCAATACTTCAGAAGCGCTATCTTGCGTCAAGTTTGACTTGAGCATTTTCGGCGAACTATTTTTGACCTATGCAGACGGCAAGATGGTTACTGATACCATTACTCTAGAACCTCGCGTGTTTGTGGATCTATGCCTCGAATTTAGACCAATAGAGCCTGTGGTGTATACCACGTATATACCGTATGTTCTTAATGGTGTGATAGGACCCCCGCAGTTGAGCATCGCTAAGAGCTTAGACCCCATGAGCTATTTCACATTGGATCAGGAGGTAATGACCATTCCACAACTATTCTTACTTCCCACAGCACTGGCGAGGATTAAAATAATAATAATAGACGTCTTTATTTATCCACAATTACATTGTAGTATAGCCAAATGTCAGACTTATATGACGAAGTTTAGCATGCTGCTACTCTTACACTTAACCATATAGTCTCTAGCAGATGTTCAAAAGAATACACTATCCACAAACAGATTTGGTTCATTACATCGAAAGTAAAATTTAAAAAAAAAAAGAGAAAAAGGCATACTTTCCAAACCCAAATGCACCAAAAAATTATTAATCTGAATTAAAGATGGAATAAAAAAGAAATGAATGATTACGTAAATTATATGTTTGGAGGGTTGAGTAATAATGTTTTAACTTTTTGTCGAAAGACAGGTAATGAAAATTCTTTATATACTTTAAGAAGGTCATTATACATACATTGTAAGAAAAACTGCGTTTAAAAAGTGTAGGCGTATGCAGGGGTATTCTAATATTATTTTCTCTGAGAGTTCTACAGTGAACATCATTATTAAATGAAATTTTTTCCTTCAAGTAATAAGGTTTAGACGTGAGCAGCAATTTGTGAACAAAAACTGAATAGTGATACTTGACCATGTCATTAATTTTTAACCAGTTTAGAACGGGATATTTCGCCGATACATGATCAAATTTACGTAAGCCAAAAATGAATCGTATACAATTGTTTTGAATAACTTGAATAACGTTTTTAGTGAAATTGTCTAAACAAGTATAGTATACGATATTACAATAATTTAGTATACAGGGTTATCCAAATTAAGTGTCCACCATTAGTAACTTTGTTATTAGTGAAAATACAAAGTTGTTTGAATTAGCAAACTAGTAGCATTTTTAACGCTGGTAAAAATGAGAAATAAAAAAAAACAATTGAGAGTCGTTATTTTGATTTTTTTCGGTAAAATAACATTTTTTTAAATGGAAACCCCTGTATATTATATTTTTTTCTGTTAAAGCATCAAATTTTAAACAAAAAAGCTTACAATAACTTTTCTCCTAGGTTACAAATTGTTGAAGTTATGGCCTCCAATCTGAAACAATTAAATTGTATCGACAAACTTTATTTTCAACATCAACTTATAATCTTACAAAATACAATAACAATTTTTTTTAAAGAAGATGCTCGAAAACACCACCTTGTTCTTCAATACATTTTTGGGCACGTTTTTCAACTGCTCGAACTGTCTTAAGTATGGTCCTACCATCTATCTGGGTTATCTTTTCCCTAACTGCAGTCTTTAACGCGTCAAGGTTATCGTACCTTCGCTTGTAAATTTGGTTCTTTAAGTAACCCCACAAGAAGTAATCAAGTGGGTTTAGATCTGGTGATCTGGGAGGCCACTGTATTGGGCCATTTGTTCCTATCCACTGATCATTAAAAGTAGTACTTAGAAAATGATAAGTACCTCTGGAGTTGTGGGCAGGTGCGCCATCTTGCTGAAAATGCAGATGATGTCTACTTATAAGATCCAATTCGTCTAAGAAATTAGTCAGAATTTCTGACATAAACTCCACATATCTTTCACCAGTTAGGGTTCCCTCATAAAAGAACGGGCCAACAATTTTTGAACCAATTATACCGCACCAAACGTTGAAACTGAAACGGACTTGTGGGCCTCTTGGATGTACTAACAAAAGATTTTCTCTTGACCAATAATGGTGGTTTTTTCTATTAAACATTCCAGAATTTGAAAAATTTGATTCATCTGTCCATAAAAGGTAACGAAAGTTATTTACATTTTGGCGACAGAAGCTAAGATACCAATGGCAAAAAACAAGTCTTCTCTCTGGATCCCCTGCCAAAAGCGTTTGAACTGGTCGGTACTTATACGGAATAAATTTGTATTTTTTTAAAATCCTTTGAACAGTACCATAACTGAAATTAGAGTCCTTGAGAATATCTGCTATTGAATTCTCACGATAAGCTTCAAAATATCCAATAACTGCAATTTCCGTGGCCTCGCTTATTATGAATTCTTTTTTTGCCCTTGTTTTAGCAAAAACATTTTCGTTGTCCCTAAATTTTCGATAAAGTCTCAGAAAATATCGTTCTTGGAGGATTTTCTGCACACTAAATAGCATTCTAACATATCACACTTTTCTTCATGGGAGAACATTTTTCTTTAAATTAATGACACAATAAAGCTTATAAACAAGTATTTACACTAATGTTTGACATTATTTGATTTTATCATTGTTTTCCAAAGCCTTCTAGTTGCGAGTATGTCCAGTTTAACAATTTGTCGCTTATCTTAATGCTGTCAAATCGCGAACGCCATGTTGTTTTCATAGCCGTCTTAATATTATAATACTGCAAATAATTAAAAATATTTATCGTTATTTTGACTTTATTTTTGACTTTAGCGGAAAAGTCATTATGAACTTTTTTGTTTAAAATTTGATGCTTTAACAGAAAAACATATAATATACACGGGTTTCCATTTAAAAAAATGTTATTTTACTGAAAAAAATCAAAATAACGACTCTCAATTGTTTTTTTTTTATTTCTCATTTTTACCAGCGTTAAAAATGCTACTAGTTTGCTAATTCAAACAACTTTGTATTTTCACTAATAACAAAGTTACTAATGGTGGACACTTAATTTGGATAACCCTGTATATATGAACAATGCTTCACATAGTTTTTTACGCATCTTAAAATTTAGTAAATACCTGTTTGCTATAAGAGTGCGCAGCCGTAGGTAGGTTTTCTGAGATAGACTTTTAACATGTTCAATAAACCTTAATTTTGTATCAAAAACAACTCCAAGAATTTTTGCAGAATCAGAAAATTGCAAGATTTGGTTATTTATCTGAATGTTCAAGAGCGCAAAATAATAACATTTTAGATTTTTGTGGATTAATAAGTAGATTGTGATCTAAAGAGTATTTAATTAATTTATTAACATCGTTTTGTAAAATTTGAGTAGTATTATTGACATTATCTGGGTTAAAATAATGAAGCAATTGCGTATCGTCTGCAAATGACTGGACATGAGAATTATCAATACTTTTGCTTAAGTCGAACGTAAATGAGGAACAGAAGCGGCCCCAATACAGAGCCCTGAGGTACGCCTGAGGGAATTATTGTCACTTGAGACATTTCTTGATTGAGAAAAACACACTGAGTTCTTTGATGAACGTAACTGTCGAAAAATGAAAGGGATACACTGTCAAGACCTATGTAATTTAATTTAGCAAGTAATAATTTATGATTGATGCTGTCAAAGGCTTTCGAATAGTCTATAGAAATTAAGGCTAGTGCATCTTCTTATCAAAGGCACTTAAAATATTGTCTTGCAGATTAAGTAGGGCAGATGTTGTACTATAATTTTTTCTAAATCCGGATTGAGTGTCGGGAAGTATAAAGAATTTTTCTAGGTAGGCGGTCAATTGGAAGTTTATAATTTTTTCTAAAATTTTGGATAAAATTGGTAATAAACTGATAGGTCTGAGATCATTATACTCAGTGGGTTTCATTCTTTTAGGAATTGGAATAATTAGAGCTTGTTTCCATGTGTTTGGAAAGTAGCCTTTTTCCAAACAGTCGTTAAAGATGTGGACGATGTGATGGAGGATAACTGGCAGGCAAAGCTGGATCATTGACAGGGATATACCATCAATTCCCTTCGCATCAGATTTTAGGCTCCCTATTGTCTGTAATACGTCATTTGAACTAATCTTATTCAATGAAAAAATATATTCAGAGCTCAATTTATTTTTGAAATAGTTTTCGGAAACTAGTGAATCAACAGATTTATAGCTATAAACAGACATAAAATAATCATTAATTTTGGTAGGGTCATTAAAACTTGCCGGAAGGGTTGGTTTACTACGAAAATTTATATCAAGTTGTTTGAGAGACTTCCATAATTTTTTTGAATCATTTTCATTTGCCAAATTTTCGATATATGTATATATAATATTAGATTTCGTAAATAATTCATCTATGCCCGATGTAGAAAGATCGATAAGAAAATCATCCTCACTGAAATGTTTAAAATCCCTGATTGTGATAAATTTTTGTTTTCTTTTATAAGATGTCAAAATGAAAAAATACGAGATTGTGGTCCGAAATACCATTCGTGTCCATGACGGAAGAATAGCTGCATATTTGAGGATTATTTAAAAATATTGGATCGATTAATGTTGCAGTACTATTTGTGACACGGGTGGCTTCCGTTACGATTTGTGTGAACCCCATCAGCTCAAAACTCAGTGAGAATATATTGTTATTAAAAAAATTCATATTCAGATCTCCCAATATCACGATGTTATGATGATATAACGAGAGGCTGGGTAGGAAACCATTTAATAAATCTGCACATTGTTGTATGTTTTTAGAGGGTGGTCGGTACAAAACACCTACTAACAGTTCACACTTACCCGCAACCAATTTAACCCAAATGCTTTCGATAAAATCACCAAAATTTGTATGAATATCTACCTTTTCAGCATGTAAATTTGATTTAACATAGATTCCAACTCCACCACCACGAGATTCTCTATCACAACGCAAGAAACAATAGTTGCTAATATTAACCACATCATCAGTAATATTTTCATTTAGCCACGTCTTTGTGACAGCGAATACAAAATTTTCTAATGCTATTAAATTTACAATAGCATCAAAACTAGACATGAGGGAACGTACATTCAAGTGTCCGATAAGCATTTTACTACCAGCCATTAAGAGTATTTGAATCGTACATAATTTAGAAAAGATTTTGAGTATTCTAAATAATTCTAAAATGATCAAAATAAAATTCGTGAGAGATGTTTTTGTTGAAAGAATTCATACACTGGGCAATTTTTGTCTGTCGGAAGATGATCGGTACTGTAAGATTTTTTATACTGGTGATTTGAATACAAACAGTTGCAACATTTCGAATGTGCCTGCTTACAAAAGGAAGTGTCATGGTTTTCTCCACACTGAGCACAGACTTTAGGATTTTGGCATTTTTTTCCAGAATGATTAAATCGGAAACAATTTGTGCACTGAGACACTTCATTATTTGTGTATACAGATACATTTTGAAATCCTAATAGAATTTTTCCATTATAATCTTCAAAAATCTGTTTAAATAAATTACCTGTGACCTCTGCGTAAATAATATAAATTTTTTTTTAAGCAATATACTTAATAAAATTTATCTTAATATCTTCTTTTTCTATGAAATGGTTTTGGCTTGTGATGTTTTCTACTATCTCTTCTTCGGTAATTCGTCCATCTGTATGTATTAAAAAAAAATCGAAAATGTGTTGATGTTATATGAGATGACAGGGTCGCCAACTAAGAGTGTTAGGTTCTGTATCTGGCAAACTATCTTCGACTTCAAAGATCTGAAATTTGTTTGTTAATATACAATTCACAGAAACGTCACTTTTCAGAATCAAGATTGCTCGCTAGTGGCCATTTCAAAAACTTGAAAATAGTTTCCAGGTTATTCTCTTTGCCATTTTAGTAGAACTTTTTTTGACGCAAATCTCAAAGATGGATACGTTTCCAGATACAGTATCTCTCATGCTTCATTGGCGAATAACATGTAACAAACATACACACCTTCAAAACTATTTGCGAACACGCCGGTGGCCTGATGACATTTTGTAATTTCAAGAAAAACCTACCGAGAAGTGTTCAATTCGACATTGTATCATGCAACACGAAGCTGAGCTATCTGAGGGTTGGCTGTACAGCTGGAAAGCCTTGGTTGATGATCTCTCCCTTAAACATGCATTTCCAAGGACAGACCGAAGAGTCTCTGACTTACATGAATTTCCGTGTCTCCAACGTCTCGAATGTGCAGCAGAGGTTTGGTTTTCTCTATGAGGCGTGCGAGACACAGAAGCCTTTCAAGATTTTTGATGAGACAGGACTTGTTTCCAAAAGGTAATAATCTGTGGATTGTTCTTTTCAAAAGGACTTCTTTGCCAGGCCTGAAGTTGCGTCAAAAAATTGATGAATAAACCATTTCTTAAGGAAACTGCAAAAAATATTTTTCACTCTAGAAGCCTTTTTTGGCATTTTGAGCAATCATAAAAAGCTACATGAAATTCAGCATTCAACTGACCCCGCAAATGTACGACAACTGAATGCTTCTTTATCACCAAACAATACACGCAGTCACCACAAAAACTTAACACAGTAACCTGATTATTTTATCACTTGTTGATCATGGCAAGATAAATCAATTATATAGGTGTTTACCTCTTTCTGTCACTCAGTATACAGGGTGTCCGCAAAGTTGGGGTTTTCCTTTTCAGAAACAACTACCCTTGAAATAACAAAGGTAATGTGTAGTGAAACGAGGGCGACCAAGTAAAAAAAAATAAAGGAAAAGGTACTCACTCTCCAAATGACGAGAAGGGCTAAGTACGTCTCTGCCCGAAATCATACCGCTTCAACAGAAAATGAAATCAGCTGATGCGCTACCGAGCAGACGCAGGCAAACAAGGAAGGCAAAATGTTGCGTAAAAAGTCTAGGTATTGCATCCCGTCCAATCGATTTGGGAGAATAAATGGTCCAATGAGCATACCGTTTACCATGTCAGCCCAAACATTCACCGAAAATGTTTGTTGAAAATGTGCCCGACGGACAGCGTGCGGATTTTCTACTGACCAAACATGAGTGTTGCGAAAGTTATTCACTCCATTACGCGTGAACGTAGATTCGTCTGTCACCAATATGCACTTCAAAAAGTCCGGATTATTGTCATGTTGGTGCAACAACCACTTACAAAACCGCACTCTTGCTGGAAAATCGTCAGGTTGAAGGGCTTGTACACGTTGGACGTGAAACGGATACAGCTCCTCTTCACGCAGCGTTTGCCACACTTTAGTTTTTGATATTTGCACGGGTTCGTTTACCTCTACACGCGTGAGCGTCGGTTGAAGGTTGCATACTGACCTGACACACTGACCCCGACCCAGTTCTGTCTTCGGGTTGAGCTAGTGTCCTAGTACCACTCGGGGATATCGGGGCTACAGGACGGTATTCAGATATTTTTGATGTTGCAGAGCCCTTTATCTCGGTTCCCTTAAGACATTGGTGTATATGGTACTAAGAAAAATTGCTTATGTTTTCAAGATCTACACGTCGTGTAAAGGGAAACCCCAACTTTGCGGACACCCTGTATATGAATAGAATAAAACATTAGTTTTTCATATTGCTTTTAAGGGCGGAATATTATATATTTTGCACTTTTTCAAACGTTTGATCATATATACAACTATCATCTTAGGAATGACTCAGAAAACAATGTACGTCAGCTTGGCAACTTGTCTTCATTGTTAAAATAACCACCTAGCATCTTTGGCGACAATAAAGAAATGTCTACAATACACAATAATAACAATACTCGGTGACATGTATTTATATCACGTCACGCATTTGTTTGCAACGCCTACTTAAAAGAAATATAAAAATCAGAAAAAACACATTTTTCTTATAACCAAGAATATAAATGTAACATATAATACATCATTGAATTCGTATAAAAATGCTATAAGGTACAGACTGTACTTTTTTCGGACCAAGCCGAACCCTTTTTAAAAAAATAGTTCATTTTACAAAAATGCTTTATAATTTTTCAATCCGCTTGTCACCGAATCTTTTTCGCCCAGAACGTAAACCTATTACAGCGTTTCAATCAAAATGAAGCAAGAAACTTGGTTTCAGTATTTAGGTAAAACTTATAACTTTAGCTTTCTCATTGCACCAAGTTCATCCATCAACACTCAAATATCCTGTTTTTCGTCACAGATATTACTACAAAGACCTGCAAGCCGAAGAGGAACTCGTACTGAAAATCGAATTTGAACCTGACGACTTCGGAAAGTACAAAGAAGACATACCGCTATTCGTGGAGAACTTTTTCGACAACAACTGTCCTTTCAACTACCTCCAGCTATCCGCCTCGATTCCAAACCCGTCCATCACCAGCGAAACCACGATCTTGTTTTTCGAAACGATTCCATTACGCGACATGAGATCCAAACGGTTCACGCTACGCATGATCACTCATCAAGCGAATTGTGAATTAGCAGTAGAAAATGAAGAAACTTCACTTAAGATCAAGTACGAGGATGAATCTACGGGAAAACTGAACAGGGACGTAGCCGTAACGGTGACATTTCGCCCAAAGATTCAATGTAATATCAACGCCGTTTTAACGTTCAAATGTTCCTGCGACACCAAGTTTAGAGTCAATGTGACGGCCCAAGCTAATAGTTGCTCACTTGTCACTTATGACACACTTATCAGGTAAATATTTATTATTCAGTCAGGGGAATAAGGAGGCTGAGCAGCCATCCGAATCTTTTTAATGGATCTTAAATCTTGATCTTGACCTTGATCTCGAATCTTGAATCCTGTATCTTGAATCTTGAATCTTAAATCCTGAATCCTGAATCCTAAATCCTGAATCCTGAATCCTAAATCCTGTATCCTAAATCCTGAATCCTAAATCTTGAATCTCGAATCTCGAATCTCGAATCTCGAATCTCGACTCTCGACCATCGAATCTCGAACTTAGAATCTCGAATTTAGAATATCTGATTTAGAATCTCGAATTTAGAATCTCGAATCTAGAATCTCGAATTTAGAATCTCGACCTTAGAATCTCGAATTTAGAATCTCGAATTTAAAATCTCGAATTTAGAATATCGAATTTAAAATCTCGAATTTAGAATCTCGAATTTAGAAACTCGAATTTATAATCTCGAATTTAGAATATCGAACTATGAATCTCGAATTTAAAATCTCGAATTTAGAATGTCGAATCTAGAATCTCGAATTTAGAATATCGAATTTAGAATTTTGAATTTAGAATCTCGAATTTAGAATCTCGAATTTAGAATATAGAATTTAGAATCTCGAATCTAGAATCTCGAATTTGGAATCTCGAATTTAGAATCTTGAATTTAGAATCTCGAATTCAGAATCTCGAATTTAGAATCTCAAATTTAGAATCTCGAATTTAGAATCTCGAATTTAGAATCTCGAATTTAGAATATCGAATTTATAATCTCGAATTTAGAAACTCGAATTTAGAATCTCGAACTTAGAATCTCTAATTTAGAAACTCGAATTTATAATCTCGAATTTAGAATATCGAACTTTGACTCTCGAATTTAGAATCTCGAATTTAGAATCTCGAATCTAGAATCTCGAATTTAGAATCTCGAATTTAGAATCTCGAATTTAGAATCTCGAATTTAGAATCTCGAATTTAGAATCTCGAATTTAGAATCTTGAATTTGGAATCTCGAATTTAGAATCTCGAATTTAGAATCTCGAATTTAGAATCTCGAATTTAGAATCTCGAATTTAGAATCTCGAATTTAGAATCTCGAATTTAGAATATCGAATTTAGAATCTCGAATTTATAATCTCGAATCTATATTCTCGAATTTAGAATCTCGAATTTAGATTCTCGAATTTAGAATCTCGAATTTAGAATTTCGAACTTAGAATCTCCAATTTAGAATCTCGAATTTAGAAACTCAAATTTATAATCTCGAATTTGTAATATCGAACTTTGAATCTCGAATTTAGAATCTCGAATCTAGAATCTCGAATTTAGAATCTCGAATTTACAATCTCTAATCTCGAATCTCGAATTTAGATTCTCGAATTTAGATTCTCGAATTTAGAATCTCGAACTTAGAATCTCGAATTTAGAAACTCGAATTTAGAAACTCGAATTTATAATCTCGAATTTAGAATATCGAATCTAGAATCTCGAATTTAGATTCTCGAATTTAGAATATCGAATTTTGAATTTCGAATTTAGAATCTCGAATCTAGAATCTCGAATTTGGAATCTCGAATTTAGAATCTTGAATTTAGAATCTCGAATTCAGAATCTCGAATTTAGAATCTCGAATTTAGAATCTCGAATTTAGAATCTCGAATTTAGAATCTCGAATTTAGAATCTCGAATTTAGAATCTCGAATTTAGAATCTCGAATTTATAATATCGAAATTAGAATCTCGAATTTATAATCTCGAATCTATATTCTCGAATTTAGAATCTCGAATTTAGATTCTCGAATTTAGAATCTCGAAGTTAGAATCTCGAACTTAGAATCTCGAATTTAGAATCTCGAATTTAGAAACTCGAATTTACAATCTCTAATCTCGAATCTCGAATTTAGAATCTATAATCTCGAATCTCGAATTTAGAATCTCGAATTTAGATTCTCGAATTTAGAATCTCGAACTTAGAATGTCGAATTTAGAATCTTGAATCTAGAATCTCGAATTTATAATCTCGTATTTAGAATCTCGAATTTAGAATCTCGAATTTGGAATCTCGAATTTAGAATCTTGAATTTGGAATCTCGAATTTAGAATCTCGAATTTAGAATCTCGAATTTAGAATCTCGAATTTAGAATCTCGAATTTATAATATCGAATTTAGAATCTCGAATTTATAATCTCGGATTTAGAATCTCGAATTTAGAATCTCGACCATAGAATCTCGAATTTAGAATCTCGAATTTAGAATCTCGAATTTAGAATCTCGAATTTAGAATCTCGAATTTAGAATCTCGAATTTACAATCTCGAATTTTGAATCTCGAATTTAGAATCTCGAATTTAGAATATAGAATATAGAATCTCGAATTTAGAATCATGAATTTAGAATCTCGAATTTAGAATATCGAATTTAGAATCTCGAACTTAGAATCTCGAATTTAGAATCTCGAGTTTAGAATATCGAATTTAGAATCTCGAACTTTGAATCTCGAATTTAGAATCTCGAATCTAGAATCTCGAATTTAGAATCTCGAATCTAGAATATCGAATTTAGAATCTCGAATTTAGAATCACGAATTTAGAATCTCGAATTTAGAATATCGAATTTAGAATCTCGAATTTAGAATATTGAATTTAGAATCATGAATTTAGAATCTCGAATTTTGAATCTCGAATCTCGAACCTCGAACCTCGAATTTCGAATCTCGAATCTTGAAATTTTATGCACTTTTTCACATATTACTTTCTGAGCTACGGGACTCTCAGTCTTTGAGTGTATTCAAACGCCAAACTGAAGCATATTTTGCGCGAGGGCCAATTTTATAACATAAATGAGCTTATTGAATATTTTTTAACTAGTAGCTCTGATATATTACTTATGTATTTGTCTGTTTTTAATTGATTTTAATTATTGTGTCGTATGCCTTTTATTTGTATGACGTATTCCATATCACTTACGAAGTGACACGTCGAAAAAAGGATTGTAATAAATAAATAAAAAGTATTTTCCATAGGTCTACTACAAAACAAAAGTTGAGCTACCCCTTCCCGTTTTTCCCCGATGAGAAAAAAGATCCATTCCTTCACAAAGAAATGAAAACAATCCTTGAAGTAGCGGAAAAGTGGCTATTTAGTCAAGGTTATTTCTATAACCACTATTACAAAATTCCCCATACTATCCGTAAGTATTCGTTCGAAAAGAAGAAAAAAGGAAAGAAAAGGTTCGATCCCAGAGACAAGGATTCAGATCCTATGCGAATGTTTCTTCCTCTGGAAAGATTGCTAGTCAACTTGCTGGATAACTCTGTTACGAAATACTTAGTTGAGTAAGTATCTATTCTACATTTACTTGCGTGTCTACCAACACAATATTATAGTAGTTTTAGGATTGAAAGCTCTATATAAAAACATACTTCTTTACAAGTTTTTAGATAATTTGACCCGTTACTTTGACCTTGGAGCGCAGTTAAACCAAAACGTTTCCTCAAAAAAATATTTCTATTTCATCTAGCGAAACCGCTGCTTCACGCGACGATTTGGACGGCACAATCCACGACTATCGAGTGTACAAGAACATTCTGAGATTCCTTCTCCAGCAAGGAGTGTACGTACAGCAGTGCCATCCAGAGCTACTGCTTAGCTACAGCAGATACACCGTCTTCAACAACAAAATGGTAGACCCGGATCGAGAGTACTCTATCCCTCTTTATAGTACAGAGGACTTCGAGAGGATCAGTTCCTTGTGCTGGATGGACCTAATACTGAAAATATACAAGGTATTTTCTGACAGCAACCAGTAGCACAAGCGTTCACACCAAAGAGACGGCAATCCGACCAGGTGCTCAGTGGCTGCTGGCACTGTCTCCAGTTGGGGTTTTTATACCGCGGTACAGCGCAGCTTGAAGACATTTTGTTAGTACAATTTTTGAGCTGGCACTTTCAAGGTCTGCAAAACCTCGACAGCCTAGGGACAACGGAGCTGTCGTATCCGCTAGTTCTGAAGATAAACTGGTGGGCAGTTGCTTTGTAAAGATGTGTAAATAAAAAAATATACCAATCGACCGCTGTGCGTGTTCTTAAACAGTTGGTCAAGAACCTCCCGACTACTGCAACTTGATATCCGTTCCGAAACTATCGAGTTTAGAATCTCCAATTTAGATTCTCCAATTTAGAATGTCGAATCTAGAATCACGAATTTAGAATCCCGAATTTAGAATATCGAATTTAGAATATCGAATTAAGAATCTCGACCTTAGAATCTCGAATTTAGAATCTCGAATTTAGAATCTCGAATTTAGAATATGGAATTTAGAATATGGAATTTAGAATCTCAAATTTAGATTCTCTAATTTAGAATCTCGAATCTAGAATCTCGAATTTAGAATATCGAATTTAGAATCTCGAATTTAGAATCTCCAATTTAGAATGTCGAATCTAGAATCACGAATTTAGAATCCCGAATTTAGAATCCCGAATTTAGAATATCGAATTTAGAATATCGAATTTAGAATCTCGACCTTAGAATCTCGAATTTAGAATCTCGAATTTAGAATATGGAATTTAGAATATGGAATTTAGAATCTCAAATTTAGATTCTCTAATTTAGAATCTCGAATTTAGAATCTCGAATCTAGAATCTCGAATTTAGAATCTCGAATTAAGAATCTCGAATTTAGAATCTCCAACTTAGAATGTCGAATCTAGAATCACGAATTTAGAATCCCGAATTTAGAATCCCGAATTTAGAATATCGAATTTAGAATATCGAATTTAGAATCTCGACCTTAGAATCTCGAATTTAGAATCTCGAATTTAGAATCTCGAATTTAGAATATGGAATTTAGAATATGGAATTTAGAATCTCAAATTTAGATTCTCTAATTTAGAATCTCGAATTTAGAATCTCGAATCTAGAATCTCGAATTTAGAATCTCGAATTTAGAATCTCGAATTTAGAATCTCCAATTTAGAATGTCGAATCTAGAATCACGAATTTAGAATCTCGAATTTAGAATCTCGAATTTAGAATCTCCAATTTAGAATGTCGAATCTAGAATCACGAATTTAGAATCCCGAATTTAGAATCCCGAATTTAGAATATCGAATTTAGAATATCGAATTTAGAATCTCGACCTTAGAATCTCGAATTTAGAATCTCGAATTTAGAATCTCGAATTTAGAATATGGAATTTAGAATATGGAATTTAGAATCTCAAATTTAGATTCTCTAATTTAGAATCTCGAATTTAGAATCTCGAATCTAGAATCTCGAATTTAGAATCTCGAATTAAGAATCTCGAATTTAGAATCTCCAATTTAGAATGTCGAATCTAGAATCACGAATTTAGAATCCCGAATTTAGAATATCGAACTTAGAATATCGAATTTAGAATCTCGACCTTAGAATCTCGAATTTAGAATCTCGAATTTAGAATCTCGAATTTAGAATCTCGAATTTAGAATATGGAATTTAGAATATGGAATTTAGAATCTCAAATTTAGATTCTCTAATTTAGAATCTCGAATTTAGAATCTCGAATCTAGAATCTCGAATTTAGAATCTCGAATTTAGAATCTCGAATTTAGAATCTCCAATTTAGAATGTCGAATCTAGAATCACGAATTTAGAATCCCGAATTTAGAATATCGAATTTAGAATATCGAATTTAGAATCTCGAATCTAGAATCTCGAATTTAGAATATCGAATTTGGAATCCCGGCCTTAGAATCTAGAATTTAGAATCACAAATTTAGATTCTCGAATTTAGAATCTCGAATTTAGAATATCGAATTTGGAATCTCGGCCTTAGAATCTAGAATTTAGAATCTCAAATTTAGATTCTCGAATTTAGAATCTCGAATTTAGAATATGGAATTTAGAATATGGAATTTAGAATCTCAAATTTAGATTCTCTAATTTAGAATCTCGAATTTAGAATCTCGAATCTAGAATCTCGAATTTAGAATATCGAATTTAGAATCTCGGCCTTAGAATCTAGAATTTAGAATCTCAAATTTAGATTCTCGAATTTAGAATCTCGAATTTAGAATATGGAATTTAGAATATGGAATTTAGAATCTCAAATTTAGATTCTCTAATTTAGAATCTCGAATTTAGAATCTCGAATCTAGAATCTCGAATTTAGAATATCGAATTTAGAATCTCGGCCTTAGAATCTAGAATTTAGAATCTCAAATTTAGATTCTCGAATTTAGAATCTCGAATTTAGAATCTCAAATTTAGATTCTCGAATTTAGAATCTCGAATTTAGAATATGGAATTTAGAATATGGAATTTAGAATCTCAAATTTAGATTCTGTAATTTAGAATCTCTAATTTAGAATCTCGAATCTAGAATCTCTAATTTAGAATATCGAATTTGGAATCTCGGCCTTAGAATCTAGAAGTTAGAATCTCAAATTTAGATTCTCGAATTTAGAATCTCGAATCTAGAATCTCGAATTTAGAATATCGAATTTAGAATCTCGGCCTTAGAATCTAGAATTTAGAATCTCAAATTTAGATTCTCGAATTTAGAATCTCGAGTTTAGAATCTCTAATCTCGAATCTCTAATCTCGAATCTCGAATTTAGATTCTCGAATTTAGAATCTCGAACGTAGAATCTCGAATTTAGATTCTCGAATTTAGAATCTCGAATTCAAGGTCTCCAAAACCTCGACAGCCTAGGGACAACGGAGATGTCGTATCCGCTAGTTCTGAAGATAAACTGGTGGGCAGTTGCTTTGTAAAGATGTGTAAATAAAAAAATTTACCAATCGATCCCTGTGCGTGTTCTCGAAGAGTTGGTCAAGAACCTCCCGACTACTGCAACTTGATATCCGTTCCGAAACTATCAAATTTAGAATCTCCAATTTAGATTCTCCAATTTAGAATGTCGAATCTAGAATCACGAATTTAGAATCCCGAATTTAGAATATCGAATTTAGAATATCGAATTTAGAATCTCGACCTTAGAATCTCGAATTTAGAATCTCGAATTTAGAAACTCGAATTTAGAATATGGAATTTAGAATCTCAAATTTAGATTCTCTAATTTAGAATCTCGAATTTAGAATCTCGAATTTAGAATCTCGAATCTAGAATCTCGAATTTAGAATATCGAATTTAGAATCTCGGCCTTAGAATCTAGAATTTAGAATCTCAAATTTCGATTCTCGAATTTAGAATCTCGAATTTAGAATCTCTAATCTCGAATCTCGGATTTAGATTCTCGAATTTAAAATCTCGAACGTAGAATCTCGAATTTAGATTCTCGAATTTAGAATCTCGAATTCAAGGTCTCCAAAACCTCGACAGCCTAGGGACAACGGAGCTGTCGTATCCGCTAGTTCTGAAGATAAACTGGTGGGCAGTTGCTTTGTAAAGATGTGTAAATAAAAAAATATACCAATCGACCCCTGTGCGTGTCCTTAGAGAGTTGGTCAAGAAACTCCCGACTACTGCAACTTGATATCCGTTCCGAAACTATCGAATTTAGAATATCGAATTTAGAATATCGAATTTAGAATCTCGAATTTAGAATCTCGAATTTAGAATCTCCAATTTAGAATATCGAATCTAGTATCACGAATTTAGAATCCCGAATTTAGAATATCGAATTTAGAATATCGAATTTAGAATCTCGACCTTAGAATCTCGAATTTAGAATCTCGAATTTAGAATCTCGAATTTAGAATCTCGAATTTAGAATCTCGAATTTAGAATATGGAATTTAGAATAATGGAATTTAGAATCTCAAATTTAGATTCTCTAATTTAGAATCTCGAATTTAGAATATCGAATTTAGAATCTCGGCCTTAGAATCTAGAATTTAGAATCTCAAATTTAGATTCTCGAATTTAGAATCTCGAATTTAGAATCTCTAATCTCGAATCTCTAATCTCGAATCTCGAATTTAGATTCTCGAATTTAGAATCTCGAACGTAGAATCTCGAATTTAGATTCTCGAATTTAGCATCTCGAATTCAAGGTCTCCAAAACCTCGACAGCCTAGGGACAACGGAGCTGTCGTATCCGCTAGTTCTGAAGATAAACTGGTGGGCAGTTGCTTTGTAAAGATGTGTAAATAAAAAAATATACCAATCGACCCCTGTGCGTGTTCTCAAAGAGTTGGTCAAGAACCTCCCGACTACAGCAACTTGATATCCGTTCCGAAACTATTGAATTTAGAATGTCGAATCTAGAATCACGAATTTAGAATCCCGAATTTAGAATATCGAATTTAGAATATCGAAATTAGAATCTCGACCTTAGAATCTCGAATTTAGAATCTCGAATTTAGAATCTCGAATTTATAATCTCGAATTTAGAATATGGAATTTAGAATCTCAAATTTAGATTCTCTAATTTAGAATCTCGAATTTAGAATCTCGAATCTAGAATCTCGAATTTAGAATATCGAATTTAGAATCTCGGCCTTAGAATCTAGAATTTAGAATCTCAAATTTAGATTCTCGAATTTAGAATCTCGAATTTAGAATCTCTAATCTCGAATCTCTAATCTCGAATCTCGAATTCAGATTCTCGAATTTAGAATCTCGAACGTAGAATCTCGAATTTAGAATCTCGAATTCAAGGTCTCCAAAACCTCGACAGCCTAGGGACAACGGAGCTGTCGTATCGGCTAGTTCTGAAGATAAACTGGTGGGCAGTTGCTTTGTAAAGATGTGTAAATAAAAAGATATAGCAATCGACCCCTGTGCGTGTTCTTAAAGAGTTGGTCAAGAACCTCCCGACTACTGCAACTTGATATCCGTTCCGAAACTATCGAATTTAGAATATCGAATTTAGAATCTCGAATTTAGAATCTCGAATTTAGAATCTCCAATTTAGAATGTCGAATCTAGAATCACGAATTTAGAATCCCGAATTTAGAATATCGAATTTAGAATATCGAATTTAGAATCTCGACCTTGGAATCTCGAATTTAGAATCTCGAATTTAGAATATGGAATTTAGAATATGGAATTTAGAATCTCAAATTTAGATTCTCTAATTTAGAATCTCGAATTTAGAATCTCGAATCTAGAATCTCGAATTTAGAATATCGAATTTAGAATCTCGGCCTTAGAATCTAGAATTTAGAATCTCAAATTTAGATTCTCGAATTTAGAATCTGGAATCTCGAATCTCTAATCTCGAATCTCGAATTTAGATTCTCGAATTTAGAATCTCGAATTTAGAATATGGAATTTAGAATATGGAATTTAGAATCTCAAATTTAGATTCTCTAATTTAGAATCTCGAATTTAGAATCTCGAATCTAGAATCTCGAATTTAGAATATCGAATTTAGAATCTCGGCCTTAGAATCTAGAATTTAGAATCTCAAATTTAGATTCTCGAATTTAGAATCTGGAATCACGAATCTCTAATCTCGAATCTCGAATTTAGATTCTCGAATTTAGAATCTCGAACGTAGAATCTCGAATTTAGATTCTCGAATTTAGAATCTCGAATTCAAGGTCTCCAAAACCTCGACAGCCTAGGGACAACGGAGCTGTCGTATCCGCTAGTTCTGAAGATAAACTGGTGGGCAGTTGCTTTGTAAAGATGTGTAAATAAAAAAATATACCAATCGACCCCTGTGCGTGTTCTCAAAGAGTTGGTCAAGAACCTCCCGACTACAGCAACTTGATATCCGTTCCGAAAATAACGAGATTTGAATTTGGGACAAATTTTCCATGTCGCGAAACAACTTGCCACTAGATGAGCTACTGAGTAGCCCAAAAGTAAGTAAGCTTGTCATATGCTTCAAGGAACTCGTCTTCGAAAGAGTCTTCACCGAACCACGTGCTGAAGTGGACGTCTACTACGAAGAATTCACGAAGTACTGCGACGAGCATATCGATGAGTACACCGATCGCAACCCGAACGAAGCTAAGCTTTTTATGTGGATGAATTTCCATTTCAAAAAGCAAATTAAGAATCTCTACCCGAAAGAAACGCTCACACGCCCTCCTGTTACATCGTTCAGTCAGGATGATTTTCGAGATGGACTGATGTTAGCTACGTTGGTGGTGGCTTATTGCCCGTATCTTTTGGATCAATTCAAGTCAGTATAAAATAGTGTTAAGGTACGCGTCCACTGGTCCGCATCGCACTATAAACTGATTATGATCTATACTAAGTGACATATAAATCCGAACACCCAGTTTAAATGGTTTTATTTTAATAAAAGTTGGTGAATGTATTTATCTTACTGTAAATAACAAGTGAAAAAATTTTCAGCCTTATCAGTTGGACATTCCGTTTTTTATACTGCTTTTTTTTAATTCACTAACGCTCTAAAAATGAGTCGCAGTAAAGAATCAACGTTGGCGGATTTTGGTTCTTGACATCCTTTACGATTGGTTACGATGCCTAGAGTACGGAGATCTGTACGATTTCGTCAACTTAGTGAGTTTGATAGGGGCCGTATAGTGGGACTTCATGAAGCTGGACTTTCTTTTCGGGCAATTGCAGTTAGAGTGCAAAGAAGTGTAGACACTGTGGTTAGGTGTTGTCAGGCATGGCTTCGAGAAGGCCGTACGCAAAGAGCAAGGGGCACTGGACGCCGCCGTAGAACAACAGACCGTGAGGATCGCCGCCTAAGATTATTGGCCTTAAGGGACCGTTTCTCCACTACCAGGTCCATTGCAAATGATTGGTTTGCAGAACAAGGAAGACCTATTGGCATGCGAAGTGTTTACCGACGAATGAGAAGTTTTGGCTTGTTTTCATACCGGCCACACTGGGTCCTCCCTTTAACTCGAGAACACCGACGTAATCGCCTTGAGTGGTGCAGACAAGGGTCACTCTGGGATCAGGAATGGAACAGTATTGTCTTTAGTGACGAGTCTCGATTTTGTTTAGGCATGCACGATGGTCGTGCCAGGGTTAGAAGGCGACGTGGTGAAAGGAGGAATCCACAGTTTTTTGTTGAAAGACATGTTCATCACACCGTTGGAGTTATGGTTTGGGGTGCTATAGCTTATGGTTCCAGGTCACCTTTAATCTTCATCAGAGGTAACATGAACGCGCAGCGTTATATCCACGAAGTTCTAGAACCCCATCTTTTACCCTGTCTTGACACCCTGGCAGATCAAACTTTCCAACAAGATAATGCCCGTCCACATGTTGCAAGAGTCACAATAGACTTCTTTCAACATAATGATGTCACATTGTTACCATGGCCACCAAGATCTCCCGACTTATCCCCAATTGAGCATGTTTATCATTTACTTATTATGCTTCATTAAGTACTTATACAAAATTTTATTAAAATAAAACCATTTAAACTGGGTGTTCGGATTTATATGTCACTTAGTATATTTTTTGGGAAAGGATGGCAATAAGATCTTAAAAATCGGCTAAAAAAATTCGTAATTTTTTTAATAAAGCATATAAAAGTTTGTACCCGCGGGTACATGCCTGAGATGCAGGTTATTTTATAACCACAGGTATTTCTACGTGAAGGACGCGAATGACGGTCAACTGTTCCACAACGCCTGCTTGATGTGCGAGGCGTGGAAGAAACTCAACCTTTCGTACGAAGTGGACGCCTACCACATCTTCCAACCGAGACCAACGGAAATGATCATGCTTCTAACTTACCTCTACTCCGTTCTTCCGAATTTCTATCCCAAAGAAACGATCGCGATCACCGCTCTGATCTCTGAAAGCGCCACCTATACGCTGGTACTGACAAACTTAGGCGACGTGCCTATCGCTTACACGCCGATGCTATTTTTGAACGACTTGGGGGAGTTTGAGATTGAGAGAAAGATCGTAGTGATACCTCCGAGGCAGAAGAAGCATGTGAAATTGGTGTACAGGGCGAAACATATGGTCAAGGGTACGGCCATTTTGGTGCTGTCTGGTGAAACTATAGGTAACTATTTGACTTTTGAATTCTCTAGTATGCTTTACGTGTTTTATCGAAAGTAGCCAATCATATATCGATTTCCCGTAGTGCTGCTCAAAGTTTTTGATAACAGAAAAAAACGGGAAAATCGTAATTTATAACTTTGCTGTCTTCAGAAAGGACAACATATACTAAGTGACATATAAATCCGAACACCCAGTTTAAATGGTTTTATTTTAATAAAATTTTGTATAAGTACTTGATGAAGCATAATAAGTAAATGATAAAAATTTCAAAATGATTGCACTGCTTTAAAGCCCTTTGATTTTTAATAATGTGTGGATGCACCCTGATCTGCTACGCATTCTCCAACGCGCCTAGGCATGCTTCTGATCAGGTGGTCAATGTCCTTCTGTGGTATCTCATTCCAGGCAACCACCAACTCCTCTCGAAGTGCTTCTAGAGTCTGAGGAGGACGTTGCAAATTGAGCAATCTCCTACCCATCATATCCCACACGTGCTCAATTGGGGATAAGTCGGGAGATCTTGGTGGCCATGGTAACAATGTGACATCATTATGTTGAAAGAAGTCTATTGTGACTCTTGCAACATGTGGTCGGGCATTATCTTGTTGGAAAGTTTGATCTGCCAGGGTGTCAAGATAGGGTAAAAGATGGGGTTCTAGAACTTCGTGGATATAACGCTGCGCGTTCATGTTACATCTGATGAAGATTAAAGGTGACCTGGAACCATAAGCTGTAGCACCCCAAACCATAACTCCAACAGTGTGATGAACATGTCTTTCATCAAAAAACTGTGGATTCCTCCTTTCACCACGTCGCCTTCTAACCCTGGCACGACCATCGTGCATGCCTAAACAAAATCGAGACTCGTCACTAAAGATAATACTGTTCCATTCCTGATCCCAGACTGAACGTTGTCTGCACAACTCAAGGCGATTACGTTGGTGTTCTCGAGTTAAAGGGAGGACCCAGTGTGGCCGGTATGAAAACAAGCCAAAACTTCTCATTCGTCGGTAAACACTTCGCATGCCAATAGGTCTTCCGTGTTCTGCAAACCATTCATTTGCAATGGACCTGGTAGTGGAGAAACGGTCCCTTAAGGCCAATAATCTTAGGCGGCGATCTTCACGGTTTGTTGTTCTACGGCGGCGTCCAGTGCCCCTTGCTCTTTGCGTACGGACTTCTCGAAGCCATGCCTGACAACACCTAACCACAGTGTCTACACTTCTTTGCACTCTAACTGCAATTGCCCGAAAAGAAAGTCCAGCTTCCCGAATTCCCACTATACGGCCCCTATCAAACTCACTAAGTTGACGAAATCGTACAGGTCTCCGCACTCTAGGCATCGTAACCGATCGTAAAGGATGTCAAGAACCAAAATCCGCCAACGTTGATTCTTTACTGCGGCTGAAATATTCATTTTTAGAGCGTTAGTGAATTAAAAAAAAGCAGCATAAAAACCGGAATGTCCAACTGATAAGGCTGAAAATTTTTTCACTTGTTATTGACAGTAAGATAAATACATTCACCAACTTTTATTAAAATAAAACCATTTAAACTGGGTGTTCGGATGTATATGTCACTTAGTATATAAATAACCCGTCGGGCACAGCTAATATACTTCATTGGCTGCATAATCAGTAATAATTTTCTTACACTGCAAATACCACTCGTTTTATGAACATGCAGAACAATACATATAAATGATCCAGATGCGATCTTGCTATTCAGCCAACTTCCTTTCACATCTCAGATATAAAGACCAGAGACTACTCGGCTTCAAACAAAATCTATTTGCTTTCTGCAACCAACAATGCGCGTAGTTGAGTCATTCCTCCATAGATGGACGCTAAAAACTACCTAGTCTGCACGTTGACATTTTATTGGTTTTGTAGACGTTTTTATCTTTGTGACAGTTTAAAATCAAATAACAACTGTGCCGAAGTCACTACTAAAAACGTGCTGAAAAACTGTTTCGAAATTTTGGGATATCCTGTATTAAATTGGATCAATTGTTCACTGAGAAGCAGTTCTTTTCCTGAAAATTTGAAACGCTCTACAATAACACCAGTTCCTAAAATAAAAAATTCTAAAAGATGCAGCGATATGAGACCAGTAAATGTGTTACCAGACATTGAAAAATTATTAGAGTCCATAGTGCATGACCAATTAATGCAGTTTATAGAATAAAACAAAATTTTAGTGGAGGCGCAAGCAGGCTTTCGAAAAAAATATTCCACAGAAACAGCTTTCCAGTTGGTAACTGAGAATTGGAGAAGAGCCATAGACTCAGAAGAAGTTGTCATAGCAGTATTTTTGGATTTGAAGAGGGCATTTGAAACGATTGATAGAGAAGTTAATGACAATATTTCATCAAAAATTGAAAATACGTTGGGTGTTCCACAGGGCAGTATCCTGGGACCACTTCCTTTTATTTTATACATAAATGATTTACCTGCCATAGTCAAAAAATGCAAAATTCAGATTTTCGCCGATGACACTATGATTTATATAAGTACTAAAAATATTCAGTCTGGTATCTCTTATATAAATGAAGACTTGAAGCTTGTCTAAAAATGGTTAGCATCTAACAGACTAACATTAAATGCAAGTAAAACGAAAGCCTTGTTAATCGGAAAAAAATAATGTACAAATTTTCAACTGAATATTGATGGTGAAGATATTGAATTCATAGAAAGTTTTAAATACCTGGGGGTTTTTGTTGACTCTCGATTAATTTTTGATATTCATTATGAAAATGAAAAAGTTATAAATAAAATTAGTAGTAAAGTGGGATATTTATCGAGAGTTTCTGGATGTCTGAGTTCATATAGCAGAAAAATTATCTATAATACCATCATTCTTCCAAATTTCTTGTACTGTTCGACTATTCTATATTTAGCAATTAATTCCATTTTTGAAAGACTGCAAATTTTACAAAATAAGTGCATGAGAATAATACTAAATAAAGATAAATATACTCCAATTAGGCAAATGCTTAGCAAATTAAAATGGCTCAATGTAAAAAATTTTATCAAATTCTTGTAATGATATTCATTTATAAAGTAAAAAATAATATATTTCCATCAAGTCTAACTAATTTAACATCATCAAATGTCGACCATCATTTACATAACACCAGAAATAAAGATGACTTCCATTTAATGACCAAAAAGTATAACATGTGCTACAAATCTGTATTCCATCAAGGGTTGATTGAATATAATAAATTATACTCGGAGATAAAAGACCAGAAAACTTTGACAAAATTTAACGTAAAATTGAGAAATCACTTGTTAAATCTACAATTATAGGTTGCCCAGCATTTACATCATACACCATATGGCTTGAATTTACTAGTTCTAAGTTGTTTACAATTATTCTGTTTATGTAGCCAAATGTGCTAAAAAAATATTTCTACTACTACTACTAGTACTAGGACTAAAAAAACTTAATGCTTTTAAAGCTGCCTGGCTCTCTGAACAGATGGCGATCCACTAATTTGCAGTCTCATTCCTTAGTAGCTCTTTTGCGCAGAGTCGTATGGCCCTTATGATTGAAAAAACCATGCTGAGAAAGGGAAACTTAGCTACAGGCCAAGGGATAAAGTTGGTCATAAAGAATCATTCCGAATTTTTTAAAAAAAAGATATGGATATATAGTTCTACAAGTTTCAATGTCGTTCAAACCGCCGCTTCTGTGTACGGGACAGATCTCTGCTTTTTTCCTAGCTGTTGGAGATTTTGAGGAGCCCAGTGCTTGGTTGATGATAAGCGCATTAACTGTTTTCAAGGAAGATTTTCAAATTTATTTTTGTGCTCTGTTGCTGACTTATACAGGGTGACGCATCGAAAACGTAACAGACGCATTTACTAGCAGCTCAGTTTTTTTTTTAAAAATGCTGAGACCCGTCGATTTTGTTTTCGAGTGGGATACAAGTTTGGCAAAAAATCATGTTAGCACGTCCAGCCCCGTAAGCGGGGGTGACACCACCCCCAAAATCTTAAATCTAAAGGGGGGTCGAGTGATACCTTATTTTAAAGGTCTTTCAATTCCCTTTACAATGATATAAAATTAATGTACTTCAGATCAGTAGTTGTGAAGATTTATTGATTTAAATCTTAAATAAAACTAATACATCATCATTAGTGGAGATAAATATGTTTGGCAGCAAAGTAATTTAAAAATGAAGAATGAACTGACCCGTTAGGCAAGTAAATGGCCACCATGACTCTCCATGCAATAATAAAGATTTTGCTCAAAATGTTGCCGCACATTTTGCAATGTTTGAGGAGTAATTTGAAGGTACTCATTCACAATTCTTTGTCGCAGGTCTTCTAAAGATGTTGGCTGAGTAGCATATTTTACTTTTTAAATGACCCCACATACAGAAATCCAAAGATAGGATAAATGAGATGGGCTGCCAGTAACTGCGTCTGTTTCGTTTTCGATGCGCCACCCTGTATATGGCGCCGGTATCTCAATCAAATATTTCAGTTTGACTAGTATCAGGCTGTGTGCTCTACAATTGATTTGACATTGTAATCAAGTAAAATTAGATCGTATCCTTTTCGAAAAAAAGAACTTTAACTTTTTTGGTACACGCTACTGTATATGTACAGCTATCTTTGTGTAGAATACGTTAATCAATTGTATAACAACATTTTTTTAAGGCTACAAGTTCGCGACAAGCAAAGCGTACGAGGTGATCGGTATACCAAACATCTATAACTTCACCCAGGCGTTTACGATCAGGGTGAATCTGTTCGAGCCGACAGATCAGAGCTTGGTGATCAATTCACCCTATGAAAAAGCGTACGACGCTAGAATTTACGTTTATGTAGATAGCGAGGATTCGAAAATTCCCGAGAAGCTGGACGATTTCGTCGCGATGCACGAGGTGCAGGAAAATAAGGTTGGTCTGAAAAGTTGACTGAATGTATCATTCGTTGACTGCGTTGTCTGTACTGAGGCAGACGAAAAGTCTGATGATCTCAGTCAAAATTTCTCTTACATACTTAACATTACAAAGTTATTGCATTTTTCAAAAAGTATACAATACATAGCTTAAGGCCGACCATATGATGCTCGTCTGGTACGTCGCCTAATTTCAAAGTTAACATTTGTGTTACCATAGATTCCGTTAGTCAAGGTTTAATGTTTAAATAAGATGTCGTTTCACATAGACAAATCCAAGTTATACCAAAAATTGTTTGAAAGTTTTAAAAAATCTCCTACAAGCACGAAAGTACAAAATGTACAAAAGTTAGTTAACGAAGCGTGGCGAAATTACAAATTACAAGCAAAATCCGACAAGGAACTAGATATTATTGTATCTAAGAGAATCGAAGAAGAATTGCAAGCGGCGACTAAGAATAAATCCAATCTACAAAATTTTTTTTCTAAGGTGAGTGACGAAATCATTTTAGGTACCTATGAGTACTAGAAATATTAGAAATCGCCAAAAAGTTTCTCCTTACTGATTAGAAAATATTATGGCCTATCTCAATGTATAGAGGTAATATTCATTATATTATAGATTTATTTCTTATGATTGATTCCGTCAATTGGTCACAAAGTACAGGATGTTAGTTTTATACATATATACAGAAAACTAACACCCTGTATTTTGTGACCGGAACGAATTGCTCGTTTAAACATATTAGATTTAAAACCATAGGGTTTTGTATTTACCATATATATTGCCATATACTTTGTATTTATGCAGCTTAATAAGAGAATCTTTAGCAGAAGCCATAGAAAGTTTTTATTTTTAGGCAACCTGTAAACCTGCAGAAAAAACACAAATTATACAGTCAGCTTCAAATATTAAAAAAAGAGGAAGAAGATAAAATAAAACCCGGTAATGAATCACAACAGCAACGCGAAATTAATGAAAATACAGATAAAAAGAGAGCAACAACTTCTCAGAAAACTATGAAAAATAAGATTGCTCTACTCGAAAAAGTCTGAATGCTTTGTATTCTGCCAAAGATACTATGCCAAGCCGTGCTGAAGTTGATAAACAGATCAATAAGTTACGCGAGGAAATAAAAACAGCAAAACAGTCCTTGAACAGGAAGGTTCAAAACACAGTTGCCCAGAAGAAACACAGGGATGGTATGAAAAGAAAGTTAGAAGATATTTGTCATGAAAATCCAGAAATAAAAAAAGACTATCTTTGAGGGATTCAGTGGGACTTCCTAATCTCTTGAAAGCAATCAACATTCACTATTGAAAACCATCGCGGATAAAGCTTTATTTGAGAGTGCAGCAGATGATAGAAGACGAACGGAATCAATTCGCAGCGTAAAAACTCTTGATGAACCCCCACAAGAATTACGTAAAATAGGATTTGACATTAGTCGCAGTGGGACATATCTTCGTTTGAGTCCCAGAAAATCTAATTCTGCAGAGGGACGAAGACATTTATCGACAGTCCCTGTTAAGCTCATTCGGGCTCAAACTGATCATCACAAGAGCCACTTAGATAGCAAGTTCGCTGAAACATCAATCCATTATTTAGAGAACATAGCATCCATACTTGGACCAGATCAAGTATTTTTCATATCTCAAGATGATAAAGCTCGAGTCCCTATTGGCGTAACTGCGGCAAAAAGGCAAGCACCACTTCTGATGCACATGGAATATAGAATCAAATTGCCTGATCACGATTGGGTAATCGCTGAGCGTCATAAATTAATACCATCTGTTTATGCTGGTATCAAAATCACTTCCGATATGCTGGGACAACCGCAAGCCGTTGGATGTTCTGGACCAACATACATCGCTATTCGAAGTGGAAAGCATAGTTCATCTACTGCTAATACTCATGCTTAGGATTTCGAGACGCTCCTCGAATTTGAAGAGTTTCGACCATTAGCTAAAACTGACCATGGATTAGTAAAACCAGTGGTAATGATGACGGTTGATGGATGGCCAGATGAAAATCCACGTTATCAAAAAGTCATAGGGTTTGCTATACAACACCTCAAGCGACATGATGTCGATGCATTGTTTTTAGCTTCAAATGCTCCTGGAAGAAGTGCGTATAACAGAGTAGAGCGCAGAATGGCTCCTCTTAGTCGGGAGCTGGCTGGTTTAATATTGCTTCATGACCGTTTTGGGTCTCATTAGGATGAACGTGGCGTTACAATTGATGAACATTTAGAAAGATCTAATTTCGAATTTGCAGGAAATGTATTAACTGAAGTATGGAGTGGAAATTGATGCCTATAATGTTAATGCAAAATATGTTGGGGCAGGTGAACAAGATCTTCCTGATTTTCCAGACATTAAATGGTATTCAGAACATGTGCGGGAGAGCCAAAACTTGCTTCAAATTGTAATATGTAGAAATACAGAATGCTGTCGTCCAAGAAGTGGCCTATTTAGATTACTAGACAACAGGTTTCTTCCACCACCTGTAAAAGTAAAACAAACAGTTGATGACTTGGTTTTGGATGAAGAAGGGCAATTTCTTAATCTTCCAGTCAATTTAGCTCTACGCTTAAGTGCTTCACTCAAAGATTTCCTGCGGTAAAATTGAGGCTATCAAGTCGAACATGCAAAACGTGTGGCGTTTATCATGCTTCCGTCAAGTCACTAAATCGTCACATCGAAAATATCCATAAAAAAGTAAACACGCACACGGATAGGAAAGTAAGACCTGTAAGAGTCGCTGCTAATCGTGCTTATGAACTGATGTGCATTATTCAAAATTTAGAGCACCATGATGTTGAATGGCTCGATGAGTATGACGCAGACATTCCAAAATCCGATGAAAGCGAGCAAACTCACAACACTGAGCAGCAATCGAAGCAATCTAATGTCAACGAAAACTTAGAATCATGGATTCGGGTTTCATGGACTGAAGATTGTTAATTTAAATTTAACTTATGTACCAAAAATTTAAAATAAGTTTGTTATGTTAGTAAGATATAATATTTTTGTCCTTTACTCTATTTTGAATACCGTATCAGTAAAATATAATCTGTATCCTAAATCTATTTTCTTATTTTTCAAATTATAATTATAACGTTATAATTATAATATCAAAAAAAAACAATACGTTAATTGAAAATTAATGTTTACGTAAGCATGGGGGTACGGGGTAAGAGCTTTGCTTACTTTTGCTGACAAGGGGGTTGGGGAGGTAAATAATTGTAATAAATCTGCTTACGTAATACTTGAACGGCCCCTTATAGGTTTTTGAGATCACCGAGTCCGGATTTGAGATCAATTCATCAGTATCAGGTCATTTGAACGGCTCTTGAACATTCCAATTTCCAGCATTCTCAAAGCGTTCAAAAAGCTTGTTGTTTTGCAGGTTCCGAGGCAGTTCGAGTTTGACAGCTTGATATTGTTCGACGATGAAGGTCAAGGCCTGCTGGATCTTCAGCTGTGCTATTTGCTATATAGAACCGACGTCTACTATATTTTCTTTAACAGCGAGTCAGTCGGAGACTTTTGCGTTAAGGTATATAAATCATTTATTCAAAAGGTTAGCAAATGAAATTGGATTTCTTATACTAAAAGCGCAGTTTATAATAAAAATATTCTACCGCATTTAGTGTATTGTTTAACTATCTTGTTCACTGTCAATGAAAGTGTTTTCTCAAAATTACAAGTGCTTCAAAATAAATCTATGAGACTAAAATACCAAAGTGAAATCTATGTTACAAGAATTGCAGTGGTTGAATAAAAAAAAAGGAATCATATTTGTTTATTTTTATATTTAAAATAAAGAATCTTTTCCCATAACACTTGAACATTACGTGGAACTGGATGATAATTACAACAAATATTATAGGTACAAGAGGAAATATAGATTTTAATTTACAAAACTGAGATAGTAATCTAATTGGCAAATCAGTATTTCAGAAACGATTACTAAGCTAAATAATGATATAAAGGCTAGCAGATGTTTAAAAAACTTAAAGGAACACTTTATTGGCAGTGAAAATTCTTAAGAGATGCAAGTTTTGTTTTTCTATATTTAAATTGTTCAATTCAATTCTTAATTTGCCCTATAGATGAAAATCCAATAATATGGCAATATAGAAAATATAAAACTAAGAAGGGTAGATGAGAATTCAGTATAAATCATCGTATATATAATAATACACAGATGACGCATCTATCCAAGTGTCAAGCTCTGAACAATTCATGTCTAAACCATCCGATATTGTGTTGTACCTTGTACAAATATTATACTAAGTGACATATACATCCGAACGCCCAGTTTAAATGGTTTTATTTTAATAAAATTTTGTATAAGTACTCAATGAAGCATAATAAGTAAATGATAAAAATTGTGTGGATGCACCCTGATGTGCTACGCATTCTCCAACGCGCCTAGGCATGCTTCTGATCAGGTGGTCAATGTCCTCCTGTGGTATCTCATTCCAGGCAACCACCAACTCCCCTCGAAGTGCTTCTAGAGTCTGAGGAGGACGTTGCAAATTCTACCCATCATATTGGGGATAAGTCGGGAGATCTTGGTGGCCATGGTAACAATGTGACATCATTATGTTGAAAGAAGTCTATTGTGACTCTTGCAACATGTGGTCGGGCATTATCTTGTTGGAAAGTTGGATCTGCCAGGGTGTCAAGATAGGGTAAAAGATGGGGTTCTAGAACTTCGTGAATATGACGCTGCGCGTTCATGTTACCTCTGATGAAGATTAAAGGTGACCTGGAACCATAAGCTATAGCACCCCAAACCATAACTCCAACAGTGTGATGAACATGTTTTTCAACAAAAAACTGTGGATTCCTCCTTTCACCACGTCGCCTTCTAACCCTGGCACGACCATCGTGCATGCCTAAACAAAATCGAGACTCGTCACTAAAGACAATACTGTACCATTCCTGATTCCAGAGTGACCGTTGTCTGCACCACTCAAGGCGATTACGTCGGTGTTCTCGAGTTAAAGGGAGGACCCAGTGTGGCCGGTATGAAAACAAGCCAAAACTTCTCATTCGTCGGTAAACACTTGCATGCCAATAGGTCTTCCGTGTTCTGCAAACCATTCATTTGCAATGGACCTGGTAGTGGAGAAACGGTCCCTCAAGGCCAATAATGTTAGGCGGCGATCTTCACGGTCTGTTGTTCTACGGCGGCGTTCAGTGCCCCTTGCTCTTTGCGTACGGCCTCCTCGAAGCCATGCCTGACAACACCTAACCACAGTGTCTACACTTCTTTGCACTCTAACTGCAATTGCCCGAAAAGAAAGTCCAGCTTCCCGAAGTCCCACTATACGGCCCCTATCAAACTCACTAAGTTGACGAAATCGTACAGGTCTCCGTACTCTAGGCATCGTAACTGATCGTAAAGGATGTCAAGAACCAAAATCCGCCAACGTTGATTCTTTACTGCGGCTGAAATATTCATTTTTAGAGCGTTAGTGAATTAAAAAAAAAACAGTATAAAAACCGGAATGTCCAACTGATAAGGCCGAAAATTTGTTCACTTGGGTGTTCGGATTTATATGTCACTTAGTATATTAATCGTCAACATTGCTAGACATTAGTTTTTGGCATTAGAGGGTAAAAAGTGACTGATCTTCTTGAACCCAGCTTGGGTATTGTATGTTTGATTGTTTGTTGAGGATTTATTAAGCATTAGTGGTACAATGTCTGTGTATAATTATCCGCTTACACATTTTTTTAAATCAATTCTCTGTAATTTTACATTGTTATCTATTAAAATTACATTACTATGCATTTTGAGTATTCATAAAGTGATTTTTTAATTCCGCCTCAAACATTTTTAAATTCGAACACTGTTCAATATCATTATTCAATTTATTGTATTCAAATACTTCCTTTTTCCAAATTGAATTAACAATATAACATATGAAATTTTTTGCATCCAAATACAGTAGTTCTTCTAACATAGATCTATTTCTAGAATATTTGTTATTACCTTTCAATTTTGAGATAGCTTTTCTTAGATTGTTGATGTTTATTGTCCTAAAATGATTCATTGGTGAATTACGATATATTTGCAATGAATATAAGTTGGGATCAGCGTCACCAATCATCTTCACTATTTAATTTATACTGTCAATAAAATAAGTGTTCTTTCTTTAATTATCACTGATCAACAGCCAAAAAACATCCTAAATAAAATCAACAAAATATTACTATTTTTAATGTGCTAAAACCGGAATGAAACTTATTTTTTCAATATTAGTTCAAGTTTTAGAGATACGGTAATTATATGTGTTCCTGCTGTGACAGTGTTAATATACTGTAATTCACAAGAATGCACGTGCTACATTTTTATATTCGGCAAGGAAAGATGATGTAATCGGCATGATTGTGTTACGTTATACATACGTGTACATTATATTGTTTTATATTAGCCATTTTTTCCTCAGTTGGATGACAGCGTTCTTGCAAGATGCCTCGAAAGTGTGTAAACAATCCAGATCAGTTTTGTTACGTGTGTGGTGATGTGACTTTTGCGTCTCAGAGACGGTCTATTACTCCACTAATAACAAAGGCATATCAGCTTTATTTCGATTGTAAACTAGGTGATCAAGACAAACTGTGGGCACCCCACATCTGCTGTAATACATGTGCTTCAAGTCTGAGGAGCTGGTTAAATGGCAAAAAACGGTCTATGCGCTTTGCTGTCCCAATGGTTTGGAGAGAGCCTACAAATCATATTAATGATTGTTACTTTTGCATGGTACCTTGTGTTGGACAAGCCACAGGTATGTCCAAGAAAAAAATCGGTTATTAACTACCCAAACATACCATCTGCGATGAGACCTGTGCCTCACAGTGACGAAAATCCTATTCCAAAACCCCCAGAATCCTACACTTGCGAATCAGAAAACGAATCAGATCATGGCGATCGAGTGATTCGTCAGGAAGAAGATATGCCATCAACGTCAAGAGATCCTGATTTTATACCGAGCACGTCATGCCACCAACCGCACAAAATAACACAGTCAGAATTAAACGATCTTGTAAGAGATTTAGAACTTCCAAAATGTAAGGCACAGTTACTTGGATCAAGACTGCAGCAGTGGAACTTGTTAGAAGACGATGTTTCGGTATGTGTTTTTCGTAAACGCCACAAAGACTTAGAACCATTTTTCAATATGGAGAATAACTTGGTTTTCTGCAGTAACATTAACGGCTTACTGGCGGCTTTAAATATAAACTATAACCCAGAAGAATGGAGATTGTTTATAGACAGTTCAACATTGAGTTTAAAGGCAGTGTTATTGCATATTGGAAATATTTTACCATCTCTTCCTGTAGGGTATGCAGTTCACATGAAAGAATCATATGACAATATGAAGTACCTATTGACATACATAAAATACGATGAGCACCAATGGCATATTTGTGGCGATTTGAAAGTTGTTGCACTTTTACTTGGGCTGCAGCTAGGCTACACAAAGTTTTGCTGTTTCTTGGGGGAATGGGACAGTCGGGCAAATGCACTTCATTACACCAGACAAAACTGGCCTGTTCGTCAATTCCTAGAGCCAGGTCAAAAAAATGTACAGCATATGCCATTAGTAGATTCGAAAAAAAATTTATTACCACCACTGCATATCAAGTTGGGCCTAAAGAAAAACTTTGTCAAGACATTAGATAGAGATGGGTCAGCTTTTCAATACCTGCGTCAGAAATTTCCAAGACTAAGTGAGGCAAAGGTTAAAGAAGGTATTTTTGTTGGGCCACAGTTTCGAAATATTTTGAAAGATACACAGTTTGAAACACTTTAACAGGTATTGAAAAACCTGCTTGGAATGATTTCCGTCTGGTGGTCACTAATTTCTTGGGAAATAGAAAAGCTGACAACTATAAAACCCTTGTCAAAAATATGCTGTCATCGTATCAAAAGAGGGGCTGTAATATGTCTCTTAAGATACATTTCCTACACTCACACCTGGACTTTTTTCCTGACAATTGCGGAGCCGTAAGTGATGAGCACGGCGAACGTTTTCATCAGGATATTTCAACAATGGAAAAAGGTACCAGGGAAAGTGGAATCCTTCCATGCTTGTAGACTACTGTTGGACTCTTGGTAGAGATGCTCCAGAAACGATCCATGAAAGAACAGCAAAAAGACAGCGCATATAGTGATTCTTATAAGTATGTGAATCTTGTTACTTTTTTTAATATATCCTTGAAAATAAAAAGTTTTTTTCTGAACCGCAACTAATTTTTTTATTTCATTGTGATTTTTGGATTCAGCGCCCCAAAATTAACAAAGAAGTGCACTTTTCCCACAAGATACAATTAAAAAACTAAAATTTGTTGTCCAGTGTTATTTTTTCTGTCATTACCCCATCTTCCAAACGCATTTTAGATAATTCAGTCCTTCTATTTGGAAAAAGAGTATTCTTTAACGTTTTCAACATCATTTCTGTTGCTATCGACCTCGTTATTATAGTAATAAACTAATATACCCCCCGTTATTTAATTGTTGTAGTTTTTTAAAAGACTGTAATGTAGCAATCACGCAGAATAAAGCAATAAACGAACAAAAAACAAATCTCTTGATTCATAATGGTCCACCAACCGTGATTTGGAAAACTTTCTCAGCGAATATGAGGTTTCCTCGTCGTCTAAAGCTATTCCTTCCTAATGGTTTATTGCAATGATTCTTTAAGCTCACCGTAAGCGCAAGTCCATCCAAGGAAGACTACGAAACCATAAATATTCCGATCTACAAGACCTTCAATCCTAATGCAAAGTGCAAGTGCAGGAAGAACGCGTTCAATGAAAATTGCCCTTTAGTTGTGATGGCCCAAATCCCTTGCAGGAATCGAATACTTCTAGAGGGCATCATGCGGATGTTTGCAATGATTGGCGACGAAGACGAACGGGCATTTTGGCAAGAACATCTTGGTGAGCTTCTTGAATCTAATTTCAGAAATTTCATCGCTATCTAAAAGACCTGGCTTTCATTGAATTTATTTTCCAAATTTAGTCTGTTGTAAATACAGCTAAAGTGAATACAACAGAATTGCAGTGATGCTGAACTAGTAGAGAGATGATGGTAAGAACGTAAAAAAAAAGTTACATGTACACAAAAAGAAGCACTTTTTTAACCCTTTATTCATTTGTGGAACTATACAAGTATAATATACTAATTGACATATAAATCCGAACACCCAGTTTAAATGGTTTTATTTTAATAAAAGTTGGTGAATGTATTTATCTTGTACTGTAAATAACAGGTGAAAAAAATGTCAGCCTTATCAGTTGGACATTCCGGTTTTTATACTGCTTTTTTTTAATTCACTAACGCTCTAAAAATGAATATTTTCGCCGCAGTAAATAATCAACGTTGGCGGATTTTGGTTCTTGACATCCTTTACGATCGGTTACGATGCCTAGAGTACGGAGACCTGTACGATTTCGTCAACTTAGTGAGTTTGATAGGGGCCGTATAACGGGACTTCCTTTTCAGGCAATTGCAGTTAGAGTGCAAAGAAGTGTAGACACTGCGGTCAGGTGTTGTCAGGCATGGCTTCGAGAAGACCGTACGCAAAGAGCAAGGGGCACTGGACGCCGCCGTAGAACAACAGACCGTGAAGATCGCCGCCTAAGATTATTGGCCTTAAGGGACCGTTTCTCCACTACCAGGTCCATTGCAAATGAATGGTTTGCAGAACACGGAAGACCCATTGGCATGCGAAGTGTTTACCGACGAATGAGAAGTTTTGGCTTGTTTTCATACCGGCCACACTGGGTCCTCCCTTTAACTCGAGAACACCGACGTAATCGCCTTGAGTGGTACAGACAACGGTCACTCTGGGATCAGGAATGGAACAGTATTGTCTTTAGTGACGAGTCTCGATTTTGTTTAGGCATGCACGATGGTCGTGCCAGGGTTAGAAGGCGACGTGGTGAAAGGAGGAATCCACAGTTTTTTGTTGAAAGACATGTTCATCACACTTTTGGAGTTATGGTTTGGGGTGCTATAGCTTATGGTTCCAGGTCACCTTTAATCTTCATCAGAGGTAACATGAACGCGCAGCGTTATATCCACGAAGTTCTAGAACCCCATCTTTTACCCTATCTTGACACCCTGGCAGATCCAACTTTCCAACAAGATAATGCCCGACCACATGTTGCAAGAGTCACAATACACTTCTTTCAACATAATGATGTCACATTGTTACCATGGCCACCAAGATCTCCCGACTTATCCCCAATTGAGCACGTGTGGGATATGATGGGTAGGAGATTGCTCAATTTGCAATGTCCTCCTCAGACTCTAGAAGCACTTCGAGAGGAGTTGGGGGTTGCCTCGAATGAGATACCACAGGAGGACATTGACCACCTCATCAGAAGCATGCCTAGGCGCGTTGGAGAATGCGTAGCACATCAGGGTGCATCCACACATTATTAAAGGTCAAAGGGCTTTAAAGCAGTGCAATCATTTTGAAATTTTTATCATTTACTTATTATGCTTCATTAAGTACTTATACAAAATGTTATTAAAATAAAACCATTTAAACTGGGTGTTCGGATTTATATGTCACTTAGTATAGCTCGTTAGACTTGTCCCATGCCTATGCATGTTACACAAGAAAAAAATCTGTTATAAACAATTAGAATACTCTTGGAATCTATACAGGATACAATGCTAATTTTTCAGACGATCAGTTCGCTACGATTGGTTGACATTTGTCTACTGTTTTTTCGTTTCCTCGAGTTTATTTGCCAACATTTTGAACTTGCAGTCGTTTTAATCGTACAACATTTCGAAATCAGATGTATACTAAGGGTTGTCCAATAGGGACGCAGGAAAGTAAACGTCAATTTGACATAGACGCCATATATATTAATGCTTTTAGAAAAAATATCCAGGGAATCACATTTATTCGTGAAGAAACTGTATTACGTGTTCTAATTATTTGACAAAGTCATGCAGTCGTCAATAATGCAGCTATTCAGCACATGCTACATACTTATTGGTCTAAGAAAGTTTGAAATATAATTGTTTCTTCAGTTTGCATGCTAACTTTATAAACAGTTCAGCACATTTTAGTATAAAATATCTTTTTTCGTAAGCTTCGAGACTTATCTGTGGCAGTGTAAAAATGTCAGCTCTAAATATACTAAGTGACATATAAATCCGAACACCCAGTTTAAATGGTTTTATTTTAATAAAATTTTGTATAAGTACTTAATGAAGCATAATAAGTAAATGATGAAAATTTCAAAATGATTGCACTGCTTTAAAGCCCTTTGACCTTTAATAATGTGTGGATGCACCCTGATGTGCTGCGTATTCTCCAACGCGCCTAGGCATGCTTCTGATCAGGTGGTCAATGTCCTCCTGTGGTATCTCATTCCAGGCAACCACCAACTCCTCTCGAAGTGCTTCTAGAGTCTGAAGAGGACGTTGCAAATTGAGCAATCTCCTACCCATCCTATCCCACACGCGCTCAATTGGGGATAAGTCGGGAGATCTTGATGGCCATGGTAACAATGTGACATCGTTATGTTGAAAGAAGTCTATTGTGACTCTTGCAACATGTGGTCGGGCATTATCTTGTTGGAAAGTTGGATCTGCCAGGGTGTCAAGATAGGGTAAAAGATGAGGTTCTAGAACTTCGTGGATATAACGCTGCGCGTTCATGTTACCTCTGATGAAGATTAAAGGTGACCTGGAACCATAAGCTATAGCACCCCGAACCATAACTCCAACAGTGTGATGAACATGTCTTTCAACAATAAACTGTGGATTCCTCCTTTCACCACGTCGCGTTCTAACCCTGGCACGACCATCGTGCATGCCTAAACAAAATCGAGACTCGTCACTAAAGACAATACTGTTCCATTCCTGATCCCGGAGTGACCGTTGTCTGCACCACTCAAGGCGATTACGTCGGTGTTCTCGAGTTAAAGGGAGGACCCAGTGTGGCCGGTATGAAAACAAGCCAAAACTTCTCATTCGTCGGTAAACACTTCGCATGCCAATAGGTCTTCCGTGTTCTGCAAACCATTCATTTGCAATGGACTTGGTAGTGGAGAAACGGTCCCTTGAGGCCAATAATCTTAGGCGGCGATCTTCACGGTCTGTTGTTCTACGGCGGCGTCCAGTGCCCCTTGCTCTTTGCGTACGGCCTTCTCGAAGCCATGCCTGACAACACCTAACCACAGTGTCTACACTTCTTTGCACTCTAACTGCAATTGCCCGAAAAGAAAGTCCAGCTTCCCGAAGTCCCACTATACGGCCCCTATCAAACTCACCAAGTTGAGGAAATCGTACAGGTCTCCGTACTCTAGGCATCGTAACCGATCGTAAAGGATGTCAACAACCAAAATCCGCCAACGTTGATTCTTTACTGCTGCTGAAATATTCATTTTTAGAGCGTTAGTGAATTTAAAAAAAGCAGTATAAAAACCGGAATGTCCAACTGATAAGGCTGAAAATTTTTTCACTTGTTATTTACAGTAAGATAAATACATTCACCAACTTTTATTAAAATAAAACCATTTAAACTGGGTGTTCGGATTTATATGTCACTTAGTATATGAATGGCAGTTTGTGCTGACTTCGATATCCCTCATTTATGTTTCAGTGTTTCCAAAGGGCTTCATCGTTCTGCTGAGGTACCTCGAAAACACTTTCGATGCCAAGCTGGTGCCTTTCATAGACGTACTCCAACAGTCAGTGGTGTACACTGTGCGTCCAACCAAGAAGCGTTTCTATTGCCAAAACCTGAAGGTCAAAGATGTTACTAGTGAAAACCGCGTGGAAATGCCGATTCACTGGAACAGTGACGGTTTTCCTAACGAAGAGCTCGTCTCGTTGATAGCTGACCACGGCCACGAAATCAGACAATATAAGTTGGTGTTCAAGGCAAAATAATGAGGAATATGATTACGAATTAATAAATATTATATATCGATCATAGTTGTTTCATTCTTCAATGAGGACTAGTCATTAAACTACGGGACCAAAGAGACGTTTTGCTTCCAACGCAATTGCTAAGGAAGTGAATGCCTGGCTGTCTGTGTTTCCGCTACTCCTAAATTTGAATCTCATCTTGAGAAAAGCCTTAAAGGGTCATAGTGTCCAATTGAAGGTAAGAAAATAATTACTCGAGGCCGGTCGTAAATCCTACCACTAGGTTGACATCGAATTCGGAATCTACATAGCCAATTTACCTAAAAAACAAGCTTCTGTATCTGTACCTCAGAACCAGACTAGGTTAAGTCCAAATAAGTAGTTGTGAGATAATTGAATTTGAAATATTTTTCTTGCAATTTATTGAATACGACTTGATATGAGTTAAATAGTCGTAACTTCCTTATTATTATAGATGGATGGACTCTCCATGCAGCAAATAAAAATTCACAATATTATACATATTAAACTCATTTTTGACAAAAATGGACTTGACCTAATGTGGATTTGAGGTACAGATATACATAGATGATATACGCGTAACAATTTTTGGAGATTATCTTATCAGTCGTTTCTTGATAAGCAGTTAGGAGTTAGGAGATTGGTAACAGCGCTGAACCCCTTTCCACTAGGTATGACGATGGAGAGGAAATTAAAAATTTCCTCGCTATATTCCATAATACGGGAGAAAGTAACGGGTATGTGGTTTTGCAGCCACAATTGCTGATATCCGTTTTTAAACTGAACCTTAAGTTCTTCGTTTGTACTTAGTTCAGTCAGTTCCTCTTGTATTATGACATTCGTTTCTTCTATATCACCATATGGATTAATTATTCACGGTGGTATTACCATAGTCAAAATATCCTCAAACCTAGATTCAAAATCTGAATAGAGGGCATTTAAATGTTGAACGTAAGTTGAAACGTCGTCTTCCTGGCAGCTTGTCTGTGACAAATTGGGGAACTGAGAAAATTCGCCCCGTCCAATATTTTGCTTCATTAGTTTGACTCTGGCAAGAAACGCTGATAAGATGGACTTTGTTTTAATCAAATTTAAACTGTCGCCTTGTAATTGCAAATTAACCATATTAAATTTTGTAAACAAATCTGTTAAATAGGCGATGTCTGTTTTCCTCTTCATTAAATTTTCTTTTAAAATTTTATCTTTAGTATCCAGAAATTCTAAAATAGTCTCAAAAAGTGCAAAAGATCTTGTCAAACATAAGCCTTTCGACAGCCAGCGTACTTCAGTGTGAAGGAGTAATTGATGAAAGTGTTCGTCATTTTGCTGCGCAAATAACCGAGTATTCAACGCGTTGCTTCGGATTCGGTTTACTGCATCAATGACTAAATGAAGTGATTCATGCAATCTAACACTCAAATTTTTAGCAACTAAATGTTGTCGATGAATGACGCAATGTATTGCTGACACCGCTGACACATTTTGTTTTAAATAGCTTATAAATCCACGATAACGTCCAACCATGGCAGGTGGTCCATCTGTAGCTACTGATATTATATTTGATAAAGGAATTGCTTTTTCAATGAAGTAATCCTTCAAAACATGAAATATTGATTCACCTTTAGGGTCGGTTATCAAAGTTCTTGCGAAGAGCAGTTCTTCGCTGATTTCTTGATTCATAATAAAACGAACATATGCCAATAATAATGCTGCATTATCAGGTAAAGTTGACTCGTCCAGTTGTATAGAGAAATGGGTCGTTTGCAAATAATTACATAAGAAGCTTTCAATATCAGAGCTCATTTCATCAATACGTCTTTCAACAGTATTGTTGCTTAAGGGAATTCTTTTAATGATATCAGATGCAGGTTTGTGTAAAACAGTTTTTAAAACCTCTTCAACGGCTGGCAAAATTAACTTCTCTCCGATAGTATGCGTTTTTCCGGATTTTGCTATAAGTAACGAGACATTGTAAGACGCCCGCAAACCATCATCATTTCTTTGTGACGTCGAAGCGAACATTCTGTCCAGTGTAGGTCTCTTCTGAAATTTATCTTTGAGTGTTTGAAAGTATTTCAAATCCTTCTGTGTTTTATCAGGGTGGCATCTTCTCAGATGATCTTGCAGTTTAGATGGTTTCATAGCGTCATTGCCTAAAACTTTGTTGCATAAAAGGCACATAGGCGATTGTTTGTCCGGCAATGATGGAATGAAGCCAAATTTCAAATAATCGACACTGTACTGTCTACATTCCTTTTTAGATTCGGACATGGCATCAGTCATCTGTGGGCAAAATTAAATTATTTAAATAAGACAGAAAATCCAGCAGCTGTATATTAAAAATATTATTTGATTTTTCCGAAAACATTCCATAATTCGAACATCTTCTTGCAACAATTAGCTCGAATTACGGAGATTGCACTGTAATTATATTACCGATTGCTAGAACTTTCAAAAAGAAACTATTGAGGAGTACTCGTGTAATTTTGCATGATTGAATATTTAACTACTAATAACTAAAGTCATGATTGGCGTAATTTGTCTATCTTTGCTAACTACGAGTACAAAACTAAAATTTAGTAAAAAATAATGTACTTACTTTTCTCCAGCACTCTCAAACAAAATAACACTGACTCACTATAATTTGTGTTATATACTATCTATTTATATTTTTTAAAATATTTTCTTAGCACTTTCCTTTTCAAGATTCAGGAAACGAATAAACATTCGTATTTATAGAGTGACGAATTGAACAAGTCAGTGCAAGGTAGCGAAGCTCTGAGACTGCGACTCGCAGGTTTTTACAAGTTCAAAACGTATTGCGACCACAAAGCGAATACCAACATCCAACAACTTACACAATTTTATAAACATATATAATAAATTTTTTACTTAATAGCTACTTTTATAAATAATGTATATGTTTTGATATTATAAGATAGTACGATGTAAGTAAATAGGTACTATCAATGTATGTGTTGAGATCCACTATCGTGGACCCCCATATTCATTTCATGGACCCGCAAATTTTTTTTCGCTGAGGTAGACCGCTTGCAGGTTGTCATAGACCCTTAGGGGTCGATATAAATCACTTTGGGAATCAATGAGTTAGATCAACGACAGCGTCCAGATTACCACAAAGCCAGACATCCTGCTCGGCAAGGGGTTCCATTCCACGTGATCGCCGCGCTTAGACAAAAATACCAGGCAAAAAAACAAATCGACCATCTTGCGTAACTAAAGCGATCAACGTGCTGGGGTAAAAAACTGACACAAAGCCAGCATATTCGCGAATATCAAGGACACGCAGTCCAATTGGACATGCCAAGCTCGTCAAGTCGAGTCGCCATTCAACTAAATGTATATTGTAGTATAAATAGTAGATTGTGGAGTGGTACCGCTCATTTTCTTGGCAGGATGATTGCCGTCGACATTACGTACCGTAACGCGTAATCGATCCAATTTTATTCGGTGCCGACCGTCGAAGAAGTGTTAGTGAAAGTGGTACCGGAGAAAGTTGACCATTGAACCGTTTGACCGAGTGCGATAGGCAAAGATGGATGTCGATGAGTTCAGGGAGTTCGGCAAGGCCGCGGTGGATTATATCGCCGATTACTTCCAGACGATCAGAGACAGGTAGGAGCAACCCTTTGCCGCGCGACTCGATAGACTACACAGTTGAGCAAGTCAGCAAATACAAATAATTTATTTAAACACAATAATACAAAATGTATAAGCAGTGTTAACAATAATTCTCCAATCAGCGCTTGCAAACAAAGCAACAATCAATATCTATAAAATATACATTTCAATCTTGCTCATAATTTTCAAAATCTTTCAATTCTCTAACAAAACTTCTATACAATGAAGTAAATTATTAAATGTTTTAATTGCGTCTGGGATTGGATATTCACACCTATATTAGTTCTTGTGGAAATTTGATGAACATTATTTAGTGAACTTTATGGTATTATGGTAAAAAAAATGTTTGCGTTTATTTTTTGTAAATCATTTATAATTTTATAAACAAGTTTACGTTGTTTCACTTCCAAAATCACTCTTAATTTGTTTAAATTTCAGTTTGAATAAATCGTATCAGAACTTGTAAGCGAATTAAGACATTTTCAGAATTTCATTTTAAAGCCATGCATGTTTAGATTTTTTGTAAAAATTATCGCATTACAAGTTCCATAGTAATAGCATCAAGTTCGTGTCATCTTATTTGAGCAATAGACAGCTTGTAACCTTCAACTCAATGACAGTTTCATGTGGCATCCCACAGGGTTCTGTGCTGGGACCACTTTTATCTTTAATATAAGTAAATGACCTTCCTAATAGTATACAAACAAAAACCTTGTACTGATTGCCGATGATTAGTTCTTGTGGAAATTTGATAAACATTATTTAGTGAACTTGTTTGGTGATACGGCATATTATGGTAAAAAAAAATATTTGCGTTTATTTTTTGTAGATCATTTATAATTTTCTCTAACAAAACTTCTATAGTTACTTAAATCTTTTATACAATGAAGTAAAATATTTAATGTTTTAATTGCGTCTGTGATTGTATTTTTTAAACCTATATTAGTTCTTGTGGAAATTTGATAAACATTATTTAGTGAACTTGTTTGGTGATAACGCATATTAAGGTAAAAAAAATATTTGCGTTTATCTTTTGTAGATCATATTTTATAAACAAGTTTACATTGTTCCACCTCCAAAATCACTCTTAATTTGTTTAAATGTTAGTTTGGATAAATCGTATCAGAACTTGTAAGCCAATTAAGACATTTTCAGAATTTCATTTTAAAGCCATGCATGTTTAGATTTTTTGTAAAAATTATCGCATTACAAGTTTCATACTAATAGCATTACGTTCTTGTCATCTTATTTGAGCAATAGACAGCTTGTAACCTTCAACTCAATGACAGTTTCATGTGGCATCCCACAGGGTTCTGTGCCGGGACCACTTTTATCTTTAATATACGTAAATGACCTTCCTAATAGTAATACAAACAAAAACCTTGTACTGATTGCCGGTGATTAGTTCTTGTGGAAATTTGATAAACATTATTTAGTGAACTTGTTTGGTGATAAGGCATATTATCGTAAAAAAAAATATTTGCGTTTATTTTTTGTAGATCATTTATAATTTTCTCTAACAAAACTTCTATAGTTACTTAAATCTTTTATACAATGAAGTACATTATTAAATGTTTTAATTGCGTCTGGGATTGGATATTTACACCTATATTAGTTCTTGTGGAAATTTGATGAACATTATTTAGTGAACTTTATGGTATTATGGTAAAAAAAATGTTTGCGTTTATTTTTTGTAAATCATTTATAATTTTATAAACAAGTTTACGTTGTTTCACCTCCAAAATCACTCTAAATTTGTTTAAATGTCAGTTTGAATAAATCGTATCAGAACTTGTAAGCCAATTAAGACATTTTCAGAATTTCATTTTAAAGCCATGCATGTTTAGATTTTTTGTAAAAATTATCGCATTACAAGTTCCATAGTAATAGCATCAAGTTCTTGTCATCTTATTTGAGCAATAGACAGCTTGTACCCTTCAACTCAATGACAGTTTCATGTGGCATCCCACAGGGTTCTGTGCCGGGACCACTTTTATCTTTAATATACGTAAATGACGTTCCTAATAGTAATACAAACAAAAACCGTGTACTGATTGCCGATGATTAGTTCTTGTGGAAATTTGATAAACATTATTTAGTGAACCTGTTTGGTGATAAGGCATATTATGGTAAAAAAAAATATTTGCGTTTATTTTTTGTAGATCATTTATAATTTTCTCTAACAAAACTTCTATAGTTACTTAAATCTTTTATACAATGAAGTAAAATATTTAATATTTTAATTACGTCTGTGATTGTATTTTTTAAACCTATATTAGTTCTTCTAGAAATTTGATAAAGATTATTTAGTGAACTTGTTTGGTGATAAGGCATATTATGGTAAAAAAAAAATATTTGCGTTTATTTTTTGTAGATCATATTTTATAAACAAGTTTACCTTGTTCCACCCCCAAAATCACTCTTAATTTGTTTAAATTTCAGTTTGAATAAATCGTATCAGAACTTGTAAGCCAATTAAGACATTTTCAGAATTTCATTTTAAAGCCATGCATGTTTAGATTTTTTTGTAAAAATTATCGCATTACAAGTTCCATAGTAATAGCATCAAGTTCTTGTCATCTTATTTGAGCAATAGACAGCTTGTATCCTTCAACTCAGTGACAGTTTCATGTGGCATCCCACAGGGTTCTGTGCTGGGACCACTTTTATCTTTAATATAAGTAAATGACCTTCCTAATAGTAATACAAACAAAAACCTTGTACTGATTGCCAATGATTAGTTCTTGTGGAAATTTGATAAACATTATTTAGTGAACTTGTTTGGTGATAAGGCATATTATGGTAAAAAAAAAATATTTGCGTTTATTTTTTGTAGACCATTTATAATTTTCTCTAACAAAACTTCTATAGTTACTTAAATCTTTTATACAATAAAGTGAATTATTAAATGTTTTAATTGCGTCTGTGATTGGATTTTTTACACCTATATTAGTTCTTGTGGAAATTTGATAAACATTATTTAGTGAACTTGTTTGGTGATAAGGCATACTATGGTAAAAAAAAATATTTGCGTTTATTTTTTGTAGATCATATTTTATAAACAAGTTTACCTTGTTCTACCTCCAAAATCACTCTTAATTTGTTTAAATGTCAGTTTGAATAAATCGTATCAGAACTTGTAAGCCAATTAAGACATTTTCAGAATTTCATTTTAAAGCCATGCATGTTTAGATTTTTTGTAAAAATTATCGCATTACAAGTTCCATAGTAATAGCATCAAGTTCTTGTCATCTTATTTGAGCAATAGACAGCTTGTAACCTTCAACTCTACGACAGTTTCATGTGGCATCCCACAGGGTTCTGTGCCGGGACCACTTTTATCTTTAACATACGTAAATGACCTTCCTAATAGTAATACAAACAAAAACCTTGTACTGATTGCCGATGACACAACGATGCTTTATATTGTCAAATCTACTTTGCAAATATTGGATTTGAAAAAAAATTGAAAATTGATGTTTTAGTAAATGAAGTTTTCATCATCATAACGTCAACACCATAGACACATTAAAATGTTTCTTAATTAGAGATCTTAAAAGTTGTGTTTCTGATGATACGTTCTAGCCACATGTTATGGGTACTTCCACTCAACTGAGAAACGAAATTATGTTATTTAAGTAATTCCTAGCTATTCCCAGAATGCTGCTCAAAGAGTCAGCGCGTATACCACAATAATTAGATATTGAAAGTTTCACACATTACATATATGCTGAATGCTGAATCTTCTGCATTTTCTCACAATAACGTACGCCCGTGAAGCTCCACTCACCTTTTGAGCTAGCTCGAATGAAAAATTAAGTTTAGAGTCAAAAACTACACCCAAATTCTTAATAGAGTTATAACATCCCCAATCTTATAATGAAATTTACAAACAGGCAAAGTTGACTACACTATTACTACTATTAAGAAATATATTATTGTCATCACACTAAGTTACTTAAGCGTCAATATCCCGCTTAAGTGCAATACAATCAGCCTCAGACTCAATAGTTCTGAATAATTTTTAATCGTCCGCAAAGAGGAGTTACAACTTGAACATTGCGCAATATCATCAATAGATAAACTAAACAATAAAGGACCAAGATTTGAACCCTGCGGTCCTTCCGATTTATTTACATACTGTTACGACTTGAAGCCATTATAATCAACATATCGCTTCCTTTTATTACGATAACTTTGAGTGCGTGCTAAAACTGATGAATGGAATCCATAATGGGAAAGTTTATTTAAAAGTTTGGTCCACCCTATCGAACGCTTCAGCAATTTTAAGAAAATTTTGTCGCTGTATCGTTGTTTTTCAGAATCTAAGCACCTTATTACCTGAAGCTTTTAAATTTTTACAACAAATAAACCTGCAAAGGCACTTCCTCACTTCTTTGTTCTTTCATGCTTCCTTTCTTTCATTTTTCCTTTTTCTTTTATCTGGTATCCGTACAAATAGACCTGACAGACCTTTTAACTAAGATCTTACGGTCCACTCTAGAGTATGATGAATAAAGCGATATCTAAGGCTATCCAAAATAAAGCTCAGCTTCGATCACATATAGAAAGTCCGTTTTGGCCTTTTTAGGTTTTCTATTGTTTGAAAAACATGGCCAACCTTCCGTATAATCCTTAACCTTCCTAAACATGTTGTACACCTGCTAAATAATTGAAAACCTTGAAAAACGGTATGTACCTTTTTAAATTCTGATGTTTCAACATCACTGAACTAAATTTTCAAAGATAACTTTGTCCTCTTATCAGGACTCACAACATGACTCTATTGTGTTGAAAAAAGAGAAAGCTTATTTTGATTTGTTTGGCGTTTGCCATTTTCATAATCTTTTATCTCTCAAAAAAAGAGCTCCTAACTGTGTCGTAAAGATAGCTCAGTGCTGAACAGCTCCAAAAAAAGTAATTTCGGCTTTTTTAAATCTGGACCTTGACAGTATTTTTGTTTGTTGTTGTAGATTTATTCAGCATCAATGCCATAATATCAATGTTGCAGTATATCACATATTGTTTTGTGTCTTCAATTCTTATACAGTAATACACTACGTTACCAAGAAACGTTGCTTCCATTTTCTTTGAACATTTTCAAATTGAGACACATCTTGATGTCACTACTTAATTTATATTTGAAATACTGATTTTGTAAACGAAAGTCTAGACTTCCTCTAGTAGAATAACGATTGTTCATTTCAATAAAATTTTCTAAACGATTTTTGAACTTGAAGATAGAAATGGACATCAAGTAGGCTGTTTTTGATATTTCACTATTGTGTCAGCATAAAATTTATTCTTGTATACGTATTTCTAATTAAGCTGGATATCATAGCTTTAGTTTGTAATATTTGTAATTTTAAAAATACAGCGTCGTTTGCAGTGAATGAAAGTCGAACAATATAACAAATGACAAAGAATCATAGAGTTGTACACAATTTTTTCAGAAATACTATGGTTTTGAAATTAATTATAGTAAGTGACATATAAATCCGAACACCCAGTTTAAATGGTTTTATTTTAATAAAATTTTGTATAAGTACGTACTTAATGAAGCATAATAAGTAAATGATAAAAATTTCAAAATGATTGCACTGCTTTAAAGCCCTTTGACTTTTAATAATGTGTGGATGCACCCTGATGTGCTACGCATTCTCCAACGCGCCTAGGCATGCTTCTTATCAGGTGGTCAATGTCCTCCTGTGGTATCTCATTCCAGGCAACCACCAACTCCTCTCGAAGTGCTTCTAGAGTCTGAGGAGGACGTTGCAAATTGAGCAATCTCCTACTCATCATATCCCACACGTGCTCAATTGGGGATAAGTCGGGAGATTTTGGTGGCCATGGTAACAATGTGACATCATTATGTTGAAAGAAGTCTATTGTGACTCTTGCAACATGTGGTCGGGCATTATCTTGTTGGAAAGCTGGATCTGCAGGGTGTCAATATAGGGTAAAAGATGGGGTTCTAGAACTCCGTGGATATAACGCTGCGTGTTCATGTTACCTCTGATGAAGATTAAAGGTGACCTGAAACCATAAGCTATAGCACCCCAAACCATAACTCCAACAGTGTGATGAACATGTCTTTCAACAAAAAACTGTGGATTCCTCCTTTCACCACGTCGCCTTCTAACCCTGGCACGACCATCGTGCATGCCTAAACAACATCGAGACTCGTCACTAAAGACAATACTGTTCCTTTCCTGATCCCAGAGCGACCGTTGTCTGCACCACTCAAGGCGATTACGTCGGTGTAAGGGTTAGAAGGCGACGTGGTGAAAGGAGGAATCCACAGTTTTTTGTTGAAAGACATGTTCATCACACTGTTGGAGATATGGTTTGCGGTGCTATAGCTTATGGTTCCAGGTCACCTTTAATCTTCATCAGAGGTAACATGAACGCGCAGCGTTATATTCACGAAGTTCTAGAACCCCATCTTTTACCCTATCTTGACACCCTGGCAGATCCAACTTTCCAACAAGATAATGCCCGACCACATGTTGCAAGAGTCACAATAGACTTCTTTCAACATAATGATGTCACATTGTTACCATGGCCACCAAGATCTCCCGACTTATCCCCAATTGAGCACGTGCGGGATATGATGGGTAGGAGATTGCTCAATTTGCAACGTCCTCCTCAGACTCTAGAAGCACTTCGAGAGGAGTTGGTGGTTGCCTGGAATGAGATACCACAGGAGGACATTGACCACCTGATCAGAAGCATGCCTAGGCGCGTTGGAGAATGCGTAGCACATCAGGGTGCATCCACACATTATTAAAGGTCAAAGGGCTTTAAAGCAGTGCAATCATTTTGAAATTTTTATCATTTACTTATTATGCTTCATTAAGTACTTATACAAAATTTTATTAAAATAAAACCATTTAAACTGGGTGTTCGTATTTATATGTCACTTAGTATATTTAACAGATTTTGAAATAACCTTTTGATATGATAACGGAAAGATACCTTCCAGTAGAATACATAATATTATCAAACGATTATGACATGGGTAAAATAAACGACTCGTGACATAATAGGTACTGTTACAAAACTGTTAGTTTCTTTTGCATGTTTACATAACGAAATGTCCACTCGTATTCATTTACTACTTGCATTTAACTAACATACAGGCATATTGACTATTATTTTTAGTTTATAATTCCTTGTTATCACAATTTCTAGAATTTTATTACTAACTCAAATAGATTCACAACGATTATACTAAGAACTACATGGAATGTCTAAAAATTAAAATCTATTCCATCCAATCTAAAGTGTAACTCAATATCTTATTTTTGGATCACCCTATATAGATCGAAAGAAATCGTTTTTCCTAAAATATACCAGGAGTGCGACCCTTTCGATGGGTCACCCTGTATAACATTGTTTTTAGTATTTCTTCTGGGAAATTTGGCTATTTGATCCATCGATATTTCCAGTATACTTGTGAGAGTAAAGTTCCCCATTCAACTTTCATTTAGAACAAACGATCGCGGTGCAACGTTTATTTACACTTGGTAATGAATTAAGATTTAACCTCGGTACCAACTTAAGACGTACCTGACCTCCAAACGTAAAGTAATAACTGCCGAGCCATTGACATTGGTGGTCTTTAAATGTGCATGAATGGAATCCTAATGTTTGTCCTATATCTAACATCGCATGCCCCCTTTTTTCAGCCTGTCTGGAGGAGTATTTTTAATACTTTTCGTCTGATTGTTTCCTGTGGTGTAGGGAGAACTGAAAATTTCTTTTTTCTCAAAGTTCCACATACCTACAACACAGATCGTGAATCTGTTTACTCATTTAATAATAATAATCAGTTTTTAGCTATAGGCTTTTCTTACACTTAGCTGTTTTAAAACAGAGAAAATTACAATTTACATATACAATGTTTTTGGCGGTAACACTCAGTATAGCAATTACAATAAAAGACAGTTGTACTTCACACAAACTGGATAAAATAAAGAATGTTTATAATAAAAGACACTTACGATATAAAAGCTGCCTAAACATTATCTTTTCTAAAATCTTTGAAAGTACGGGTAGAATGCTGATTGAGCGTAAATGTGGATTATCATTTTTAGGGAAAAGCAGATTAATAGACTGTTGCTGAGCTTTCCGTTTCGTATGACGATGTGACGTAACCACCAAAAACCGTTAAAAATTACGTATACAGGGCGGCCAATATACAGGGTGTTCCGTAACGATATGCGAATATTTAAGGTACACCCTGTATAACTGACTGATTTAAATTCATAGTATTATTAAAGCGTTTTACTTAAATAATTAATCGATTGTTGCAACGATTTGGAAGCTATGACAGGGTTTCGGTGGAAATAATGTGCCCAGTGTCAACACCGTTCGTCAGTCATTTGTCATACGAAATTCAGTTAACCCAAGAATTACAGCCTACAATTTAATTTCATTTCACAAATATTCAGCCAGTTACATATCTTCCACATTGTATTTATTATCAGCATGAAAACCACAAAATAAGTCTCAGATGTTAGAATTCCACGATTTTGATTAACTTTTTTTTCTCAGGCCGGTCCTGCCTTCCGTTCACCCCGGCTACCTCGGCGAACTACTCCCCAAGGAACCTCCGCAGACCGGGGAATCCTGGCAAGAGGTCCTGCAAGACGTCGACAGGATCATCATGCCTGGCCTCACGCACTGGCACTCGCCAAAGTTCCACGCCTACTATCCGACAGCACACTCTTTTCCAGCCGTTGTCGGGGAGATGATGAGCGCTGGGTTTGGCTGCGTCGGACTCAATTGGGTACGTCTCCGTCACGTGATACCTTAACCAGGTGGTAGTTATACCTAGAACGCACAGAAAAGATGTATGGATTAAAGAGAGATATGCTGTCTAAGCACGTGCTTATTTATGCTTGGTCAGAAATAAATGTGGTGTTGCCAGAATTCGGACATTTACTCATGAAGGAGTTGTTTAACGTCTAAATCATATACTAAGTGACATATAAATCCGAACACCCAGTTTAAATGGTTTTATTTTAATAAAAGTTGGTGAATGTATTTATTTTACTGTAAATAACAAGTGAAAGAATTTTAGGCATTATCAGTTGGACATTCCGGTTTTTATACTGCTTTTTTTTAATTCTCTAACGCTCTAAAAATTTATATTAATAGCCGCAGTAAAGAATCAACGTTGGCGGATTTTAGTTCTTGACATCCTTTACGATCGGTTACGATGCCTAGAGTACGGAGACCTGTACGATTTCGTCAACTTAGTGAGTTTGATAGGGGCCGTATAGTGGGACTTCGGGAAGCTGGACTTTCTTTACGGGCAATTGCAGTTAGAGTGCAAAGAAGTGTAGACACTGTGGTTAGGTGTTGTCAGGCATGGCTTCGAGAAGGCCGTACGCAAAGAGCAAGGGGCACTGGACGCCGCCGTAGAACAACAGACCGTGAAGATCGCCGCCTAAGATTATTGGCCTTAAGAGACCGTTTCTCCACTACCAGGTCCATTGCAAATCAATGGTTTGCAGAACACGGAAGACCTATTGGCATGCGAAGTGTTTACCGACGAATGAGAAGTTTTGGCTTGTTTTCATACCGGCCACACTGGGTCCTCCCTTTAACTCGAGAACACCGATGTAATCGCCTTGAGTGGTGCAGACAACGGTCACTCTGGGATCAGGAATGGAACAGTATTGTCTTTAGTGACGAGTCTCGATTTTGTTTAGGCATGCACGATGGTCGTGCCAGGGTTAGAAGGGGACGTGGTGAAAGGAGGAATCCACAGTTTTTTGTTGAAAGACATGTTCATCACACTGTTGGAGTTGTGGTTTGGGGTGCTATAGCTTATGGTTCCGGGTCACCTTTAATCTTCATCAGAGGTAACATGAACGCGCAGCGTTATATCCACGAAGTTCTAGAACCCCATCTTTTAACCTATCTTGACACCCTGGCAGATCCAACTTTCCAACAAGATAATGCCCGAACACATGTTGCAAGAGTCACAATAGACTTCTTTCAACATAATGATGTCACATTGTTACCATGGCCACCAAGATCTCCCGACTTATCCCCAAATGAGCACGTGTGGGATATGATGGGTAGGAGATTGCTCAATTTGCAACGTCCTCCTCAGACTCTAGAAGCACTTCGAGAGGAGTTGGTGGTTGCCTGGAATGAGATACCACAGGAGGACATTGACCACCTGATCAGAAGCATGCCTAGGCGCGTTGGAGAATGCGTAGCACATCAGGGTGCATCCACACATTATTAAAGGTCAAAGGGCTTTAAAGCAGTGCAATCATTTACTTATTATGCTTCATTAAGTACTTATACAAAATTTTATTAAAATAAAACCATTTAAACTGGGTGTTCGGATTTATATGTCACTTAGTATACTTGTTTATTCAAAACTTATATATATTATATGAATCAAAACATTTTTATTTGTTCTTTATAATGTAGGCCATGCCTAAAGCTTTGTCTCACATAGTTTGGAGATTGAGGGTCGTATTATCAGCCGTGCCTACAATTGTAGGACTCCTTTACGGCATTGATTTTCGTAGTTCTTTCTGTCCTCCAGAAAGGCAGGGGTATTTCTAGATTTCTACTGTTCCATGTCAGGGATCTATTTTGAGGTTATGTTACGAATATCTATTTGCATCAAATTGTTTATACCTTTGATTTCGATCCCCTGCTATATCAGCCCTAAATTTTCTAAGGTTTCAAAAGAAAACATAACCTCACAAAAGCAGAGCGCTGATACGGAAAAGTAGAAATCTAGAAATACCCCAGCCTTTCTGAAGAATAGGAAATACTATAAAAATCGAAGAGACCATTAAGGCGTCCTTCAATTTATTGTAGAAATGACTGTCCATATGACCCTAAATCAGATATTCTCAATATACCGAGTATACTGATTTCTGGTGTTTGTTATGACTAAAGACCGGATTTATATGTATTTACATGTTTTTACATATAACATAATATTTTATGTTTTTTTCGGATAAAAACATATAACGAATCGGAACACCCAGTTTAAATGGTTTTATTTTAATAAGATTTTGTATAAGTACTTAATGAAGCATAATAAGTAAATGATAAAAATTTCAAAATGATTGCACTGCTTTAAAGCCCTTTGACCTTTAATAATGTGTGGATACACCCTGATGTGCTACGCATTCTCTAACGCGCCTAGGCATGCTTCTGAACAGGTGGTCAATGTCCTCCTGTGGTATCTCATTCCAGGCAACCACCAGCTCCTCTCGAAGTGCTTCTAGAGTCTGAGGAGGACGTTGCAAATTGAGCAATCTCCTACCCATCATATCCCACACGTGCTCAATTGGGGATAAGTCGGGAGGTCTTGGTGGCCATGGTAACAATGTGACATCATTATGTTGAAAGAAGTCTATTGTGACTCTTGCAACATGTGGTCGGGCATTATCTTGTTGGAAAGTTGGATCTGCCAGGGTGTCAAGATAGGGTAAAAAAGATGGGGTTCTAGAACTTTGTGGATATAACGCTGCGCGTTCATGTTACCTCTGATGAAGATTAGAGGTGACCTGGAACCATAAGCTATAGCACCCCAAACCATAACTCCAACAGTGTGATGAACATGTCTTTCAACAAAAAACTGTGGATTCCTCCTTTCACCACGTCGCCTTCTAACCCTGGCACGACCATCGTGCATGCCTAAACAAAATCGAGACTCGTCACTAAAGACAATACTGTTCCATTCCTGATCCCAGAGTGACTGTTGTCTGCACCACTCAAGGCGATTACGTCGGTGTTCTCGAGTTAAAGGGAGGACCCAGTGTGGCCGGTATGAAAACAAGCCAAAACTTCTCATTCGTTGGTAAACACTTCGCATGCCAATAGGTCTACCGTGTTCTGCAAACCATTCATTTGTAATGGACCTGGTAGTGGAGAAACGGTCCCTTAAGGCCAAATATAAAAAAAAATAATAACGGAAAAAAGGTCTTTTTAAAAGCTCCCTTAAGGGTAGAATTTTACAAAGAAATGGCTCCTGGGCTGCCCTTACCACCTGAGCGTGTTATTACAAGATGGCGTACATGGCTCAATGCTGCCTTGTTTTATGCAGATAATTTCGTAAAAATCAAAGAAATTTTTCTTTCGCTTGACGCTGATTCTATAGCACTTAGGTTGTGTAAGGAATCGGTACTAGAGTCACTTAGCCTTTATTAAAGCTCATTTTTTCATGTTAGCGAAAGCAATAATGGAGCTGGAAACTACCCAGTTGTCATTAAACGACTCTTTCAGAATCATATTAGACAAGCTCCTGTCATTTGCTTTCGAAAATGTACCTTATCCCTAAGAATCAGCATGGATTTCTCCCTGGTCGATCAATAATGACCAACCTTCTCCACTCTCTCAACGATTGGACTCAGTATCTGGACACAAAGACTCCTGTTGATATAATCTACTTAGATTTTTCTAGGGCTTTCGATCGCGTACCACATAGAAGGCTTCTGTTTAAGTTGGAATGTATGGGAAAAAGAGGCGAGTTGTTACTGTGGATTAAGGCTTTTCTCACCGGGAGGACTTTCTCTGTGCGCGTCAGTGATAGCCAGTCTCACCTTCATCATGTAGCAAGTGGGGTTCCTCAAGGCTCTGCCTTGGGGCCAGTGCTGTTCCTTCTGTATACAAGTGACCTGCCCGCGTTGATTTCCTCCACATGTTCAGCTTATGCCGACGACACCAAGATTTACAATACTGTCATAAATTCTGCTATGCTTCAACGAGATCTTGATATTGTTTGTCAATGGTCAGTCATTTGGCTTTTACCCTTAAATCTAACTAAGTGTTGTGTCCTTCACCTCGGGAAGACAAATCCGCGATTTACATACAAGATCTCTGACCAGAACATCGAAGCAGTTTCCAGCCACACTGATCTGGGCGTTGTAGTCAACGATCGTCTTTCCTGGTCAGAGCATATTCACCACGTTACATCAAAAGCCAAGAAACTTCTATACATGCTGGAGAGGTCTTTCAAAGGATCCGATGTCAACACTTGCGCCTACATTTACAAGGCATTCGTGAGGCCAATTCTTGAATTCGCTGGCCCGGTATGGGACACTGTGCTTCTGCGCGATAGAAATCTCGTCGAATCAGTACAGCGTCGGGCTGCTCGTATCCCTTTTGGAGCACGAAGACCAAACTATGAAGATCGCTTTGAGTTATTCAACCTGACCTCATTCTCTGAGCGAAGACTTCGTGGCGATCTTATAGTTACGTTCAGGATACACCAACCTCATGCATCTATACCGTCTGGCGCGCAGCAATCTACGCGGACACAGCTTCAAACTGCATAAGGAACCATTTAAAACAACAGTCCGACAGTGGTTTCTTCCCAACCGCATATTCAACACCTGGAATAGTTTACTTGAAAGTGTGGTAGGTGCTACTTCAGTTAATAGCTTCAAAGTGCAGTATGATAGCTGAAGGAGTGTACAAACTTTATAGCTATGAAGTGTCTTTTTTTTATTTTTTTCTATTTGATGTATTTGTGTTACGTGTCCGTACACTATACAGGGTGACTTTGAAGTTGAGTCATTAATTTTCAGATAATGATTGTAGAAGGAAGATAAACCAAAATATGTGTGTAAAAATAAAAAAAAAATTATAAAAGAAATTTTACCTTGTTTTATAAAGTATCCTCCCGACAAGTATTTCAGTGCGGACCTGTATTTGATCGTGAGGTCTTGGAGCACCGGCATGCCGTCACCTGATTCACGAGCCCGTTGTACTACATTAACAAAGGCACGAGGGGTTGGTTGCACTCGATTGGGAAACCGATCCGCATAAACATGTGCCATTTTTTAGTTCGTTTGAGCCACGCAACAGACACCACTATTCACTGACACTGACTGTATACAAATGAATAAAATAATTGTAAAAACATCGTTCCAAATTTGCGCCGATCACATCATGTGATGTGGAGCGTTCATTTTCGGCTTTTAAAAATTTATTAACAGACAAACACCATAATTTAAGCATGGATAGTATTAACCAGTTTTATACTGCAACCACATCGTTTAACTTTTTGAGTGTGTAAGTTTGGATTAGTACTGTACTGTTCATTACAGTTGACTTTTAGTTAATAAAAATAATATATTAATATATAAGCGTTTATTTTTTTGTGTTCGCACATTTATGTTTCAGTTTTTCCACATATAAAATCCACATTTCGTCTATCTTTTACAGCATAAAAAAAACATATTTTGCAGTTTTATACCACATAAAAATCCGGACCTTAGTTATGACTCTTGCCAGCATAGCAGGCGTTGTGTTGGTACCCAATGTTCTCTCCAAGCCATCTAGGATAAAAATCCTATAACACGTTTACGAATCGGTAACCGCGTTCACTGTCTCTGTGACTTTATTTTCCTCAAAGAACCAGAGACCAATAATTCCAGCTGAGGTAATTGCACGCCACACCGTACCTTTAAGCGAATTGAACCTGGTATCACTCAATCATTAAAATTCGGTAAACAATGTTTGATTTCTGCTATCCATGGACTTTGTTTTTTTGTTTGGAAATCAGGTTGCCAGCCCTGCCTACACAGAGCTAGAAGTTGTGATGATGAACTGGCTGGGTAAGCTCCTTGGACTTCCAGAAGAGTTCCTCAATTGCTCGGATGGCCCTGGCGGTGGGGTTATACAGGTAACGTTACGATTTTTGCTTTGCTTATTTTGGATGACATGGGAGGTAGGGGAGTCTAGATGATGATTACTTCACCGGTAGTTATTTACTTTTTTACGCGAATGGCAACCCTCACATTGTCTTTGCTTGAAAACGAAACGCATTTTCGGGGATTATTTAGAGAACATAGCATCCATACTTGGACCAGATCAAGTATCTTTTATATCTCAAGATGATAAAGCTCGAGTCCCTATTGGCGTAACTGCGGCAAATAAGCAAGCACCTCTTCTGATGCACATGGAATATAGAATCAAATTGCCTGATCACGATTGAGTAATCGCTGAGCGTCATAAATTAATACCATCTGTTTATGCTGGTATCAAAATCACTTCCAATATGCTAGGACAACCGCCGTTGGATATTCTGGACCAACATACATCGCTATTCGAAGTGGAAAGCATAGTTCATCTACTGCTAATACTCATGCTCAGGATTTCGAGACGCTTCTCGAACTTGAAGAGTTTCGATCATTAGCTAAAACTGACCATGGACTAGTAAAACCAGTGGTAATCATGACGGTTGATGGAGGGCCAGATGAAAATCCACGTTATCAAAAAGTCACAGGGTTTGCTATACGACACTTTAAGCGACAAGATCTCGATGCATTGTTTTTAGCTACCAATGCTCCTGGAAGAAGTGGGTATAACAGAGTAGAGCGCAGAATGGCTCTTCTTAGTCGGGAACTGGCTGGTTTAATATTGCCTCATGACCATTTTGGGTCTCATTTGAATGAACGTGGCGATACAATTGATGGCCATTTAGAAAGATCTAATTTCGAATTTGTAGGACATGTATTAGCTGAAGTATGGAGTTCAATGGAAATTGATGTCTATAATGTTAATGCAAAATAGGTTGGGGCAGGTGAACAAGATCTTCCTGATTTTCCAGACATTAAATGGTATTCAGAACATGTGCGTGAGAGCCACTGCTTGCTTCAAATTGTAAAATGTAGAAATACAGAATGCTGTCGTCCAAGAAGTGGCCTATTTAGATTACTACACAATAGGTTTCTTCCACCACCTGTAAAAGTAAAAGAAACAGATGATGACTTGGTTTTGGATAAACGAGGGCAATTTCTTAATCTTTCAGTCAATTTAGCTCTACGCTTAAGTGCTTCACTCAAAGATTTCCTGCACATGCCCTACGATTATTTTTATCCGACGGTAAAATTGAGGCTTTCAAGTCGAACATGCAACACGTGTGGTCTTTATCAGGCTTCCGTCAAGTCACTGAATCGAAAATATCCATAAAAAAGTAAACACGCACACTGATAGGAAAGTAAGACCTGTAAGAGTCGCTGCTCGTCGTGCTAATGAACTGACGTGCATTATTCAAAATTTAGAGCTCCATGATGTTGAATGGCTCGATGAGAACGACGTAAACATTCCAAAATCCGATGAAAGCGAGCAAACTCGCAACACTGAGCAGCAATCGAAGCAATGTCATCGAAAACTTAGAATCATGGATTCGGGTTTCATGGACTGAAGACTTAATTTGAATTTAATATATGTACCAAAAATTTAAAATAAGTTTGTTATGGTAGTAAGATATAATATTTTTGTCCTTTACTCTATGTCGAATACCGTATCAGTAAAATACAATCTCTATCATAAATCTATTTTCTTATTTTTCAAATTATAACTAGACAATGGTCCTTTACAGGGCTCAGCAAGCGAGGTGACCTTCATCGGTCTTCTGGCGGCCAAAGAAAAGAAAGTGAAAGACCTGATGGCCCAAGACCCCACTCTCAAAGAAGCTGACATCAAAGGAAAACTGGTCGCGTACTCCAGCGACCAATCAAACTCGTCAGTAGAGAAATCCGGTCTTTTGGGCTCAATGCCGATGCGGCTGTTACCGGCAGACAAAGAAGGCAAACTCAGGGGCGACACGCTACTCGACGCCATAGAAAAGGATAAAGCCCAAGGGCTGATCCCTTGCTACGTGGTGGCTAATCTTGGAACCACGCCTACGTGCGCCTTCGATGATCTGGCCGAACTTGGACCCATTTGCAACAGGGATAATATTTGGCTTCACGTAGATGCAGCTTACGCAGGCACCGCGTTCACGTGTCCTGAATACAGGTAAGCTATCTTTCACTTAAGTTTTATTCATCTACGGGTGTAAAACATTTTAGGAGGTGATAGTACAGCCCCTTTGCTACCGAAATTAGTATATAATACCATAGCCTATATTCAAAGGTTGAAAAGTTATTGAACATTTAAGATTTTTTTAAAAACAATCCATATTTCAGAGTAAAAAGATCGAGAGATAAAAAAGTTGGCGATTAAACATTTGTTTTTTGTGGTTTTGGGTTATTATTTCAATAATTAACTGTTATAAATTAAAAAAGATTCGAAAACAATACCATAAAACGTATTTATTTTCATTCAAAAATGTTTAACTAAGAAAAACAAATCATGTTTTACAGTAAGTAAGGTGTTTAACAAAAAAACGTACAAACAATTTAAATAATATCCTCGTTTCATAAGGAATCTAAATTGATATGATAAGTGCACAAAAACTGTGTGAAACTAAACATAATGTATTGTAATACAACAATAGGGAGTAAATTTACCAATGGCTTGTCTCCTATTTTCACAACTCTCTGATTGATAAGAAAGTGTTTTTGTGAAAATAATGTAACTGTAAGCTATGGGATAGTTATTATTTAAAACAACGGTTAAGTTACACGATTAGATTATTTACACAGTTGTCATTGTACTACAGAATAATAAAAACTGACTAAAAGTTACTACAATTGGTAAGTAAAATACAATAATGAAATGAAGGTAAAATTCATTGCAATCGTTGTTCGAACTGACGCCCGCCGTTTCTTATGCAAGCCCGTAGTCTTTTTCTCATGTTGGTACGCGTGATGCGGCCAGTTAGTTGTCCTCTGATAGTGTCAGCAGCAGCAGCAATAATTCTTTCTTTCAACTGTGCAAGAGTGTCTATGGGCTCAGCGTACACCAGTGACTTCATGTGCCCCCATAAATAATAGTCACACGGTGTTAAATCTGGGCTCCTCGCTGGCCACGGTGTCGGTCCACCTCGGCCAATCCAGCGACAAGGATATTTCACGTCCAGCCACTGTCTAACACCCAGATGGAAATGCGCGGGACAGCCATCGTGTTGGTAGATCATCTGCATCCTGATATTCAGAAGCAGGTCTTCGAGCTACTCCCAGAGTTCGGATCTCAAAAAGTTTTCATAGGATTCGCCATTCAGGTTGTCAGGCAAAAAAACTGGTCCAATTAGATACGTACGAATGATTCCCATCCACACGTTTGCCGAAAATCTTCTTTGATGGGCTCTTGGCTTTGCCATGTGGGGATTTGCCTCTCGTGGGGCCCCATAATGTAAGTTGTGATAGTTTGTTGTCCTCTCTCTGTCAAACTTAGACTCGTCGGTCCACAATATTTTAGTTAAATAGTCGTTTTCTTCTTGATCCCGATGAAGCATGTATCGACGAAAATCAATTCTTCTTGCGGGATCTCCTTCTTCTAATACTTGAACCGGTGTGTAATGGAAAGGGTAAAGTCTCGCCGAATGCAAAACGAACCAAACTCTCCACTGAGTTAAACCAAGCTGCTTTGCTATAACTCGTGTAGACGTCGTCGGGTCTCTGCCGTAGCATTCCAGTATTGCCTCTCGATCTTCCTCGTCAAACAACCGAGGACTACCAGCATCATGACGTCTCTCATGAACCTGTCCACTTTCCTTGACGCGTTGGTACACAGAAGCAAATACTCGATGACTCGGTATTCGCCGATTCGGAAAACGGTTTTCGTATTCTCGCCTGGCTTCAATGGAATTTCCATCACTTAAACCATAACAAAACAGAATATCAGCGTATTCTTCGTTACGGTAACTCGCCATTATTAAAACTGATCAAAAAAGTAAAAGTACGTCCTACCGCGTTAAAGGTTGATATTCTACTAACTAACCTAAGCGTTAGTTCCCTTTCCTTGATCCGTCAGCTGTGTCAATTCATAACATACGCAGAGCTTGCTTCCGAGGAGCGACGACAGATTCCGAATACTTAAACCCGAATAACGGCACAGGGCACAAAAAATAACAAAAAGGGTCAAACCATGAAAGGCTCGGTTTACCTGCTCAGGACAATGAAATGCGCTTAGCGGTCATTTCTAACAAAGTAATATTGTTTTGTTAAATGGTTTACTTACTGATATGTTATTATACCATTTTAGAAACCTAATGAAACGAGGAAGTTTTTGCAGTTATTTGTACATTTTCTTTATTATGATTTTTTTGAAAAAAAGGACTTAATGTGAAAGTTGAAAATAAAAATTTTCATTTAACATTTCAATGAAAATAAATACGTTTTCAGTAGTGTTTTCATACGTTTTTTAATTTATGAGAATTATTTATTTAAATAATAACCTGAAACCACCAAAAAACGAATGTTTAATCACCAACTTTTTTTATCTCAACTATTTTACTCTGTAATCTGGCTTGTTGTTTTAAAAAAAATAACCATAACTTTTTAACCTTTGAATATAGGGTAAGGTATTATATACTAATTTCGATAGCAAAGGGGCTGTACTATCACCTCCTAAAATGTTTTATAGTCAACGCCAAACAAAGTGGCGTGCACGTCATCAAGGTGGGTGTGTTTAAAAATTTACATTGTTGCCAAACTTTTTGTAAAATAATAAAATTTATTATTTACATATCTAGGTTTATAAGCAATATTAACCTCAAATGAGAACAAAAATAATAGTATAATAAAATTATAGATCTGTACTTGCATAATCATTAAGTATGACAATTATTGATCAGATGACACTATGAAACTACCATATTTAATTGATAGCTTAAAGGTACTGAATAAAAATCCAAATGGGGTCCTCCAAATTTTATGCATGGTATTTATTTTACAGAATTCATACAGAAAAATGCATTCTAAAATTAGGTAAGCTACTGGTGTAAGCTTTTTCTGTACAATAAAGTTAGTCGGAGTTTCTTTCTTCAGCGCTGTCTGAATCTGAATCTTCATCACTCTCAAAGTTGATTATTAAAGGTTCGATGTCTGGTCGATCAAAAATTCGTTCTCTTTCATACCATTTAAAAATTTCTTGCTCAGTATGTCGAACACTATTTTCCACATGTCTGGGGTAACCGTTTGTAGAGCCTCGTTCCACATATCCAAACAGTCTTTTTCACTGTTACCATCTCTACCAATATGTCTGTTATAGTAACCTTTTGCTATGCCCCAAATTAACTCAATAGGGTTAAATATAGTATACAATGGTAAGGAGGCAGACGAAGAACTTTGTGCCCATGTTGTTCCGCCAATTCATCAATCACGTATATTTTAGGTGGTTTGTTTCTAAAAAAGCAGTTATTTTAAGAATAGGAATAAACAAAAGAAATATAAACTGTCGACCAAAATATATATAATTAAGAAGCATTATGTACCGAGCAACAATACTCAATAGCTCTGTTTTAAACATTGTGATTAAAAATGGTATGTTTTGATTAGTCAACCAGTCTTGGATATTTTTTTTTGTCCATGCATTGTTGGGCACTTTGTTCAATATCATGCTGTGATAAGGGGCGTTATCCAGTATAATCATAGATGGACTCTCCAATTTTTCTAATAACTGATGTTGAAACCATTTCAAAAAATTGTCCTGGTTCATCTCTCCATGGTAATCGCTCAATTTTGTTTTCGAAGAAAATATCGCTTCACTACCCTCAATAAACCCATTTTCATTTCCAGCATGTAATATAATGTATCTAAAATATATTAGTTTTAAATTTTATAGTGCAAATTGTGTAAAAGTACATACCTTTTACCATCTGTTTTAATAGCTTTCACGCTTTTTTGGTTTCCATTTTGCCAAGAGCGACCTATGGTCCCATTTTGAAATATCCAAGTTTCATCGAGGAAGACAAACTGGTATAAGGCCTCAACCTTGGCTTGATTGTATTGCCTTAGAAATTCCACCCTTTTCAAAGCTATACTTGGTAGTTCCATGAGCCCTCGTCGCGGATTGTCCTTAAGCCACTTAAATCCAAGATCTCTAAGCAACCGCCTTAAAGACGTGGCACTACCATCAAATAATGCCCTATTTCTTAATCGAGACCATAAAGTTTGTATCGTAACTTGTTCTTCTGAAACCATGTGTAATATGACATTATAATTTAGTTAACAAATTAATGCAAATTTCTGATAAGTTATTATAATAAGATCTTACTTTTGTGATACATATTATAGATCACTTCTCGAATGGCACTTGTATCCAATGTCGCTGTGTTGGTTACACGTTTAATATAACTCCGCTTTTTCTTGGGCGATTCTAAATTTGCATCACTTTTCACACCCTCGGAAATACGACTAACTGTCCTTAAACTAATTTTTAAAGCAGCAGCAACACGCTACAAAAAATGAAATAAAATTTCACTATTATTAATATACATTACATATAATTATTAGTAACCTACCTCTTGAACAGCATTTAAAGGCAACAAAGGCCCGTTGTTGTCCCTTTCTTGCTCAAAGTAGTGCATTAACGAGGCCACGAGTTCCTTACACCGACTATTTAACTGTTTGGGCATCTTTATATACCAAAATTGCCTTTATCTACTCGTAAAATGAATAATTTTGTTTTGAAACAAACAGTTGTTGATTTACAGTATGCGGGGCCAAAGGATTTATAAAGATTTGAAATGCCACAAATTGATTCAGTGTCAAAATTAATACAAATGTCAGTTCCCAGTTTAAATAAGTTTCAAGATGACAATGTGTCAACGCTGCGAAATCGGTTTAGTGCGTTTACATGTCGATAAGTGATTGGAGCGTTTGTAAAACATTTTATTTCGCATAATGCGTCTAAATTTATCAGAAAGCAACTTATGTGATATTTTAATAACAATGTTTATATGACTATTAACCATAATAAGAGAGTAATGACCATTTTGCAATTTATATATCACATTAATATGAAACTGCAATAGAGCAATTGTTTGTGATAGAAACCTAGGCATTAGGTCGGGGAATTTTTATCGTGATGACGTGCACGCCACTTTGTTTGGCGTTGACTATATTTACCTGTCATCCTTATGTATATACGGGGTGATCCATGATCCATAATAAAGTTCACTTTAGTTTTTTCGACACGAAATAGCGGCAATTTCAAGAGCAAGTTGCAGGCGAGTGTTCGATAATTTGTGCTTCCGTTTGGTTTGGTCCTCGGAGATATCGGTGATATGATGATATCATTTTCAAGACATAAATTGCCAATGTCCTTTTATATGATAAAAATTAGCAAACTGTTCTAGGTATAGCCTGCTTTCATTTACGTTGCTTTCAAAAGTGAATTTTATTATAGCTCACCCTGTATAAAGGTTATCAGCATCGCATCTCAGCCACAATACCGCAACACGCACAGTGGCCTATCTATACGAAAACCTGGAATAAATTACATCAAATAGGTTGACTCTATTATGTATGAATCAAAGAAAAAGACTAAACTAAGACAGTGATCATCACGTGATTATTGCGTGATAAGTACGCTGATATACTAAGTGACATATAAATCCGAACACCCAGTTTAAATGGTTTTATTTTAATAAAATTTTGTATAAGTACTTAATGAAGCATAATAAGTAAATGATAAAAATTTCAAAATGATTGCACTGCTTTAAAACCCTTTGACCTTTAATAATGTGTGGATGCACCCTGATGTGCTACGCATTCTCCAACGCGCCTAGGCATGCTTCTGATCAGGTGGTCAATGTCCTCCTGTGGTATCTCATTCCAGGCATCCACCAACTACTCCCGAAGTGCTTCTAGAGTCTGAGGAGGACGTTTCAAATTGAGCAATCTCCTACCCATCATATCCCACACGTGCTCAATTGGGGATAAGTCGGGAGATCTTGGTGGCCATGGTAACAATGCCACATCATTATGTTGAAAGAAGTCTATTGTGACTCGTGCAACATGTGGTCGGACATTATCTTGTTGGAAAGTTGGATCTGCCAGGGTGTCAAGATAGGGTAAAAGATGGGGTTCTAGAACTTCGTGGATATAACGCTGCGCGTTCATGTTACCGCTGATGAAGATTAAAGATGACCTGAAACCATAAGCTATAGCACCCCAAACCATAACTCCAACAGTGTGATGAACATGTCTTTCAACAAAAAACTGGGGATTCCTCCTTTCACCACGTCGCCTTCTAACCCTGGCACGACCATCGTGCATGTCTAAACAAAATCGAGACTCGTCACTAAAGACAATACTGTTCCATTCCTGATCCCAGAGTGACTGTTGTCTTCACCACTCAAGTCGATTACGTCGGTGTTCTCGAGTTAAAGGGAGTACCCAGTGTGGCCGGTATGACAACAAGCCAAAACTTCTCATTCGTCGGTAAACACTTCGCATGCCAATAGGTCTTCCGTGTTCTGCAAACCATTCATTTGCAATGGACCTGGTAGTGGAGAAACGGTCCCTTAAGGCCAATAATCTTAGGCGGCGATCTTCACGGTCTGTTGTTCTACGGCGGCGTCCAGTGCCCCTTGCTCTTTGCGTACGGCCTTCTTGAAGCCATGCCTGACAACACCTAACCACAGTGTCTACACTTCTTTGCACTCTAACTGCAATTGCCCGAAAAGAAAGTCCAGCTTCCCGAAGTCCCACTATACGGCCCCTATCAAAGTCACTAAGTTGACGAAATCGTACATGTCTCCGTACTCTAGGCATCGTAACCGATCGTAAAGGATGTCAAGAACCAAAATCCGCCAACGTTGATTCTTTACTGCGGCTGAAATATTCATTTTTAGAGCGTTAGTGAATTAAAAAAAAGCAGTATAAAAACCGGAATGTCCAACTGATAAGGCTGAACATTTTTTCACTTGTTATTTACAGTAAGATAAATACATTCACCAACTTTTATTAAAATAAAACGATTTAAATTGGGTGTTCGGATTTATATGTCACTTAGTATAATTGATCTATTCATAAACTTTGAAGCAGTTTACCATAGACACATGGGATATTGTATACATTTGTGTCGTCAGCATACAAGGAACAGGCGGAATATATGACACAAGACAGGTCCGATATTTAGAGGAGAATGAAAGCATGAATGGCTTATGGAATTAAAGGCATACCGGTTATCGTGATGAGCCGCCACATAGGCCACTTCAAAGGGCCATCATGCACCCCTACATTCCTTAAGCCGACTCGGCTCCTCTAGCAAAGTTGAGTATAACCTTGAGTTAACGTTCTGAAGATGTAAAGTGATGGACCAAAGGACTCTTCCTCTACCCCGCAGCGCTCATACAAGGGATCCTCAGCCAGTGTTATGGCCACTACAGTCCCACCAGCACCCTTAGCTTTGGGCCCTACGTTGACGGATAAGTCTAGAGATGCTTCTCCGTTTCTGAGAGTGTTGTCTTGCAATCTACTTCTCCATTGTCCTCCAGACTCGAGCTTGCTCGCTGCTCCTGCGCCATATCACCGCCATCTATCCCAGCGCGCTCCGGAGCCCACACTATCGATACCGGATGCCTCGCTGCTAGACTATCCAGAGCCTCCATGCAATGCAATAAAAGACTCGAAGTAACCTTACAGGCATATTGGTATTATTCTATTAAGCCCTTACCCTCCAAAGTGCGGAATACGCATGCCAGAATCCCAAAGAATAGAGTAGACGAGAAACAGCAAAGGTCCCGAGTCCGGACCTTGTCGAACGCCGCTAGTCACCGCCGTACTGGTTGACAGTGAATCGCCTACCCTTGCGTGATTTCAGGATTAACTTAAGGCTTATAACTTTAGGTTTCTCGACCTTCAAATCCTGTCTTGAACGTTCTTCAAGGAAGCGAAGGGAACGTACAGGTATCTGAATGTGACCCTCTCTATTTTTTACAGGTATCTCCTCAAGGGTGTGGAGCACGCCGACTCCTTCAATTTCAACCCCCACAAGTGGATGTTAGTGAACTTCGACTGCTCGGCAATGTGGGTGAAAAATGCCAGGTACCTAGTCGAAGCGTTCAACGTCGAGAGGATATACCTGAAGGACCAGCACAAAGGCCTGGCGCCCGAGTACAGACACTGGCAGGTATCGTTGGGCAGACGGTTCAGAGCGTTGAAACTGTGGTTCGTCTTGAAGATATACGGAGTCGAAGGGATTCAGAAGCATGTCCGCCACCAGATTTCCTTGGCCAAATACTTCGAGGAACTCGTAAGGACAGATGACAGGTTCGAAGTTTGCACGTCGAGCATGGGCCTCGTCACGTTCCGGCTCGAAGGTGACAACCAGCTTACGAAGAATCTGATCAGCAGGATCCAAGAAAGGAAGAATATTTTCGTCATACCAGGGCAGTTCCGCAACAAATATGTGATACGATTCGCGGTCTGCAGTCGGTTAACAGAAAGGAGCGACGTTGAATTCTCCTGGAAGGAATTCCAGTCCCAAGCGGACGAAATCATCGTCTCGAAGATCACCAGCGAGGTCGGCGATAAGAAAGGCATCGGCGCTATACAATTATCGGATGCCGGGTGTGATAAGAACAGTATCGAAAAGTGCAAGTAACGGTATAGTGTTTAGTGAGAGATAATCACATTTTTCGCCAAATGCATTTGTTTTTGCTTGACACCATCTACGATAAGTACTTATCCTATAAAAGAAAAACGAAAATTTTGGAAAAGTGGCGATTTATTTCTAAGCATGGTCTCCTGTTAGCTCGATATACTGGAACTAGCGATCCTCCAACTTCTCTAACCTGTCTGAAAAATACTTTATCTAGAGGTTTGCAAAGTAGCGATAGGCTTCTCAACTCAAATAATATAGAACTGTATCAGGATCGCAGAAACCGCAAGACGCATCGATGCTATGGATTTTCGTTCCTATCTCATAGCAGGAGCAGAGTATCACTTGCATACCTCCATGCGTTTCTGTGAACCTGATAACAAGCGCTCAATCTTTCAATTTTACGAAGAAAGCCTGATCGGCAGTGCGACTTTAAGGAACTTATAGATTTGCATCAGGATCGCAGAAACTACGAGGGACATAGATGCCAAGTTCTGTGATCCTGATAGCAGGTCACCGTCCAACAATTGTACGAGAAAAATCTGGTCGATAGATCTGTATCAGGATCGCAGAAATGCCTAATAGCAGGTGCAGAGTAGCATTTGCATACCTTCTCGCGTTTCTGTTAATCTGATAACAGGCGTTCAATCTACTAATTTTACGAAGAAGCTGTGGTCGACATCTGTATCAGGATCGCATTAACTACAAAAGGCATCGATGCTATGGATTTGAATTTCGTTCTTATCTCATAGCAGGAGCAGAGTATCACTTGCATACCTCCATGCGTTTCTGTGAACCTGATAACAAGCGCTCAATCTTTCAATTTTACGAAGAAAGCCTGATCGGCAGTGCGACTTTAAGAAACTTATAGATTTGCATCAGGATCGCAGTAATTACGAGGGACATAGATGCCAAAGGCACAAGTTCTGTGATCCTGATAGCAGGTCACCGTCCAACAATTGTACGAGAAAAATCTGGTCGATAGATTTGTATCAGGATCGCAGAAACGGCAAGATGCTGTGGATTTGAATTCGTGTTTGCCTAATAGCAGGAGCAGAGTATCATTTGCATACCTTCTCGCGTTTCTGTTAATCTGATAACAGGTGTTCAATCTACTAATTTTACGAAGAAGCTGTGGTTGTCATCTGTATCAGGATCGAAGAAACTGCAAAAAGCATCGACGCTATGAATTTGAACTTCGTTCTTATCTCATAGCAGGAGCAGAATACCACTTGCATACCTCCCTGCGTTTCTGTGAATCTGATAACAAGTGCTCAATCTTTCAATTTTACGAAGAAAGTCTGATCGGCAGTGCGACTTTAAGAAACTTATAGATTTGCATCAGGTTCGCAGTAACTACAAGGGACATATATGCCAAAGGTACAAGTTCTGTGATCCTGATAGCAGGTCACCGTCCAACAATTGTACGAGAAAAATCTGGTCGATAGATCTGTATCAGGATCGCAGAAATGACAAGTTGACGTGGACTTGGATTCGTGTTTGCCTAATAGCAGGTGCACAGTAGCATTTGCATACCTTCTCGCGTTTCTGTTAGTCTGATAACAGGCGTTCAATCTACTAATTTTACGAAGAAGCTGTGGTCGATATCTGTATCAGGATCGCATTAACTGCAAAAGGCATCGATGCTATGGATTTGAACTTCGTTCTTATCTCATAGCAGGAGCAGAATAAAACTTGCATACCTCCCTGCGTTTCTGTGAACCTGATAACAAGTGCTCAATCTTTCAATTTTACGAAGAAAGCCTGATCGGCAGTACGACTTTAAGAAACTTATAGATTTGCATCAGGATCGCAGTAACTACGAGGAACATAGATGCCAAGGATACAAATTCTGTGATCCTGATAGCAGGTAACCGTCCAGAAAAATCTGGTCGATAGATTTGTATCAGGATCGCAGAAACGGCAAGATGCTGTGGATTTGAATTCGTGTTTGCCTAATAGCAGGAGCAGAGTAGCATTTACATACCTTCTCGCGTTTATGTTAATCTGATAACAGGTGTTCAATCTACTAATTTTACGAAGAAGCTGTGGTTGTCATCTGTATCAGGATCGCAGAAACTGCAAAAGGCATCGATGCTATGGATTTGAACATCGTTCTTATCTCATAGCAGGAGCAGAATACCACTTGCATACCTCCCTGCGTTTCTGTGAACCTGATAACAAGTGCTCAATCTTTCAATTTTACGAAGAAAGCCTGATCGACAATGCGACTTTAAGAAACTTATAGATTTGCATCAGGATCGCAGTAACTACGAGGGACATAGATGCCAAAGGTACAAGTTCTGTGATCCTGATAGCAGGTCACCGTCCAACAATTGTACGAGAAAAATCTGGTCGATAGATATGTATCAGGATCGCAGAAACGGCAAGACGCTGTGGATTTGAATTCGTGTTTGCCTAATAGCAGGAGCAGAGTAGCATTTGCATACCTTCTCGCGTTTATGTTAATCTGATAACAGGTGTTCAATCTACTAATTTTACGAAGACGCTGTGGTTATCATCTGTATCAGGATCGCAGAAACTGCAAAAGGCCTCGGCTATGGATTTGAACTTCGTTCTTATGTCACAGCACGAGCAGAATACCACTTGCATACCTCCCTGCGTTTCTGAGAACCTTATAACAAGTGCTCAATCTTTCAATTTTACGAAGAAAGCCTGATCGGCAGTGCGACTTTAAGAAGCTTATAGATTTGCATCAGGATCGCAGTAACTACGAGGGACATAGATGCCAAAGGCACAATTTCTGTGATCCTGATAGCAGGTCACCGTCCAGAAAAATCTGGTCGATAGATTTGTATCAGGATCGCAGAAACGGCAAGATGCTGTGGATTTGAATTCTTGTTTGTCTAATAGCAGGAGCAGAGTAGCATTTGCATACCTTCTCGCGTTTCTGTTAATCTGATAACAGATGTCCAATCTACTGATTTTACGAAGAAGCTGTGGTCGACATCTGTATCAGGATCGCAGAAACTGCAAAAGGCATCTATGCTAAGGCTTTGAATTTCGTTCTTATCTCATATCAGGAGCAGAATACCATTTGCATACCTCCCTGCGTTTCTGTGAACCTAACAGCAAGTGGCCAATCTTTCAATTTTACAAAGAAGGCTTGGTCGACAGTGCGACTTTAAGAACCATAGGTTTGCATCAGGATCGTAGAAGCCAAGAGGAGCATCGATACCAAGGATACAAGCTTCACGCGAGTATCATAGATAGAGCACAGTTCTATTCACATACCTTCTCGTTGTTCTGTGGTCCTGATAGCAGGTCACCGTTACACAAATTGTACGAGAAAAATCTGGTCGATAATCCGATTTTCATATCATATTTTCAGAATCGCAGAAACGGCGGTTTGAATTCGTGTTTGTCTTATAACAGGAGCAGATTACCATTTGCATACCTCCTCGCGTCTCTGTTAATCTGATAACAGGTGTACAATCTACTAATTTTACGAAGAAGCTGTAATCGACAGTGCGTTGTTCAGAAACTTAACGCACTGTATCAGAATTGCAGAAACGACTGGGAGCATAGTTGCCGAAGATCAAATTTCGCCTCAGCATCATAACATAAGTACCTCCTCGCCCTTCTGTGATCCTGTAATTTGTCCACCAATTTTACACGAACATTCTGCGATTTTCAGAAACCTATATGATCTGTATCAAAGTCGCAGAAACTGCAAAAAACGGCATCGATATGTATTTGAATGTCGATCTTTTCCCATAACACGAGCAATTAAAATTGGAAATTCGCATAGCCCGAAGTGTTCTCTGTTTTGGGTTTCCTCTATGTACCTTAAATGATATTAAAACATGCAAAATTAAATCTAAAATTGTATTTCACGCTTTCTCCATTATTATTATTGTCAAGCTGTAAACGAAACTGCAATATTTGTAAATAGCATAGTTTTTGTTGTCTCCTGAAAACTCAAATTTTGTAACCTATGTGGTTTTAGAAATGGCTGATTCAGTTGTCGTAAATAAAAGATTAATTAATACCTTCAGGGTGTAAATGCAATAGAATCGTGTAAGGTTTCAATATTGTAGATGATGCTTCAGTATATGTGATGAAAATTGTGAGGTTAACCCTTTTGTAGAAGCCGAAACCAAGTTGTACGTTTATTTTAGTTAATAAATTGTATTTATATTTACTGTCGTGTTATTTCTTTATATCGCCCAAACTATTCTATATTTTTACTCAGTGACATTAGAAGTGTTACACCTAGAGAAAATAAGTTTTTGTAAAGAAATCAGTTTCTGAGAGCTGAATAGTACAGATATTGTTAGTTATTGCTCTTTCATTTACTAGTCTTAGGCATAACAAAATCCCTCGAGTTCAAAGATGTCCAAATTATTAGATGAGAGAGATGAGATGAGCGAGATGAGAGAGACGAGAGAGAGAGAGAAAGAGACGAGAGATAGAGAGACGAGAGAGAGAGAGAGACGAGAGAGAGAGAGAGGGAGTCGAGAGAGAGAGAGAGAGACGAGAGAGAGAGAGAGAGTTGAAAAGTAGAAAAATCACCTCGACCGACCACCTGAAGGCTATTTCAGTATCGGAACTCCAGCACTGCTATGAGGAGTGAAATAACCGCCTCTAGCGCTGAGTGGCCCTAGAAGGAGGATGGCAATATTAAATTGTAGTTATGTGTATTTGAATAAAAAAAATTAAAGAAAACAGTCTCGCATTTTATTTACAGATCTCGTCCCTCGTTATTTACACTGATCGTCAAATTAGCTGCAGCATCTTGTCGTTGATCTTCGGGACCAAGTACCATCACTGTAGACTTGCTGTTAATTTTTACACAAATGCTACAACTTTTTTACAAATAGAAGACCAACACAAAGCTCTGGTGCCCGAGTACAGACACTGGCAAATACCACTGAGCAGAAGATTCATAGCGTTGAAACTGTGGTTCGTCTTGAAGATATACGGAGAAGCATGTCCGCTACCAGATTCCTTTGGCCAAAGACTTCGAGGAACTCGTAAGGAAAGATGAAAGGTTCGAAGTTTGCACATCGAGCATGGGCCTCGTCACGTTCAGACTTAAAGGTGGCAACCGGCTTACGAAGAATCTGATCAGCAGGATCCAAGAAAGGAAGAAAATTTTCGTCACACCAGGGCAGTTCCAAAACAAATTTGTGATACGATTCGCGGTGTGCAGTAGGTTTGCAGAAAGGAGTGATGTTGAATTCTCATGGAAAGAATTTCAGTCACCGGCGGATGAAATCATCGTTTCCAACATCCAGAACAGTATTGAAGAGTACAAGTACGAAGTGTACCGAGACTCGATCTGCTTACTTATTTCATATGGCGTTGATGACATAACCGCCAAGAACGGTGACTAAAACTATAGTTAATTGTAACTAAAAAAATAAAAAGGAATATAAATGATGAAATTTTCCTTCCCCACCCCCCTATGACACCCCATTCTCTAATTCTAATTGTTTACCGGTACAAATTTTTTTAAAAATGATCATGTTCCTCTGAAGCGTCGAAAAAACTTTTGAGCAACTTACATTTTTTTCGTTTTTGGTCATTTTCACCGCTCCCACTGGACCGATTTTCAAAATCAATAAACCTTCTTTTTCGTCCTTGGCAATAGCATTAACCTTATGTAAGAATTTCATCCTATACTAAGTGACATATAAATCCGAACACCCAGTTCAAATGGTTTTATTTTAATAAAATTTTGTATAAGTACTTAATGAAGCATAATAATAATAAAAATTTCAAAATGATTGCACTGCTTTAAAGCCCTTTGACCTTTAATAATGTGTGGATGCACCCTGATGTGCTACGTATTCTCCAACGCGCCTAGGCATGCTTCTGATCAGGTGGTCAATATCCTCCTGAGGTATCTCATTCCAGGCAACCACCAACTCCTCTCGAAGTGCTTCTAGAGTCTGAGGAGGACGTTGCAAATTGAGCAATCTCCTACCCATCATATCCCACACTTGCTCAATTGGGGATAAGTCGGGAGATCTTGGTGGCCATGGTAACAATGTGACATCATTATGTTGAAAGAAGTCTATTGTGACTCTTGCAACATGTGGTCGGGCATTATCTTGTTGGAAAGTTGGATCTGCCAGGGTGTCAAGATAGGGTAAAAGATGGGGTTCTAGAACCTCGTGGATATAACGCTGCGCGTTCATGTTGCCTCTGATGAAGATTAAAGGTGACCTGGAACCATAAGCTATAGCACCCCAAACCATAACTCCAACAGTGTGATGAACATGTCTTTCAACAAAAAACTGAGGATTCCTCCTTTCACCACGTCGCCTTCTAACCCTGGCACGACCATCGTCCATGCCTAAACAAAATCGAGACTCGTCCCTAAATACAATACTGTTCCATTCCTGATCCCAGAGTGACCGTTGTCTGCACCACTCAAGGCGATTACGTCGGTGTTCTCGAGTTAAAGGGAGGACCCAGTGTGGCCGGTATGAAAACAAGCCAAAACTTCTCATTCGTCGGTAAACACTTCGCATGCCAATAGGTCTCCGTGTTCTGCAAACCATTCATTTGCAATGGACCTGGTAGTGGAGAAACGGTCCCTTAAGGCCAATAATCTTAGGCGGCGATCTTCACGGTCTGTTGTTCTACGGCGGCGTCCAGTGCCCCTTGCTCTTTGCGTACGGCCTTCTCGAAGCCATGCCTGACAACACCTAACCACAGTGGCTACACTTCTTTGCACTCTAACTGCAATTGCCCGAAAAGAAAGTCCAGCTTCCCGAAGTCCCACTATACGGCCCCTATCAAACTCACTAAGTTGACGAAATCGTACAGGTCTCCGTACTCTAGGCATCGTAAACGATCGTAAAGGATGTCAAGAACCAAAATCCGCCAACGTTGATTCTTTACTGCGGCTGAAATATTCATTTTTAGAGCGTTAATGAATTAATAAAAAAGCAGTATAAAAACCGGAATGTCCAACTGATAAGGCTGAAAATTTTGTCACTTGTTATTTACAGTAAGATAAATACATTCACCAACTTTTATTAAAATAAAACCATTTAAATTGGGTGTTCGGATTTATATGTCACTTTTTGGTTTATCTTCCTTCTACAATCATTATCTGAAAATTAATGACTCAACTTCAAAGTCACCCCTGTTATAGCTTTCACACGTTGCATATAATATGGATATAGCTGGTGGTGTTCAGTTTTTCAGCTATTTTCCGAGCGCTGGTATGAGGATTTGTTTCAATCTCATTTAAAACAGCTCCATCAATTTGAACCAAAGACTTCTGTGTAAAAAAGACTATAAAGATGTGTTTGCAAGCAAACCGTTCAAGCAATATTTCCCAATCCGTGCACGGTAATGGTGGCGATCCCGAATGCCGATGAAACTAATCGGCACGAGATGGAAATAATAATGTATGCAGATGAAGAAATTTGGTCGGAGAAAGTTCCGCGGTTAAATAAGCGTGAAGTAAGATGATGTGACCGTTCAGTCAGTGGCCAGCATTATTAGCAGTGTAACTAACATGGATCCAGATGAATTTAGAGATTTTGGCAAAGCAGCTGTGGATTATATAGCGGATTACTTCAAAAATATCAGAAAACTGTAAGTAATATTTTTCCCGCGCTACTTGTTGGAACCCTATCGGAATCGGAATCCTAAGTCATAATATTCAAAAGACTTTCCAAATTTAGTATAGAAAATTGTTCTTCTAATGAAAATTTGTATATGAATTTCTTCTAAGTACTTGGATTCGGGGTTTAGATAAACACAGTTTTCTGTTATAAAGTTACCGACGTTCCGGAAAAAATAATTTCCTTCTTCAAAGCTCTACGAAAGGAATTCGAAACACTTAAACATTTAAATAATAGAAACCAGGTAAAAGATACTTATTTTGGTTGAGAGATTACCTAAAATGAGTTATTCATAATCTCTGAATGTCACACACAAAAAATTAAGATAAAAATAATAATAATAATAATATTTATTCACTCAATGTACAAAGATAACAAACAATATGAGTAAATAAATATAAAATCAAAACAGGCCCAATAGAAGGCATCGCCTGTACATGGACCAATAATTTAAGTTGAAACTGTAGAATGCAAATGACAAAAAAGGACAAAAATTAGCTACAGTAGATTATGTATTTAGTTGATGTTCGTATTTATGAGTTTATGAATTTCAGTCCTAGATATAGAATGTAGCCACTTTTTTAAATTTCTTTTGAAACAATTTCCGAAACGTAAATCTTTTAAGTCTCTAGGCATAATTTCATAAAATTTAGCCGCTAAATAGAGATATGATCGTTGCATTATAGATTTATGCGGTTGAGGAACTACTGTGCCACGAATTTTGTACCTGGTACAATGATTATGTTTAATTTTTTGGTCGGTGTTTACAAATTTATGGTAGTGAGTGATACTGTGTAAGAAATAAAGCTGTCTTATATCATACATTCGAACATCTGCGTATAATTTTTCAGTGGGATAAAGTTTCGGTTTTTTAAATATCATTTTTAGAATACTTTTTTGAAAAACATCTAAATTATAGATATGTGAGGAACACGCAGCTCCCCATGCTAATATACCATATGTGAGATGAGGCTCAATCAGTGCATGGTATAATGTTCGAAGATATTTTTCTGTCAATATATTCCCAAGGTATTTAATTTTGTAGGATACAAATCTAACTTTCTTTAAAATATAATTGACATGGATGTCCCATCGTAAGTGAGGATCCAAGACCACTCCAAGATATTTTATGTTGGGCACTCTATTAATTTGCATTTTTTGATCATTAATATTGAAGGAGAAATTTGTGTAATTTGGCAGATGTCTAGCATAACATCCAAATGGTAAAAAATGTGTTTTAGAGTAGTTAATGCTTAATTTTCTACTGTTAAACCACCGAATAATTTTGATCAAATCATTTTCAATTACATTTTTCAGATTAGACCAGTCAGTGCCTTCATATAATATTGCAAGTATCATCTGCAAAACTAGTTATTTTGCCAACACAATTAATTTGGAAAATATCATTTAAATATATATTGAATAACAGCGGACAGTTCCTTGTGGGACACCACACTTAATATACATTTCTTTACTAAATGATCCTGATATCTGCACAGATTGTGGGCGATTTGACAAATAACTTTCGATCAGTGAGTACGCGTTTCCTCTGAAA